CGCCGAGCCGTCCGGGTTCCTGCCCTCGGGCAGCGAGTAGCGGCTGACGAGGCGCTGACCGATCGGGTAGCACGTGTACCACTCGATGCCCTTGAAGTCAAAGTGGTAGGGGTAGGCGATCTCCTTGATGGCCTTCATGACCATGTCCGAGGTGACCTTGTCGCGGGCGTCGAGCGCGCTCTCCTTGGACTTTTCGCCCTCGAGGCGGTTGACCTGGGTGTAGCAGCGGATGATGGGCTCGCCCTTTTCGTTGTTCTCGCGGGGAAAGATGTAGAGGGCGCCGTGGTTCTTGGAGTGGATGGCGGCAATCTTGCGGACGTCGGGGAAATCGGTCTCGACGACGCAGTCGAGCGCGGCCCACAGCGTGTCGACCCAGTCGCCGTCAAAGGTGACGGCGTGGCGGTCCTCCATCGTCTTGCGGACGCGCGACCGGCCTCCGTCGCAGCCGACGAGGTACTTTGTCTTGATCGTCTTGGTCTCGCCCGTCGGCTTGATGACGCTGATGGGCGCGCCGCCCTCGTTGGTCGTCTCCATGACCGGCTTCATCTTTTCGAGCGTCACCGTGACCGGGTGCGAGCCCGAGCCCATCTGGAAGTCCTTGTAGGCCCAGGGGCGGGTGACGCGCTGGCCGTGGCGCTCCATGTCGCGCAGGTAGCCGCCCTCGATGAGGCCCTGCTGCAGGCCGAGGGTGCAGTTGTCCTGGATCTCCATGTTGGTCGGGAAGGACTGGACGCGGCGGGTGCGCTCGATGCCGCGCTGGCCGTCGCTGCGCGGGTCCCAGAAGGTGCGCTCGTACGAGGGGGCGCTGCGCTCAAAGAACTCGGAGCCCAGCGGCTCCATGTTGCGGAGCACCTCGATGGTTCGGGGCTGGATGCCGTCGGCGCGTCCGGCCGTGGTGGGCTCGGAGCGCTCGTCGACGACCAGGACGTCGTGGCCGCCGAAGCGCGCCAGCGACGTGGCGAGCATCAGGCCGGCGGGGCCGGCGCCAATGATGACAACGTCCCAGGTGGTCTTGTCGATGTGAGTGAGGGCGTCGGGGTAGTTGTGGGTGCCGTGGGCATGCTTGCCGCCGGCCTTTGTCTCCTCGACCGCCTGGCCGGGGGCCGAAGAGGCCTGCACTGCGTTGGGGGCCATGGCTCGCTGCGTCGTCGCGATGAGGTGGGCCGAGTGCTGTGGAGGGGTCGTGCTCTGCTCTTGACGAGGTCGGGGAGTGAAGCGGCTGCCTCTAGCGGTGGTGCGAAGGTGGAGGAGCGGTGAGCAGGATTAGGGGTGAAGGTAGTGAGGCGGAGGTAGATGGGGGTGGTGTGACAGGGAAGCGGCGTTGTGAGTCAGCCGACGACAAGCTAAGCCTTTATACAGAGGCACCTCTACCTCGTCCGATCCGGAAGCGCCCAAGCAAGCAGGCAAGCAGGCCAGGACAGGCGCCGACGTCGCCGTTACTGCCGCCGTCGGTCAACTGCCTCATCCTGGTCTAGGGCAGCGGCGGGGGAAGGTGCCCTGCCGCGGCGCCCGCCCCCGCCTCTTCCTTGGCCCGCACCTCGATGACGGCCAAAAAAGTCGACTCTCCGCGTGAGCCGAGCCAGGCCGCCTGCTGGGGCCTTCGAGGAAACGGCGGGGAAAGGGGGCGCGCCCGTCTTTTCCGAGCGCGGGCGCGGCCCTTTGCTTCGCGTCCGCCAAACGAGCAGCGAGCGGGCTGAGGTCAGCCGCACCTGCCACGCCTCTCCCTAGCCTACCAGGCCGTGGTTGGACCCTGCCTTGCTCGACGTTGGGCCTGCCTCGGCCTGACGAGAGGCGGCCCACCAGCGAGCGAGCGGATCAAAGATCATCCCACCACCCCCCCACCGAGGCAGGCCGGCTGCGCGTGGCCGCTTTGCCTTGCCTGCTTGCCAGGCTGGTCGTCGGCGCCCCCTCGGTCGCTGGCTACAGGCGGCACGCTCGACAGCGGCAGATCGTTTAGTCGACAACTTCTCGTCCTAAGAGCAGCCCGGAGACGTCGGACGCGCTGCCAGAGGAGATCGTCCAGCCATGACCCCAATTGGCGGCGGGCGACGTGCGGGTTTTCCGCTGCGTAGCCTGCTGTGCGGAGCGCAAGACAGGCAGGCAGGCAAGCCGAGACGCTAGGGCAAGCCTGGATAGGAATTCACGGTGAGGTCGCGGCATCGACGGTACAAGTACATCGTCGTCCAGGCAGAGCCATGGAGCGGCGCAGCTAGCAGCAAGACAGACCAATCTTCGCAAAGAGACGGGATCGGAAGTCGTCGGGTCGGCCTTTACATCATGCTCGCAATGCTCATCCGCTCGGCGGCTGGCTGCGAGGCGGGAGATGGCGAGGCGTCCTCGTCTTCGTCGCGGACCGTGGCTTTGCTCGCGGCGCCTTCTGCGCCGGTGTCTGCGAGCGTCGCTGATGCTGCCAAACGGGGCGAACGGACGTCGCTGGCGACCGACTCGTCGCTGTCGCTGGCGTTTCCGTACCTGTCCTCGTCTTCGTCCTCATCATCGTCATCGTCATCGTCATCGTCGGCCGCGCCGTCAGCGCCTTTGCCGTCCAGGGCTTCTGCGACTATGGTTGCGGCGCTGGGCAACACCTGAACTCGTTGCGCGAGGGCCTCCAGACCGGAACACGATTCCTGTCGAGCCTTGACCAGGTCGGCAAAGTTGGACAGCACCGACGCCAGGCCCTGCGACGGGCCCCTCATCGGGCTGCCCCGGTAATCGCCGTCGACGTCGTCGCCGCTCGCCTGCCTGCGCTCGACAGCGCTTTCAGAGGGCGAGACTGCCCGGGACGTTGGTCGCGTGCTGGCTGGCGAACGTTGCCGCGGGGAGGCTCTGAGGGACTGGATTGTGTACGGCTGGTCCTTGCCTGAGTTTGACGCAACGTCCCCTAGTGACGGTCCGCTCTCTGACGTGGGCGAGGGTGTTTGCTCGTCTGCGTGGGTATCGTGGCGGTCCTCGTCGTGGGACGGCCGTTTCGCGGCTCCTTTCCGACCGTCCGTCGCCCAGGCGTTGCCGATGGCCAGCGCCCGGTGCGCCCATTCCTGCTCGAAGCGGTAGAAGCGGCTGTAGTGATTGGCGACCTCCTTGGCCTCGTCGAGGAAGCCCTCGCTGTTGATCGTCGCCTCCCACTCCTGCTGATGGGCGGGGTCAATGGCCATCTTGGTGGCGCTAAAATGGGCAGCGGGGCTAGGTTGCGGGTCCGAGGGGATCGAGAAGGACCGGATGGCGCTGAGGCCTCCGTTTGTTCCATATCGTGGTTCGGCAGCCTCGTCGACGTCGCTAGTCGTTGCCGCAGGGTGCGCTGCGTTGCCGGCGGCGCGACTGGACGAAGCGTCGAGCTCGGCACCGGTGGCCGTCGAAGACAAGGATGGCCGAGTCGACGAGTCGACGCCGTCGGTCCCCTCAGAGCTGTCGTTTCGCGCCCGCGCAGCCGTGAGGTGTGTTAGGCGAGCCTGCTCTGCCAGCAAGTTGAGCTGCTCTTCGCGTGTCCGCTGCCGCTTGCTGAGGTGCTCTTGTTGCGAAAAGCGTCGTTCGACCAGCTGGCTCTGCAACACAGCCGCCGCTGCGGCCGTCGCTAGGTGGATGATGCTGGCGCGGCGGGCCGGATCCTTGGGCAGCACCACGTCCGAGGGCGAGGTGATGTCGAAGCCGGCGCCGAGATCTTCGGTCAGCTTCCGTTTCGAGCCGTGGCTGGTGCTGGGCAGTGCTTCGGTGTGAGAGATAGAGCCGGAGCGCTGCAGTAGCGCGGCAAATAGCTGGGAGGCGGGTAACGAGCTCGCCGGTGGCAGTCCGGATCGTGACCTCCCGGGATCGGCTCCGGAAGGGGATCGGGGGGCGCGCAGAGGGTCCATCTGAGGCAGTTGGGGAGCTGGGCTGTGTGCGACGACAGGCATGTCTGGCGAGGCAAGCGAGGGCGAGGTGGGCGAGTGGCAAGGGCGCGCTCTGGCTTCGAAGTCGGCCGGGGATGGGATAGAGCCGGCAACAGCAGCAGCAGAGTTCGATGGGGGCGATGGCGCTGGCATGGTCGGACGCTCAACCACAGAGGAGGGTCTATATCCACTTTCGACGTTGCACGGACCGGACATCGAGGGCCGAGGTGCTGAGGCGACGACCGGCCGGGACGGGGAGGACAAAGCGAGGGCCGGGGCGAGGTCTCTGGCTGTTTCCGCGGGAGCCCAAGCGGAGTCCGAGCCGTTGCACGGCGCCGAGGTCGTTGACTCTTCTGACGGCAAGATTGAGCTGCAGCACGCAGCGTCCGGACGTACTGTATGTCTGGAAGCGCGGACAGGACGGCTGCTCGAGATCTAGAACCGGCCGCCGGGTGGTCGATGGCCAGGCGCCGGTTTGCAGCGCGGATCTGCAGTCAGAGCGGCGGGCGCCTCTGGCTCGAAGGGAGACGCCCACGTGAGGAGCCAGAGCCTGTTTCGTTCGCTGCTCCTGAAGCACCGGTCGCTGCTCGAGGGAAGGCCAGACCGGAGAAAGGGCGGGCAGGACAACGGCACCGCAAGAAGTGGCGCAGCAGCGGTGGCGTCGGTGCGCCTAGGACCGCCGCAAACTCAACTTTGGCCAGGCAGTGACCCAGTCTTCTCGAACGCTGCGGCAGCCGGTGTGCTGCGAGATCCTCTCCGGAGAGTCGGACAAGGCTTCCTCGGCCGTTGGGCTGCACTGGCCTCGAGCCGTGCTTGAACACAGAAGTGGGTCGCCCTGGAACAGTCTCGCCGGTCGGTGCGGTGGCGCCGGGGCCTAGAAACGCAGACCGTGCGGGCGGGCCGGGCAAGCGCACGAGTACCGGACCGGCTGCGCCTCGAAGCTCGACTTCCGGAGAGCGAGCTCTAAACTGCGATGCTGCAGAGACCGCTCACGGTTAAAGAGGGGCAGGCCTGCCGTTCTGCCGGTCGTGGTAGGGCTCGGCAGGTGGCGATACCGACGAGACCCAGGTGGTGCGGGCGAATAGCCTCAGGCTCTGGCCGCGGAGATTGGGCGCGACCAGGAGCTCCCCGATGTCGTTGTCGGGAGCTTGCCGCTACAGTACGAGCCGCCGCAGAGTCGATGAGCCGGTTTGACGGTCAGTACCGGGTCTAGATCAGAACGGTACGTCGAGGGCCACGCCCAAGGCTGTCGTGAACCTGATAGGTTGCCGGCGTGCGACGGTTCGACGCCGACGAACGCGAGCAAGTGCAGCGAAGGTGTCGATACCGTTCGTGCCTCTTGTGAGTCTAGATCAGGCTACGGTCGACGACAGGTACGATTAGTAGGTTTCTGCGTGCGTGTGCTGTCGATCCGCCAGTCTGGGCGCCGGCGTAGGTGTTTGACAGCTGCGTTGGCACGAAAGGGGAGACGAGGAGGGGGTGGTGGAAGTCTGACGATGGCAGCAGACGGCGTACGGTCGAGGCCTGGCAGGATGGCGTTGGCGGCGACTGGGTGTAGGCCTGGCGAGCGAGGTGAGGGGGAGGCGGAGGCAGGGAGAGGGAAGCGGTGGATCGGTCACGGTGACTGGAGAAGCAATCCCCGGTTGCCGCCTGTCGTGTTTGGGTGGTCGCTGTCGGGGCGAGACGAGTGGTGGCGCGGCCACAGGCTAGGGGTACGGTAGAGCCGGTCTCGACTCTCTGGCTGACCGCCTTTGTTGGCCATCAACTCTACAGACGCTGCCGGATGCCGCGGTGGCCCGCCTGGCGTGGTCGCCACCGAGATGAGGACGCTGGGGCCGATTCGCCAGGGATCTCCCCGAGCAACACCGCGCAGACGCCCACGTACGGCGCGCTGACAGACACGCAGGCCGGGCTCACCGAGCCAGGGCCGCGCCTGCCTGCCTGTCTTTGCGCTAGACGAGTGTCTCTCTTCTGGCACTGCCCTCGCAGCCTTCGGCGGAAAGGGGTCTGGACAGACGATGCATGCATGCTGGTGCGACGCGGGAACGGGAGGCTGGGTAGTCTGGCGGGCAGACGGGCAGACGGGCAGGGTCGAGGCCTTGGTCGACCGGTAGCCTGCCAGCAGAGAGGCCGGCAGGGAAGGCAGACGGCAGGCAGGCCAGGCACCAGCCTGCTGCACGCGCGAAAGATCCAAGGGGTCCAGACCTCGGGGCCAGATTCCTCGCCCAGGCGCCCCGCCCCACGGCTCTTGGGCCCACAAGGAAGCAAGCAAGCAAGCAAGCTAAGGCAAGCGGGCAGGGTCTCGACCTCGAGGCTCGGCCCGCCCGAACCTTGCTTGCTTGCTTGCTCGGTGGGCCCGCAAGGACCAGCGTCCAGCTCGCTTCGCTCCGCCGTCGTCTTGGACTTCAGACGAGACGCGCGGCTTATCCCGCACCGGTACCGTACCGTACCACTTCTGTGACTGCGGGACAGCGCTGGCCGATCTTGGCCTGGTCAGCCCAGCCAGCCGGCCGGGGGGCCACCGCAACGCAGAGGCCGGGAGCGATCTACAGATGGCATGCGCCAGCTGCTCTACCCGCATCTGCAGGGCGAGGCCTGGATCTGCAACGCTGCAGCGGAACACAGACTTGCTTGGCCTCGAACCATGCTGGTCTCTCGCACGACTGCCCCGCCCCGCCCCAAAGCCCGAAAGTCCGGTGACGACGGCCTCGACCGGGCCCCGCCTCGTTGCGTTGCAGGCGCGGTACGCATCCGGGGCAGCCAGCCAGGAGCAGACAGAGAGGAGCCACGACGACAACGACGACGCAACGCAACGCAAGCGAGGACGATGTCGAGCGCCCCTGAGCCTTCATGTTGCGCGACGCCTCCCGCAGCCTTGCGGCTACGCCCGACTCGGCGCACCGTCGCCGCTGGCGGGCAAGAGGCCGGATCCGCTGCCGAGGCTGGCAGAGTCGGTGGGCCCGACGATGGCGCTGCTGACACGCTCCGGACACCCTCGCAGCCGTCTCGGGCCGCGACGAAGCGCAGGTTCCGCATCAACAGGCTGCTCGGTCGCATCGTCCCGCTCATCATCCTGGTCTACGTCGGGTAAGAGGAGCCGGTGCCAAGTCGACAGCGGTGCGCGCCGCTCAGGGCTGAAGCGGAGTCGCGAACTTGACGGTTCCCCAACGTCGCTTGCTGCGCACTACTACGGTGGTCGTTTCCCCCTGCCAGGTACACCTACCAGCTCGTCGTCTTCCGCTACAACTGTGAGGCCAGCCTGACGGTGCGTCGAGGTCGTCGTGACTGCCCCCGGCGCTGACTGCTGCACCGATGCTTTACCTGCCTCGTCGACCGCGCAGATGGCCATGTCTGCAAAGTGCTCGGTAGACCTGGGCTATCCGGTGAGTGACCAGGAGCAGGAGCAGGAGCAGGGGCATGCCCCGCATCAAACGACGGCCATTTGTCCTCACCTCGACCCTGTGCTGTGCCCCTCATCTCTCCGGTTGATCAGCGGCCCACCTGCTCCCAGCGCACATCGGCTTCCTCGCCGCCGTGCGCAGCTACCTGCGCGTCTTTCTCGCGCACTCGTCGACGTCGCCCCGTCGTGGCCTGCGCGGACGACTTGCCAGGCTGTGCGGCAGCTCCTTCGAGCCGCACGACGGCTTGCGGCTGGAGCGCGGCCAGGAGGGCATCCGAGCATGCCAGCCTGACGGATCGCCGCTGCGGTGCTGGCGCGACGCGTGCAACGGCAGCATCCGGGGCGCGCGGACGCGCCACTGCGGAGACTGTGGGACGTGCAGAGTCGGCTTTGACCACCACTGCGCCTGGGTGAGTGCTAGTCATCCTGACGAAGCCACGGCGAGGAGACTCACAACGCGCTGTCGCAGGGCGCTAACGTCTCGGCCCTGCCCCGTTTCCCTTCCCCCGCCACCTGGCAACGACAGTTCGACAACGACGTGACCGCACCGGCGACGCTGCGGCCGTTTGTGCACTTCCTCGTGCTGATCCCGCCGCTCGTCGCGTGGGCCTTTGCGCCGCTGCTGCCCGTCGCATGGCGACACGCGCGGGCAATCTGGCGGATGGCGAGGCAGGATCCCGAGATCGCCTCACGCTGGTGGGACCGACGACGGAGTTGGGCGGGTGGGCCAGTGTTCCGCTACGCCGTGGGCTGGATCTGGGCCGGTCAAAAGGCCTCCTCCCTGCCGTACAGGCACGGCACGACGCTCCTCGACCGACCGAGCCCGCGCATCCCGTTTCTCGTCGCATTCGGCGTCGTCTTCTCCTCGATCGCTGCGAGTGAGTTCGCCCCTCCGCCGCACGCCCTACCTCTAACGCCTGGTGTTGTCTCCTTGCCCATCGACGAGGAGCAACTGACGAAGCGCGACACGTCCACCCCCACCCCGCACCGCACAGTCCTGGCCACATCGACGCTGCGCCAGCTCTCGCGCGGCGAACTGACCATCGACGTCGAGCGACGTAAAGCCCACCGTCGTCTGCTCTCCTCAACCTCTGCTGCGGAACCCACCGACGAATCGAGGCGGAGGCTGGACGTCCTCGAGCCGCGGGTGCATTTCAGCGTACCCGTTTCGCTCTTCTCCCCGGGCGACGGCGAAAGGAGCATAGGACGGGGCGAAGGCGAGGACGAGCAGAAGAGGGAGGTCGTCTCGATCCGCCTCGATGAAGGTGTTTGGCGCAGGAGAGCGGGGCCAGGACGGGGAGACTGGATCGAGAACCTCTGCTTCTTTCTCTGGGACGATGATGCAGAGACGTCGATGGCGGGACAGTGGCCGCTGAGCGACAAGGTGCATCACGAGTTGGTCCGACGTGCCGAGGCGCAGTACCGACAGAGGCAGAAATGATCAGCGACCCATCGACATGTCGTGTCATGCCATCCTTCGCATCACCCTGGCCCCTTTGGCCGGTCGATTCCGTCGTGGCCGGGGCGGCTCAGCTGTACACAGCGCGTATGCCCGCCCCTGCCTCACGGTGCGGTCGACTCCTCGCGCCGCGTCCACCCGGTCCCATGCCTCCGCCCGGACCAAATTCTCCCTCGGCCTGTCCGCTCTGAACCAGATCGAACTTGTCCACCAGCTGTTGCGGCTCATGCGAGACAGGACGGAAAGGTGTAAGCCCAGCAGCTCGGCGAAGCAAGGATGATGTAAGGGAGGGCGAGGGAGAAACCCGGGCTACTCACCTCGTTCATCGTATGCACGCCCTTGGTCATGGTCGTGAGGTAGTTGGTCAGGAGGACGTCGTTGTACTCCTGTCGAATGAGCAGCGGGCGGAAATAGAGAGAGAGAAATGACTCCAGTCAGCGAGCGTGATCAAAGCTCCCGGCGAGCGGCACACGGCGACGCACCCTCAGCAGCTCGACGTTGAGGTCGTCCAGGCCCGTGGCGGGCAGGTTGGAGACGACGGCCTTGATCTGCCTCAGGCTCTCGTGGTCCATGGGCACCTTTGCCTCCTTGACCTGCTGCATGTACGCCGTGACGAGCTTGATGCGGTCCTGCAGCTTGGCGATGGCGTTGTACTGCGCCATCAGGCTCGCGACCACTGCGGAGCGGACGGCGGCGGCAGGGGAGGTGGAGAGCGGATCAGCGCTGCGAAGGAGTCGCGGTCATATCGATACCCCTGCGACGGTGCCATGGCCAACCCACTGCTGCTCTCATCGCTCCCGCCCGACTCGGCGCCTGCCTTGCTCGTGTGGTCCACGGCGATCCTTTCTGCCTCGCCCGTCTCGATGCGGTAGCCGGTGGGGATGAAGAACGTGGTCGCCTCTGTGCCGACCATTTCGATGACCGACTCGTACACGTTGATGGGCAGCTCGCCGTCCTTGTCCGCTGCTTCGAATGATGCCACCGTCGGATGGAGCTGGAGGAGCAGGGGCGTCTCGTTGTACACCAGCAGCTGCGTTGTGCAGGGGAAGGGCGGAGCAGGGCAGGCAGGGTCAGCGAGCGTACCCGTACGGCGCTGTCAAGGCAGCGACTGCGACGCACCTGCTTATGGATGTGCATGTCGCTCTCGAGAGGCACTGCGCCGACCGTGTACCATCCCAGGACGTCGAGCGTCGGAAAGACTTGCTTGTCTGTGGTGTGCGAACAGCGCCAGATGGGGCAGGGTTCAGTCCGAGTGTCCATGGGGATCGAGCAGAAGCGGAAGCAGCATGGACTCACATTGCGCCTGTCTGGATCTGAGGAAGTCGTGGTCGACTTCCAAGCTGGACCCGCCGGCGGCGGCCAGCTGGATCTCGAACGAATTCTGGATCTCAATGTCTCTTCCGGACTGGGTGCCGAGCAGCATGCCGTAGACTGAGCGGACGAGAGTGCGTGGGAAGGGTTCAGCGCCGACCTGAGATCTGAGACTCGCGGCTCCACGGGCTCGTGTACGCACCTCTGACATTGTCGGAAGAGGACTGCAGCCTGGTCCTGACGAGATGCTCCGACACGTTGAGGATCGGTAGCGGGTGTCTGCAGAGGCAGGTATCGAGCGTAGGGGGGTAGGTCGGGGTGTAAGTAGAGGAGCACAGAGAAAGGAATTCAAGGAAAGCTCAAGCCCGGGCTCGACTTACAGGCTGACGTTGCTGGCGACACCCGACGAGGACTGGGCGTCGAGGAGGACGGGCGAGAGTGGCGACACGCGCAGGGCGCTCGAGGTGGACCCCGAGGCCGATGCGCCGGTCGTGCTCGCGGTCGCTGCCATGGCTGCGTGCTTGTGGTTGTGGCAGGAGTGATGTGCGAAACAAGGGGCAGTGGTTGTGGGAGATGGGCCAGGGCGGGGCGGAGCAGGAGATGAGGGATGCAATCGAGGTAGGCAGCCAATCGAAAGGTTGCGGGCTGCGGACAGGCCACCCGCAAACGGGGGGCCATTGAGCCTCCACATCCCGCCATGGCCTCAGCCAAGCCGGCACCTGCGCCTGTCTGGCCCCATTCAAAGCAGCCAGCCAAACGTCGGCACCGAAACGCCCCCGCCAAGCGTAGTCGCAGCCCAACACGGCGCGTCCAACAGGCAGGCAGGGGTCCACGGGAGCGGCCCGGCACTGTTGATGCCGCTGCCCAGCCTGCTCCTCCTTCCTCTTCTTCCACCACCATCAACATCAAGGACCACCTTGCACGCACCCACGCACGCCATGAAGCTACCGCCCCGCTCGCTCGTCAAGCGCCTGATACGCAGCCACCTGCCCGCCTCGGCGCGCCTCAGCAAAAACGCCGACCTCTACATCGCCCTCGCCTTCCTCCTCTACATGCAGCGCCTCGCAAACGAGACCCGCCTCACCCACCAGATCGACCTCTCCAACGGCATCCGCGGTCCCCTCGCAAAACGCCACGTCGCAGGTGCAAGGAGGAGGGTCAGGGGTTGATTTGGCTGCGCGGCCATCGCGCCCGCATCGACTCGACTCAACCTGGTGCTCGCTGGGCTGGCCGGAACGACGTCCGCATCCTGTCCATCCGTCCGTTGGCATCCTCAAGTCAACACGCAACAAGCGGAATACTGCATGCCGAATGGTGGCAGCATGACTGCGATTCCGACGAGGACGGATTCTGCGCCGAGTCCTCCACCAAGCGCCCCTTCACATGTCCATGTCCTGCTCGTCGCCCCTCGGCATCGCGCCAACGCCCAGCCGTCCCGCCAGCACGCCAACCGCACCCGCGCCCTGGCTCTTCAAAAACTGCCGGAGCATGTGCACCTTGTCGCCCTCCTCGCCTGCCTCCTCGTCGAGCTGCTTGAGCAGGTCCGGCGGCAGGTGCTGCAGCAGCGTCCGCGGCAGATCCGCCGCATCGTTGCCCGACGACGCCAGCAGGCTCGACAGCAGAGACAGATCTTGCTCCTCCTCGGCGCTCGGCTTGCTCGACTCGGCAGAGGGGGGCGTGGCGGTCTTGTCCTTCCCGGTGTCGGCACCGCTCGCCGCCGGCTGCTGTTGCTGCCGAGGGAGCGATGCGATATGGCTGTCGATCTCGTCCATCGCCTCGTCAAACGATGTGATGTCCGGTCGGGGCCGAAGCGCCGCCGGCGACCGTGCAGCAGACGAGGCGGGCTTTGTCCCTGCATCTGCCGCGGCCGCCTTGTCCCCTCTTGCAGCGCCGCTGCCCGCCGCAGGAGCCGCGGCGACCTCCGGGACGTACCGGCCCTCCTTCCTCCGCCTCTCCATGACCGCCGCGTACTGCTCCCGCGTCAAACCCAACGACGTGCGGACAAACTCGAGGAACTCCTCCTCGCCCTCGTCCTCGACGACGTCGCCGCCCTCCTCGTCGCCCGGGCCCCGCAACCAGTCCCCTGCGGCGCCTTCTTCGTCATCGTCGTCCCGCACATCGTACTCTCTCGCCAGCTCCTTTCGGACCTGGGCCGAAGTCTCCTGCTCGAGCTCAGAGTCGGAATCCGAGGCGCCGTCGTAGTGGTTCTGCTGGCGCGACAGCAGCGTCGACGTCGCGCGCATCTCCTGCGAGGCGAGTTGCGAGTGAAGCTTCTTCGTGGCCGCGCTGCCGGGCGGAGGCTGGACCAAGGCGTTGGACGCATCCTTTGCCGCCGTCGCGATGTGGAGCGAGTGGGTCGACGAGAGGCGGTCGAGCACGTCTGCCAGCCCTTCCGGCTTCTGCGTGGTAGATGTGGGCGAAGAAGGCGGGCGGTCGTCCCGTTGCGCGTCTTCCGCCATGGCCGTACCGCCTGCCGCCACCGCCGACGCCGCCGGTGTCGACGTCGGTGCCGAGGGTGCTGCCGGTGCAGGCGCTGCCCCCTCTTTGGTACTCGATCCTGTGGCCCAGATGCCCGCCAGGCCTGGCAGGATCTTTTCCAGCCTCTGCGAACGTTCGCCCTCGTCCATCTCCCTGAGACGCTTCTGTACCTCCCTATCCACTTGTTCATCGTCGCCCTCTTCTCCAACTTTGTCGTCATCGTCGTCGTCGTCGTCATCACCGTCATCGAGATCATCATCGAGCATGAGATCGTCGTCGTCGCCGTCCCAGTCTTCCTTTTCGTCGTCGTCGAGCTCGTCGAGAAAGGCGGCGCCGCGCTCGTCGGACTGCGTCTTCATGAACTGGTCCATTTTGGAGGCGAAGCGCTTGAGCTTGTCGAGAGCCTTGTCCTCCTCGGATGCCTGCGCGGCAGAAGGCATCTGCTGCTGCGATGACTGACGCGGCACGAAGCGGCTCTCGAGCATCGTATCGAGGTCTTCGGTCGTCACTACCATCCAGTCTTCGGAGTCCTCGAGCGAGGCCAGCACCGCAGGCGACGACGTAGGCGAGACGACCTTGATGTCCCCGGTGGCAGCCGCCGTGTGCGGATCAGAGAGCAGCGCATCGACCTTGTCGGAGACAGAACCGCGCTGATGTGCCTCCTCGTCCTGCGCGTCCGCACCGCTGTTTGCAGGCGTCACCTTGAGCTTGCGTAGCTGTGAGACTGCATCGGCCTCGAGCTGCTTCCACTTGGCGGACCCCTCGATTTCGTCGCCAAAGTAGCCCAGCTTCCTGAGCGAGGCGACAAACTTCGCATGGTCGTCTCCCGCGGCTGTCTCGGACGCAGCATCGGCCGCATCGAAGCTCGAGGCGCTTGCGTTGCGCTTCGACTTGCCTCGGCGACTGGCCGACTCTTCGTAGGCCATCTCGAGGCCGCACCACACCTTGGCCCCAATGTCTCGCCACCGCCCCTCGCGCAGCTCGCGCTGCACGTCGTCTTCATCCTCGACTGCGGGTGCTGCTGCACCTCGAGAGCCGCCTTGAGCTCCCTGCTGCATCCGCAGGCGGTACTTTTCGACGGCCATCTGCCACGGCTTGCCGAATGCTCGGGGCGGGAAGAAGCGGTCGTAGCAGAGCTGCGCGTAGAGATGCCGTGTCATGCGGACAGGCGTGAGCACCACTTCGTCCTGGTCGATGCCCTTGCCGCCGGCCGACATGGACGAGCTGTTCGGGTCACCCTGTCCATCCTGGTCCATGGGAGACGGCTCAGCCTCAGAGGCGATTCGGCAAGGGAAGCGCTTCATCCGCATCGCCGCTCGAGAGCTGATGACGTCCCTGGTCGTGAGCGCCTCGGTGGCGCGAGAGACCAGCTGGGGGTCCGCCTGCAGTACACAGGCCAGCCGTCGAGAGAGATAGGCGAGCGTGGTATGGTGGTGGTCCGCAGCAGCCAGGGGATAGTCCTGGATCCTCGCAAAGGCGGCCTCTTGGACCGCATCCGAGACGCCGGTAAAGATGGACGGGTCTGAGACTGCGCGGATCGCATCCGAGACGGTGATGGTGGCGGGATGATCCGGGTCCTCGTCCTGGCTGTCGATCCGCGGTGCTGGCATGGTGGCTGATCGGATCTCGAGCGGGACGAGATGGAGGCGACCTTGGTGAATCCAGACGCGGTTATCGACATTGTCTGGGCTGACCCATTTCGGCAGCGCCTCTGCCGCCTCGATCAAGATGAACTGGCCATCCTCGTCCTGGATCGAGACGGCCAAGCTGGTACCAAAGTAGGCAGCGTCCCGGGTGGCCATGCAGAGGATGTAGGTGATGAACCACTCGTCTTCGACGCAGTCGCCGCCCGTGCGAAGATGAAGGCGCACCGAGGGTGTCGTCGGATCGTTCGGTGAGGAGGCTGAGGCTGAGTTGGCGGCCAGCGACGTCGGTGGAGGCAGCGAGATCGACAAAGTGGGCGGGTCGCGATGCCAGATGTAGGGGCCACCGATCTTTGGGTTGGCGCAGGCGTGTCTGTGGAGGTAGGCGTCGAGCTTTGCCCGCAGTGTTGAGAGTTGGGCCACTACATCGACATGGGAAGAAGAGGACGGCGACGGCTCGAGCGGGTAGATGTGTGCGATGAGGGCCTGCTGCTTGTCGGCCTGGGCGGCGGAGCGCAGCAGTGCGTTTGTGTCGCTGAGCGGAAGCGCCGCAGTGCCATCGAAGCGGTCGTCCATGATGGGCGAGCAGCGCACCCTTGGCCTTGTGTTCCTGTGACGCTGATGGGGGAAAGTCCTGGACGGCACTGGCGAGGGACCACGGTGATGGTGGTGGCGGGGCAAGGGGCAGAAGAGGCAGCTCAGCTGGCCCCAAGTCGGCGTCTTTCGAGAAGAAAGCCAGCGCTCGCGGGGGGAAAAAATTCAAATGGCCTGCGCCTTCTCCACTTTGCGGTTTGTATTCGACGGCGGGGCAGACGCAATACCGCGTCGCGTCGAGGCCAATACAAGATTCCAGGCCGCCTGGCCGTGGCTCGGGTTGCGGGTGAGGAAAAGGTGCGAGTGACGCAGCATCAGGGAAGCCCTGCCACAGAGGCCGCTCTCACCTTTGCAGGCGCAGCCGGCCAGACTCCAGACTCGCTGGGCGGACGGAAGCGTTCAGGCCAACAGCGCGGGGGGCGGCCCTACTTCCGCCTTTTTCAAAAGACGACGGAGGCCCGCCAGCTTCCCATCCACACCACACCACACCACTCTGACCTTCCAACGACTCACCGCCACCGCCACCTTACAAACGCCATCCTGCATCTCGCTGTCCAACCCTTTCCCCGTCACTAACCTCCTCCTGTCGTGTCGCACCCACACTGCGCGTCCATCCTCGAGGGGCAGGGCGCGCACCTCTAGCCGCCTGGGCCTCGCTCGCATAGCCTCCCTCCGCCCCTCCTTGACCCCCTCGCCTTGCTCGCATTGCCAGCCGCCCTCGCCCGCTGCTGGTCATGCCCGCATTCAAACGCTCTCGCTCGGCCATCGAGCCCGCACAGAGCGCATCCTCGTCCTCTGGCGCCAGCGGCAGCGCAACAAGCTCCCCCTCGCCCTGGAAGCGCATTCGCGACTTTGTCGTCGCACCCTTCAGCCCCTCGCCCAGCAGCAAACGCAGGAGGACGCATTCAAACCTCTCCGACGCACCCCAGCACGCCGCCAGCGGCTTCATCGAGCTCGATCCTTCTTCCGACAACCCTGCAGCTCCGGCCACCCTTCCCGCCGACCAAGAGGGCAGCCTTCGCTACCCCAGCCTCGATCGCTTGCAGGAGCACGACAGGAACAGGACCGTCTCCAGCGGAGCCTCGTCTACCAACCGCGTCCTCAGGCTCTATCCATCACTGCCCTCCTTACCACGCTCGAACTCGGAATCAGCCGAGGACGACCAAGCGGTCCCCGAGCAGCATACCGCCGCTGAGCCTGCGCCGTTCCAATTTAGCCGCGAGACGTCTCAGAGGCTCATCGAGATTCTCGACAGGAACGACCTCAGTCGGTCCCCCGACGGCGTCGAGCTGGACATGGAAGCCCAGCGGGCGAGGGAGAAGGCAAGGGTGGATCGGGAAATGGCAGCGATCCTGGCAGACTCCCGCCGCTCCCCGGCGTCATTCGGGGCCAAAGGCAAGGCAAGAGCCACCGAAGATGGGATCGTCGCTGCTTCAAATGATTCGGCTGCCTCCGAAGGACCAACGGACCAGGACGTCGACGAGATCGAGGCCCTGGTCGCATCTGACAAGGGCGAACAGCTGGGCGACTTCGGCGGAGCGGAAGCCGACCTCTCTGTGCCAATGGCAACGCCTTCAGAGGATGGGGACGCCAAAGAGGACGAGCTCGCCGCGAGCATCAAGGAGCCGCCATCCGCCGACGACGCGATACCATCCGACGAGGCCAGTACCGATGCCAACGTGCTTGTCGATCTGCACACAGACTCGACGAACGTCGACTCGGATCAGCTCGAGGCAGCTTTACCTGACGTGGGCGGTGAGGCGGCGCCAGTGGCCGCGAACGCCGACCAGTCAGCAACTGAAGCAGCGGCCGAATCTGAGCCAGCCTCCAGCTTCGGTGCCGCCAACGAGCATACAAGCGACGTGGCGGAGGCCGCAGCTGCATTCGTCCGAGACCTCATCGCCGCCGGCCAGTCAAGTCAACACAAAGAGCCAACGTCGACTGACATGGACGCAGAAAGCCTCGGGGCCGCCGCACTCGGCGACGATGCCGATGCAAGCATGCAAGAGCCCCAGCAGGACGAGGCGAACGTCGAATTTGAGCAAGCTCCACACCTGGACAGCCACGTGCCGATGCTGGCGGGCACGGCCCCGTCGGAAGGCGACCACGAGAAAGTCGATGGATCTTCGCAGCACTCCGACGCGTCGAGCGACGACAGCGACGACAGTTCTGACCTGGACCGGGCGGGCGATGACGACGATGGGCATGGCGTTGAAGTGGACGAGCTCGAAAGCGCGGACGAAGCAGAGGCCGGTACAGACGACGAGGAAGACGAGGACGAGGATGGGGATGGAGACCATGGCGAGGAAAGCGAGGATGAGGAGGATGAGGAAGAGGATGCAGACGAAGATGCAGCGGAGGACGGAGACAGCGGGGAAGACGAGATCATCCTGGTGCAGGGCTCTCACCCGGCGTCAGCGACAGCTTCGTCCGAGCTCGAGGCCGGCGAGACAGACGACGCATCTTCTGTCGGTCCGGTCGGTGACGATGAAGAAGCTGCTGCGGAATCTTCGGTCTCAGCAGTCGCTCTCAGGCCACTACCCAACGGAGCTGACGTTGTCGACCTCACCGGCGAGGACGATGACGAGCGCGATGTTGCCGCTGACACCTCGGATGTCAAGTTCAGCCCGGCAAATGCAGCGCGAGTCGGGCAGCTCCTTCAGCGCCGGTCTCAAGCAGATTCGCCCTCGAGGCGCCGCCCCCGCCACTCGGCGCTCGTCGGACCCATGACGATGGAAGCGATCCAGAAGGAGCACCAGCACGCTTTCAGCTTCGACTCGTCTCTGCACGACCGCAGCAGCCTATACTCTGGACACGACGGCGGCTACGGCGACGCAGACGATGACGACGACGGGCGCTCGGAACGGTCGGCGGCCGACTCGGTGCGGGAGATCGGGCGGCGCGTGCAGACCATGAAGCTCTTCAAGCCACGAAGCGGCAAGCGACTGTCGAGCGGCGGGCTGGGCTTCCCGCGCGCTCCGAGCTCGGTCGGCGGCTCTAGCAGTGTCGGCTCGTTTGCGAACTCGCCTCAGCCCAAGATGCGAAGCTCGAGCTACACGAAAAAGAACCACATCTTCAGCGGAGAGGTGAGTGTGTGTGTGTGTGCGGCGCAAAAGGGGTGCAAATGGTAAACACTGCTGACTCGTTGGCGTCTGACCGTACGTCGCGCTGCAGCACATCCGAGCGGTCAGCATGAACAACAGGATGAACCTCAGGAGGCGGGTCAAGCAGGCTTGGGCCCAGGTCAACTCGCTGAGAAAGGGTGAGTGGCCACAGGCCGCCCTGACGTGCTGCTGCTGCTCGATGCTCACTGGACTGACTCAAGGGACGATCTCGGCCATCTGCTCTGAATCACGACTCCAGTCCACAAGGTGCCCACAATCAACCTGGAGGTGTTCGAGGGGCTGGCTCGAAAAGGTGCAGAGGTGCAGAGGATCGTGCAGGCCGAGAACGACCGAGACTTTGCCAAGAAGCTGCAGACCCAGGACGTGAGTGCAGGCTGTCTCGAGTTGGCCAGGTGATCAACGGCCTACCTGTGGACATACCTCTGACGATGTTTGGCCCCTCCGTGCCTTGCTGCTTGCTCTGCAGGATTATGTCGAGTCGTTCCTCCGCCGCCTCAAGCAGAGAGAGGAGGACGCCGGCAGCCTGATGCCTCTACCGGCGCACAAGCTCAGCGAGATCGAGCGCCTGAAGCGGGAGCAGCGCGAGCGTGCCCGCAAGCTGCGGGGCGTCCTAGGTAGGAGACCGGTGAGTAACAGGCTGCAAGCCCAGCTAGTGATGTGGCCAGCTCAGACGAGTATCTGATCGTCGTTGCTCTCCTTTTTGCCGCCGACCATCCAGCTGCCGGATCGGCTGCCGGACAACGCTGAGGCCGAGGTCGACGAAATCTTCCGTCGACGAGGCAAGATTGCGTCGATCCCCGGCGCGCAGGTAGACGACAAGGACGTGCGCAAGCTGCTGCCGTACCAGTGGCTCAACGACGAGGTCATCAACTTCTACGGTAATCTCGTCCTGAACCGCGCCAACGATGCCGAAAAGAAGCGGCAGGAGGGCATCAAGAAGGCGGCGCAGGCGCAGCCACCCGACGATGCGACCCACGACGCCGCTGGCAAGGGCAAGAAGAAGAAGCAGGAGCGGCCCTATGACCCTGCCCTCGATGCCTACTGGCGCGTTCATTTCTTCTCGAGCTTCTTCTGGGAGAACCTCAAGAACCGAGGTTTCGACGGCGTCAAACGCTGGACTCGCAAGGTGAGGCGTCTACGACGATGATGAGGCGTGGTCCTCTCTGGCATACTGTCGCCAAGCTCGTGCTGACCCCTCCCGCTCCTGTCTCAACGTGCCGCTGCCGGATTCGCAGGTCGACATCTTCAGCAAGGACATCGTCCTCTTCCCGATCAACCTGGGCAACTCGCACTGGGTATGCGGCGCCATCAACTTCCGCGAGCGGCGGTTCGAGTACTACGACTCGATGGGCATCGAGAACCGCAAGGCGTATGCGCTGATGCGGTCCTATGTCGTGTCAGAAGGGCTGGACAAGAAGAAGCGGCGCATCGACCTGCGCGGCTGGCGCAACCGCTTCTCGCGCGAGACGCCGCAGCAGGAGAACGGGTACGACTGCGGCGTGTTTGCCGCCATGACGCTCGAGCAGATCAGCCGCCGCGATCCGAGGAAGAGGATCCCGCCGCCCGTCGAGGTCAAGTGGGTCGAGGCCAGCGGCGACGACGGCGAAGAGAGCGAGGTGGGCAGCAGCGACGACGACGATGACGGCGGCGCGCGTGCGCAGACCCACGACGACGACGACGACGAGTACGAGTGGAACTTTCGGCAGCACAACATGCCCTACCTGCGCCGGAGGATGGCCTACGAGATTGCCACCACCCAGCTGCTCGAGTAGCAAGAGAAGGAGCCCGTCTCCCCCGCCTTTATCTCGCTGTATTTTTAGTCGACTCGCGCCTGGCTCCTGCAGCCGGGCCTCTCTCGAGTTGCGACAAGATCATACATCGTGCGCGCCAGCTCCCCTCGTGCCGCTTTCGTTAGCCATCTCCGCCGTTTGGGCCGTGCAGAGCCAGTCACAACCTCGAGATTGTGAGCGGTGTTGGGAGACTCGGGAAACGGAGACGGTTTGGGCCAGCTTGAAGAGGTGGAGGGGGTGCATGGAGGAGCTGCTTCAGCCCAAGGTTCAGACTGACGACGCGTCCACCTCAACCACCAACGACTCCGCCGCTGGCCTCTGCTGCCGCCGCTGCACGCTCGACAGCATGACGACGGCCGACAACGCGGACTCGACGATACCCATACTCGACTACACACCGAGCTACGACGAGTTCCTCGTGAGCCATCTCGAGACGCCCCCTCTCGCTCTGAGTCGACATGCCGAGACTGATCCCTCCTGCGCCTGGTCCCGTTCTTCGACGCAGACAAACCACCTACTACCCAACGAGCCCTGCCTCTTCTCGACGCCACTCGACACATTCGCACCCTGGCTTTCGCGTGCACTCTCCACGGCTCCTCTTCAAGAAGGTACGACCTCGGGGCGGGGCTGGACCACGCCCAGCATCGATTGGGACGTCCTGGCGCAGCAGTTCGGGGACCACGTCGCGCCCACCGTGTTTTGCGACGACGAGGGTCGACAGTGCAGAGAAGACCTGCCCGTCGCGCGTACCGTTGCCGAGCGCATGGCCGCCGGGAAAGGCCCCGTGTATATCAAGGACTGGCACCTTGTTCGTCTGGCTCGTCGGGATGCCATGGCCCGGTCGTTTCGGGATAGGTGGAGCGAGGTGGGGAGAGAGGAGAGGGAGAGGGAGATGCAGAGGCGTATGCCCTACGTCGTCCCCGAGGCACTTAGAGACGACTGGATGAATCCGCCCTATCGTCCTGCTCGCACGTCGTCCAAGGACACGAAGCGTGGTTCAGCCCCCGTGGGCATTGGGCAAGCGCCGAGGCCAGAGGCAATCGCGGCCGCCGACGGCAGCGACAACGAAGATGAAGACGACGACGACGACGACGACGATGACGACTTCCGGTTCTGCTACGCCGGCACGGCGGGATCGTCGACGGGCATACACCGAGACGTGTACACGAGCTACTCGTGGTCGACCAACCTGGTCGGCGTCAAACGGTGGCGGCTGTGGGCGCCGTCGCACGCCGCCTGCCTCCGACGCTTCCCCGCGGTCCGGACGAGCGAGCTGGTGCATGACTACGCCACCATGCTCACCCTCGTTCCTCCCCCTTCGTCGTCGTCGACACACGAGCGCGCCGGCAAGGTCGCCATCGAGTGGTCCGGACTGCCACAAGCCGTCGCGGCGACGAGGACCGTGGTCCAACGACCGGGGGAGACCATCTTCGTGCCCTCGGACTGGTACCACCAGGTCGAGAACGTCACCGAATGCATCTCGCTCAACCACAACTGGTGCAACGCCGTCAACCTGCCCAGCCTCTACCGCTCCATCGTCGAAGAGGTCGAGGACGTGCAGCACTCGCTCGACGACGTGCGCGAGATGCTCTCCAAGGGCCACCCGGGCGCGGCGCAAGCAGCCGGGCCGGGACACGACGAAGAGTGGAGGCGCGAGTGGACCAAGATTGTCCTCGACGTGGCCAAGCAGGATGCCGGGTGGGCCTGGACCGAGTTCTGGAGGATGGTGGCCACCAACCTCGGCCGACCCCCGGCATTGAAACAGGAGAGACCGGAGGATCGGTGGGTGAGGGATCGGATATGGCCGCTGGTGGCAGACTTTGAGGGCAGAGAAGAGTTTGCATGGGTAGAGGAAGAGTGTCGGACGTGGTGGCGAAAGGCCAAGGAGCAGCTCGACAAGGAAAGCGCAACACCGCCGTAGTCCGCGAAGACTCGGAATCGGTCTGCTACGACCAAGCTTGAGCTCTGGGAAAGCCTGCTACGAGGAGCACGAGGGCAGGTTGCCCGTCAAAGATCGCCCAATCGAGCACAGGCGCTGAAACGGCGGCAGAAGGCGAGGGCGGCACTTTGGTATGTCAGAGATCAGGGACGAGACCCTGCGCGGGCTCAGCCGGGCCGATCAACACTCACCGCCTCTTCGCTGACCTGTTCCTCGCTCTTACCCTCCGCCGGGAGGCCCCAGTCTTCAAAGGGTCGGATGCACATCTACGGCACAGGGAAGCGAGGGGAAAGATCAAGGGGGTCAGCTCCGAAACCTCGCCGCAGCGGGCACTCGACGGAGAACCCTACGCCATGGCACTCACCTGCAGCACGCGCTCAAGCGCCTCGGTATCGTTGTCCTTTTCGAGCTTCTCGACCACCTCGGTCGTGACCCAGTTCCGCAGGACGAAGCGTGGGTTGGCCTTCTTCATCTCGGCCGTGACTTGGTCGCCATCCCTGCCCTCCTGGAGCAGGCGCTTGGCGTAGTCGAGCAGCCAGGGTCGGAACTGGTCCATCTTGGCCGACCGCATATACTCGGGCACCACCTTCTCGTCGTACAGGCCCTCTCGCCCCTGGGCCTTGTCTCCCAGCGCAAAGTCGCGCAGCACCTCCTTGAGTCGCGCCTCCATGTCGCTGTCGCCCTCGATGATAGCGCCGCTGAGGCCGTGCGCCTTGAGAAACGCAGGCAGGCGACACAGGCTGCGCAGCGTCGTGGGAAAGTCGAGGTCGGCCAGTGCGGCGAGCAGCGGCTCGATGAGGCGGCCTTTGCCATCTTCGGACCCGGCATCTTGCAGGCCGAGCCGCTTGGCCCAGCCCCTCTTCCATTCGTCCATCAGCGTCGAGGTGAACGTCGTCTCGATTTCCTCGGAAGCCTGCTCGCGAGCGAGCTTCTTGAGAGCGTTGATCTCGTCCGACTTGAGCCGCAGCAGGTCGCCCGGGGCCGGCGCCCTGCCCTCTTGGATCTCGAAGCCGACCAGGGGAGCAAGAGCGTTGACCAGCTCGCGGATCGCAAACACACCCATGGTCGGCTGGAGGCGGTACGCGTAGCGTCCCTCGCCGTCTGAGTGGTTGCAGATCTGCCCCTCGTCAAAGATGTCCATGAATGCGTACGGGCCATAGTCGATGGTGTGGCCGAGCAGCGAGATGTTGTCGGTGTTCATCACGCCGTGCATGAAGCCGTTGACCTGCCACAGGGCGATGGTGCGGGCGTTGCGGCGTGCCACCTCCTCGATCAGCCGTCGCGCCCACGGCTTCCGCTCCACGCCGGATGCCGCATCGGCAGCTTCGATGGACCCGCCCTTAACGACGTCGGTCCAGCCGAAAAGGTCGCGCGCCACATACTCGCCGAGCATCCGGGACGACTCCCACTCGGAGCGAGAGCTGTGAATCTGAAAGGAGCCGATCCTCAGCCACGAAGGGCAAAGCCTCGTGGTGATGGCGGCGCCTGCACGTATCGGGGGCAAACGAGGCTCGTCAACACCTCGAAGGCAAGCGGAGCTCAGCGGGTAGTTGGCTCTGCCGTCTCACCGTTGATCCTTTCGCGCAGCACCTTGAGGTCCGGGATGCTGACGACGGCCAGCGCTCGGCTCGTCGGCACGCCAAGCGCGCCCATGGCTGTGTATCAGACGTAGAGGCGATCTCGCACGTCAGTTTAGCGTGATGATTCTGGCGAACAGGGTCATCTCCTCAACAAGACCCATGGCTCACCTTCGCTTCCCAAGAACTCGCGGACGCTGCTGCCCAAGGTGGCGAGGCCGTCAGCGAAGCGCGAGTAAGGCGTTCGGCCAGCGCCCTTCAGCTGAATGTCCCATCGCTCGCCAGTGGTTGGGTCCTTCGTCTCAACTGCCGTTGCCAGAGGGCGCAATCCGGAGGTCAGTCGAGTCCGGTGGGCAACAGGTGCAAGGAAAGGCGTCGCGTCAACTCACGTAGAGTGATGGCCCGCCCATCGCCGAGCTGACCGGCCCAGGAGCCGAATTGGTGACCAGCGTAGCAGAGCGACCACGGGGCGTAGCCAACATCGTCGCCCTGCCGCCTGCGCTCTTCTAGCTCGCCGATCCGCCTCTCGATCCTTTCCTGATCGGTTTCGTCCTTTGCCGCTCCCTTTTCGACGGCTTCCTTGTGAGCCAGGTAGGCCGTTCCGGTGCCGACCTGCGCGTCCTTGTCTGCCGACTGGCCATTGCCGTTGCCGGCCAGCTGGGCTCCGATGAGCCGTCCGGAGAGCAAGTCGCTCAGCTCGAAGCGCGCCTTTGCCGCATCTGAGCTCGGAGGCGAGGCCATGGGTCCGGAGCTGTAGCTCTCCGGTCTTGCCCTGCCGTGCTGCGACTTGATCCACTCGAGGCTGTCTCCGATGTCGAGGTGCGGCAGGCAATCCTCGAGGGCAGCGGGTGAAATCGAGAGGAGCCTGGCTGAGGGGAAATGCTGTCCGAGCCTCCCAGGAGGTAGGTGACCCTCGAGCTTGGATGTAGACCCCGCGCTCGCACCGCCACCGACGCTCGAGGGCTGGACCTCGTACCGCTGCATCATGACCTCGATCTGCCGCATCCTCTTCCTGTGCGCCTCGAGCTCCTTTGCCTGCTGTTGCTCCTCGGTCAGCTCGGCATCCTTGTTGGCGTCGTTCTGCTCCTGTTCGATTTCGCGTTCCAGCTTGTTCCCGAGCGACTCTGCCTCTTCCGCCTCCTCTGCGGGGAACTCGTAGGGGAACGAGAGCGGGAGCGGCGAGAGGTAGGAAAAGTGGGAGCCCTGTAGGACCGGCCTGGCCCGACGCACGAGCGAAGGGGACGACTCGGGCGCACCAATGAGGGCCGCAGGGCTGGGCGCGACGGGGTCCGGGAGGAGGTTGAGGGTGAGCCTCTGCTGGGGAGGTACGAGAGGCAAGTTGAGGATGGAATGCCTTGCGCCTGCCGAGGCTGCGCTGCCCGCCTTTGTGGTGATCTGCATGGTGAGGAGGCGCTTGTTCAGGGACGATGTTGCTGTTTGCGCTGCGGTGCGTAGATGGAGCATCTACTGCGTAGCTGTGATGCACGGGGAGTCGACGAAGGATATGGGCTTGGTCGGGCGTGGAAGGTGGTGGCGGTAGGGCAAGCGGCGTTAAAGGAGCGGCGGGCGGGTCGTTGAGTCACCGTCGGGGCTCGCCCGCCCTAGCCTCCACTCCTAGCGACCCGCCCACCCTGACGAGCCCCTCTGCTCCTCGCTGCGGCCCGGTGCACCGCAGCCAGCGGCTTGTTGTCGATGGCGCAAGACGGGCTACAACCAACCCTTCGCCACGTCGTTGACTGCTGGGCACCTTCTTGACTTCGGAGCCTTTCCGGCGGCTAAGCCCGGCAGGCTGGGCGACTGCCGGCTACGTTGGCAGAGGAGTGGTCCGTGCACATGCATGCAGCGGAAGCCCCGCAGTCGGAAGAAGGCGAGCACACATACAGGCACGCGCACGCGCGCAGGCCGAGGCGCTTTGGCGGTTGAAAGCAACCTACGAGCCTGCCTTGAACCTCATCCTAGCGACTCTGCACCCTTCCACCATCTCAACTCCCGCCACAACCTCGACGAGCGCACCGCGGCGTTTATCGTCGTCCGCCGCTTGGAACCCTGCTCAATGAAGCCGTCTAGCTACAAGTGGGCCTACCTCGCCGCCGGCATCGCGCTGCGCGTCGGCCTACTCGCATTTGGCCGATACCAGGATGCCCACTCGGCGGTGCCCTACACCGACGTCGACTATTCGGTCTTTTCCGACGCTTCCAAGGCCATCCTCGACGGCTGCTCGCTCTCACACACCATAGACGGCACCGCAGCTGCTTCCGAGGCCGACATCTTTGACGATGCCGAGCTGCGCTGCGCACGCGGGATTCTGCCGGCCATGGCCCGCTTCCTCCTTCTCAACGACCCTCAGCGGCAGACGTCCGAGCAGCATTCGGCCTTTCAGCAGAATTCGTTCATGTTTGCCTGGGCCACGCGCTGCTACGACCTCGCCCGCCCGCTCTTCCGCGCCGTTGCCAGCCTCGGTGACCCCTACTCGCGGCCCACCTACCGGTACACGCCGCTCCTCGCCCTCGCCCTCACCCCGATCCACCTCTTCGGGTGGGCCGACTTTGGCAAGTACCTCTTCGCTTCCGCCGATGTGCTCTGCGCCCTCTTGATGTGGCTCATCCTCGACGGAAGGAGGGCGCAGGGATCGCCCGCCGGCATCCACGTCCACCTCCCCGGCCTCATCTGGCTCCTCAACCCGCTGCCCGCCCAGATCTCGACGCGCGGCTCCTCCGAGGCCCTGGTCGGCCTTTCCGTGCTCTCATTCGTCTACTTTCTGCTCAGCGCCAACCCAGAGGCACCACTCGGCCTGACGCCCGTTCACGAGACCGCAGATGCTGGGCTAGCGCCGCCGTCCAAGGCTCTGGACCAGCAGGCGACCGAGGCGGTTCCGACCTACCGCCCGCTGGTACCCGAATCCGCTCTGCCACTATCCGAGTGGTCCGCCGCTGCCTACCTCTCGCCGGCGATCCTAGGCCTCGCTGTCCACCTCAAGATCTTCCCCGTCATCTATGGCATTCCGGTCATGGCACATCTCTCGCAATCGACCGAGGCGGCATTCGACCCGGTGGCTCGGCGCAAGCTCGGTCTCTTGCAGCGGCATTCCGCCGGCATCCAGTATGGCCTGATCGCCTTTGCCACATTCATGGCGACCAACGCGGTGGCATGGCTGTTGTGAGTCTCCGCATGGCCGTCGTACAGCCGTTGCGATCCTCCTCTCGCTGACCTTCGACCCATCTCGCTTTTGCCTTCGCGGTTCCGCCTACTCCACAGCTGGGGCGCGCCTTTTGTCGAGCACACGTTCGCCTACCACCTGACGCGACAGGACCACCGGCACAACTTCAGCCCCTACTTTCTCACCACGTACCTCTCCAACATCCCCGGCCTGCGATCCAGCACGGCGACCGCGGCCATCGACTCGTTGGAGTCGCGCCTGCTGTCGTCGCCGCTGTTTTCGTTTGCGCCCCAGGCACTGCTGGTGGCCGTGCTCGGGTGGCGATTGGGGAAGCGCGACGTGGTGGCGGCTATGACGGCGCAGACGATTGCGTTTGTCGCGTTCAACAAGGTGTGCACGAGCCAGTACTTTCTCTGGTTCCTCTGGCTCGTCCCCATCGTCTGGCCCTCGCTCTCCATCAGGCCAGGCACGGCGGCCGTCGCGGTCGGGTCCTGGATCGGTGCACAGGTGAGCAGGGCGAAGGTGTGGACTTCCGAGGGTCGTGCGTCCGACTTGATCGACTGACAGACGGTGAACATGCCTCCTCCCAACGACAGGCGCTATGGCTCTCGCAAGCCTACCTGCTCGAGTTCAAGGCGCAGGACGTCTTTGTGCGCATCTGGGTGTCGAGCCTGGCGCTGCTCGCCGTCCATGCCGCCCTTCTCGTGACATTCGTTCGGGCGTGGGCACGGTATCGCATTTCCTTCAAGCTCCCTCCTGTTCGTCCTGCGACACCGTCGACGACGGCGACCACGATACCTGGCAAGGCGGCCTGAACATGGCAGGGTAGCGCGCCAGCAAGATCCTGGCTTGCTCTGTATATGCACGTTCTCTTCCCCTCTCTGTTTCCGTCTGTGATCCGGTAATGTCACCTCGGCCACCAAGCCCGCCTGCGTCCGGTTGACCGTCAAGGAGGCTCGGTGAGGAGGTGGAGCATGCCCTGCGCGGGTCGGTTGACCATCTCCTGCGGCCAGCGGGGGTCCGACGGACAAAGCGGCGCGGCCATTTCTCTGCTGATCGGAGTCACCGTCTTGACCCTCGCCGTACGTACCCGCCGCGACGACCCTCGGCCGTGCTTGCTTGGCCTGGACGTCCACGGACACGGTTGCGGGTGAGCCTCGGGGGCATCGGAAACGTCGCTTCCGTTCCGTCTCCAGACGATCCACCAAAAAGGCCGGCAGCTTTGCCCCAGGTGGTTGCTCGTCGCTCCCCGCTCGTGTGGCCTGCCCAGCCTGGCGCAGCCGGTCGCTCCCTCGTTCTGCGGTGGTGGCGGTGGAGGAAATTTCTTTGCAGCCTCGTTGAGCGGCAAAAGTGAGCGCCCGACAGAAGGGACGCTTGGCGCGGTTGCGCCCCCCCGCGGTGGAGCAGGCGTGACGGCCGAGGGCGGGCAGGCGGGCAGGCGGGCCACGCAGGCACGCACGCACGGAGAAAAGGTGGCCGGAGCTGCCTGCCTGCCGTCGATCCCTCGGCGGCGGTGGGTCTTGGCCAGCAGGCCCAGGCCGGCTTTTGTGCCGAACGCGCTCCACATGCAGCAACACACACCACAGGCAGGAAAGCCAACCGTCTGGGCGTTGCTGGGGGGAAAAATCAGGCCACTTTTTTTTCTGCTGTGGCACCACCGACCCGTCTGCCTCTTGCTCCGCCCGCCCGGGTTCGGAGGGTGAACCCGACGGACGCGACACATGGCCGCACGACGACGAGAGCCTGGCTTGGCCGGCTTTGTTCGTAAGCAAGCCATCTCAGGCGCCGCGCTAATTATGTATTCTTGGGGATTCCGAGGAACGGGCGGTGTCATACGCAGCACAACAAGCCCGCGTGATGGCAGCGCGCGTCCCTGAGGCCACTCGGAAAGCTGAGCGATGCTGCCACGATATCGCCGCCAGAGGTAGGCGGCGTGGACGAGCCAAGGTCGCGGGCCTTGGTTGGCTTCGTTGACACTTTAGGCAGGCAGGGCTCGCTCGCCCTTCGGCCGCCGCCGCCGCCATTCATCGTCATTAATGTGTCGCTTTCGCCAAGAAGCCAAGCGAAGAGCGGCTGGGCGTGGGGGGAGGAAAGCAAGGCAGCGCGGCCCCAAATGCCCCGAGGCAGGCCATGGTGGGACGGCCCGACGTGCCTGCCTGCGCACGCGCTCGTGCGCATCTGCCAGGGCCAGGGCCCGGGCCAGATCGAGCCAGGCAGATAGGCGGCTTGGCCCTGCTCGCTGTGTGCTTCGGATTTTTGCTTTTCTGCTTTCTTCCTGACGGGCTCAGGCAGGTCGCGGCAAAGCCCAGCAGGACGACCTGCCGGCGCCGACGAGCCGGAGACGTCCCGTCGAAGCAGAGCTCCGCCAACGAGTCGTCGGTCGGCCAAGACCAAACAACGTACGCGACGACAAACGGCGGCAAGAATCCGCCAGAGAGACGCAGACCCCGCCAAAGCAGAGAGGCAGCAGCCTAGCCTGGGCCAAGGCAGGGCCACATCCCCTTGCAGGCTTTTTTCGTTGCAGTCGTCGCCGTCGTCGGCTGATGACGGCCATTCCTGGCCACACGTCCGCGGCCAACAACGACGAGGCGAACAGGCAAACGAAGACAAAGAGAGATGGGAAGGAGAAAAACTTGGTCAGCGGCCGACCGCCATCATGCCTGCTTGTCAAGCAAGCAAGGGCGCCCCCGTGCTGTGGGCTTAGCGAGCCAGGAGGTTGAGATTGGACGACACACGCCGCCCGACTGACCCGGAGACGGCGACGCGGCCAGACGTCAAACCTGGCCACGCCAAACCAGGCCAGAGTACAGCAGGCCCACGCAGAGGGACACTTCGCTCGCTTGCCCGCCCGCCAGAAAGAGAGACTTCTCTTCCGAGAGAGAGAAAGATGAGAGAGATCAGCAGCCACGGCCAAATCATCCGCCGATCCTCCCTCGTCCCCTAGCCTGCCTTGCGTTGCGTTGGCCGCCCTCTGACCTTCGGGTTTCCGCTCCTCGTCCGCCGTCCCTTCTCACCTCACCACCATCCACCATCATCTTTGGCCCTCCCTCCATCCGCCCCACGCCTGTCGCTCCCTCTGAGCCATCCGCCCCCGACCGCCTCTGCGCGTCCTTGTCTCCGCCTCGCGCGTCGTCCAGCTCAGCACCATCTCGGCGGCGACGTTGACCTCGCCACAGCTACCGAGGCCGATCCGCCACTCCTCCTTTCGCCCCCAACTCTGGCGTTCCTTTCGTCCATCCGACCGACCCCTACGTTGCTGCAGCCATGTCGTCCGCCGTGCCCTCCCAGATGGTCCACAACGCGTCGCAGCGCGGCGCCGCCTCGGTCGCCTCGGCCTTTGAGAGCGCCACCAGCAACGGCTCCGTGCTGCAAAAGGCGCTGACCGCCTTCGACTACGCCACCCTCAAGAACGCCGATCGCACCACGATCGTCTTCACCCTCCTCGCGCTCCTTGCGACCGCGCTGATCGCGGAGCAGTACGTCTACCAGCGCAAGAAGGGCGCGCTGCCCGGTCCCAGCTGGACCATCCCCGTCATTGGCAAGTTCGCCGACTCGCTCAGCCCCTCGCTCGAAAAGTACCAGGAGGGCTGGAACTCGGGTCCTCTCAGCGTCGCGAGCGTCTTCAACATGTGAGTGGCCTCGTTCGCCCGGCGAGGAAAGCGCGCTTTCCTTTGCCGTTGGCCCGGCGGATGCCCGTGGTCGCGCGGTCGGAAGGCGGGCTCCGGTGGCAGTGACATCCCGCCGCAAAACGACTTATCGCGCTGAAGCTTTGTTCGACTTTCTCGCGTCTTTGTGCCCCTCCAGCTTCATTGTCATCGCGTCTTCGACCGAGTTCTCGCGAAAGATCCTCAACAGCCCCACATACGCCGAGCCGTGCCTGGTCGCCTCTGCCAAGAAGGTGCTCTGCCACGACAACTGGTGAGTGCCGTTGCGGGATCCGGCGAGGTCCGGCGTAAGGGACCCGATGGATGGCCCATTGTTGCGCTCCTCGGACTGACCTGATCCGCTCCGGAATGATACCCTCATTACGCTCCTCGCGCTCTCGCGACACAGGGTCTTCCTCAACGGCAAGGTCCACGTCGACTACCGCCGCGGCCTCAACACGCTCTTCACGCGCCGCGCGTTGAGCGTCTACCTGAGCATCCAGGAGGGTATCTACAAGCAGCACTTTGCCAAGTGGCTCAGCAACCCCAACCCCAAGCCCGAGGCGTACATGATGCACTTCCGCGACCTCAACATGGAGACGTCCCTCCGCGTCTTCTGCGGCGACTACATCCCCGAAGAAGGCGCGAGGGAGGTCTCTGAAAACTACTGGCTGATCACGGTGGCGCTCGAGCTGGTCAACTTCCCGTTCGCCTTCCCCGGCACCAAGGTCTACAACGCCATCAAGGCGCGCAAGATTGCGATGAAGTGGTTCGAGCACACTGCGCGCGAGTCCAAGAAGAGGATGGCCGAGGGCAAGGAGGTCACCTGCCTCACCGACGCCTGGATCAAGGCCATGATTGACGCCAAGGAGCAGCGCGACAATGCCGAGCTCGAGGCCGAGACGCGCCGCGTCCTTGTGCGCGACTTTTCGGATCGCGAGATTGCCATGGTGCTGCTCAGCTTCCTGTTCGCCTCGCAGGACGCCATGACCTCGGGTCTCACCTACCTCTTCCAGCACCTGGCCGACCGTCCCGACATCCTGCGCAAGGTGCGCGAGGAGCAGTACCGCATCCGCGGCGACGCCATCGACGCCCCCACCACGCTCGACATGGTCGAGCAGATGGAGTACACCAAGGCTGTCGTCAAGGAGAGCCTGCGCCTGAAGCCGCCGGTCATCATGGTGCCCTACATGAACCACAAGGACTTCCCCATCGACAAGGGCTACACGGTGCCCAAGGGCAGCATGATCATCCCGAGCTTCTGGAACCCGCTGCACGACGAGCAGGTCTACCCGGAGCCCGACGAGCTGCGGCCGGAGCGCTGGCTCGATGCCGAGGGCCTGGCCGAGAAGAACCCCAAGAACTACCTCGTCTTTGGCAGCGGCCCGCACAACTGCATCGGCCAGCAGTACGCCAACATGCACCTCACCGCCGTGCTCGGCACCGCCAGCGTGCTGCTCAACTGGGAGCACGAGGTGACGCCCCAGAGCGAAAAGGTCGAGGTCATCGCCACCATCTTCCCCAAGGACGGCGCCCGCATGAAGTTTACGCCGCGAGCCGCACCCGCCCCTGGCACCGCCCCCGAGATCGCCGCGGCGGCATGAAAGCGGCGCGGTCAGTGTCGAGGCATCGGGCTCAGCTCGCCTCCCGTTCTTCGCGCTCCGCTTCCCGCCCGGCTGCATCGATACCGACTTCTGCGCACGATCCTCTGCGCATCTTTACGACACACGCCTCGCTCTCTCTCTCTCTCTCTCTCTCGCTCTCTCTCTATCGTCGCGGCATCTGCCTCCTGCTCGACCTTGCATTGCATCGCACTGCGGAACTGTACTTGTATAGCCGAACCTACGTCGGCCCACGACCTCGATGTCTTCCATCCTGGAGCGCAATTCTTTTCATATTTCTTTTGCGCTGAAGCGCGTGGAGTGGCGGCCGCTGCCGCGCTGCCACGGCGGAAGGGTCAGGGGGCTGTGGGAGATACGGTACAAGTACAAGGGCGATGAGGGGATGGGCGGCAGCGAAGGGGATGGATGGTACGATGGGTCTTGGCGCGTGTGATGGTGCCACGGCCGGCGCCGGCCGTGCGCAGTCGTGCATCAGGCCATGTCGACGTCGACCCGTCGTTGCCCGTTTCCTGCTGCTGCTGCTGCTGCTGTGGTGGCGTGCTTTGCTCGAAGACTGGCGGACTGATCGAAGGCGAGTGTGTTCTGGGCGTGCAGGCGGAGAGCGGCGAAGGGGTTCTTGGCGTAGGCAGGGTCGGAGAGGATGTGGGGCTGTCGCATCATTTCGTGAGCCCTGTTGGCGGTCGTCGAGAGCGGACGAGGATACAGGACAGGGTGCTGTCAGCAGACGAGCGGGACCGGGCGCGGCGCGGCGATGGCCTCAAAGACCGACAGGGAGAGGGCGGAGGAACGGGCGGGAAGAACTCACAGTGCCTTTTTCTTTGCCTTTTCAGTGACGACGCCGTCCTTTGCGCCTTGGGATCCCACGCCCCGGTGCTGTGCGGCGGCGACCGAGGCCGCAACGTGGGAAGCGTGCTCGGCAGCGACCTGTGCCTCGAAGACGTCGTCGTCGTCGCCATCCTGCATCGTCTCCTCGTCCGCCTCCTCGTCCGCACCCTCTGCGACGGGGGCAATTTGCTGCTTGAGGTCATCGACGACGTCCTCGAGGTCCTTCAATCCCTGTCGGTTGCCGGCCAGGTTGTTCCTCTGCTTCTTTTTCAACCGCTTCAGCGACGACTTTGACAGCGGCTTGCCGCCCTCGCCGGGGCCGCCGAGGTTGAGGACGGGTCTGGAGGATGAGGAAGAGTCGGAGGCGGACCTGGCCTGCGATACGAGTTCGGCGCGCTTGAGTGCGCGTTTGGCCGCCTTGGAGATCTGCTGGCCGCGCACCCCGCCGCCGCTCGGCGTGGCCACGGACGAGGGAGAGGTGGTGCTTGAGGGCGCGGAGCTGGATCGCGTCTTGGACCGCGGAGCTGCACGGCCCCGGATCCCTTGATCTGCCCGTACCATGTCGAAGCAGGCTGTCGGTGGTTGAAGAGTCCAGAGGGTGATGGGGTAGCAGGCGATGGTGCTGGTGGTGGCGGCAGTGTCTTCGCAGCAAGGCCCACAGGCAAGGGTTCAGGTGGCTGGCCCAAAAAAGTTTAGAGCGTCGATGAGATCGGGCAGCGCAGCAGCACATCGATTCTCTATCGGGGCTTGGGACGACGTGGAGATGGCCGGCTGGACTGCCTGCGGGGCCTGCAGGCTGCGCATGGGCGGCGGGCGGGCGGTCACGCTGTCCGGGCCACCCTTTCCCCCCCCCCCCCATGTCGATGTCGCGATCTTGATAAATATCCTAGCGCGGGCTAATCTCTGTCGACCACATGCTTTTCTTTGGGCTGCCTGCCGATAGGTTACGGTACCGCGCCAGCGAGCGAGTCACACAAAAGAGCGACGGCGCGGTCATCGTCAGCTGGCCCGGTTGCAAGCCCGCCCGGCCGCTGCTACGGCACCCATACCATACGGTACCGTGGTTCGGGCGCAGCTTGGCGGGGCGCAGCCGAAGCCAGGCGAGAGGGCGAGGACCCGGGGCCGTTCCGACGCCGTCGCCCGTCCCCGAGGTCATCATACGTACATCGCATCGGTTGCACCCGACGGCCAAGGCTGGGCGACGTGATTGCGCCGAGTGGTCAGGACGGAGCATAAGGCGAGGCCGTGCAGAGCCAGGCAAGCTGCCGGCGACGAGCGGCCTGTTTTGACCTCGTTTGCGTTGCGTACCGGCCGGACTTTGGTGGGCTTGCTGCCGCTGCCGTGTGCCCTTTTTGAGCCTGGGGTCCCTGGCTTGGCCTGGCCGGCTGTCTGTGCGCTGCAATTTGGGCACTCGCCTTGCTTGCTTGGTTGCGACTTGCTTCTTGGTCTGGCACGCGCACCCTTCCACCCACACCACCACCGTCGTGCATCCTTGACCGCTTCCTCCTCCTCCCCTCACTTCCCGCATCCCCTTCGCCCCTTCGTCCTACGGCAGTGGTGTACAGCTTCCCGCCGTGGTTGCGTTTGCGGCCCCGCCATATCGCCGCATAGCCCTCGATCCGGACCCGCCTTCACCGCCCCGACCTCATACATACATAGGTGACCCACACGCCCGCCCGCCTGCCCGTCCTGCCGCCGTCGCCACCTAGCTAGCAACTTTGTTCCGGCTTCCCACCCTCTTCGCCCCGACGCCTCCAGCTGGAACCGCCACAACCCTTCGCTCCGCATTTGCAGCCCTTGTACGCCTTTTCACTCTTCCCCGGCCAGCCGGTAAGCTCTCCGGCGCGCCGGCGACTTGCGGCTCGACCGCCGAGCAGATCTCAATCTCGATCTCGGACCAGCGCCCTACGCCCTAGCGCCCTCACTGCTCTGGCTTAACTTCTTGCTCCGCCCTCTCAGACCCGCATACATCATCATCGGGTCCTCGCTTGCTTCCGGTCCCGCCGCCAGATCCACTGCGCCGGAACCCTAGAAATTCGGCGAGCCTTGACCTAGAAGTCAGCGCGGCCGTCGCTTTGCCCCTTGCAAGCGTCCCGGAAGTCGCCGTCCACCTCCTGGGCTTGACAGGCTCTCGCGCATTCCACCACGCACCCATGTCGCTCTAGTCCGCTACCCCATCGAAGCCCCTCCCACCACCTCCCTGGTCGTTCGGGCTTCCCCGTTGATGGGACCGGCAGACCCCTCACATCGGATCTCTGTCCCTCTTCGCTCATTGCAGCGCCTCACCATCGGCTTGCTGCCTTGCCGTAACGCTTCAGCCGCAAAGCTCGCTTCATCCCACCAGCGAACACCTCCACCACGTCCTCCCTGGCACCGGCGAAGAATCTCTAGCCCGCTCTCTGCTCGAGAGACGCTCCGACCATGAAGGACGCTACCGGCACCGAAGATCCTCTTAGCTGGAGGAGGCACCAGCCTGCTCGACCTGCAGGCCCTCCCCAGCTTGTCTCGATGCCCAAGGCCGAGGCCAAGGCCATCCCGCGCACCCGGATCGAGCCCGCCTGGAAGGCCAAGGACAACTGGCGCACCCACGCAGCACCTCTGTCGCAACAGGAGCAGCACCAGCACCAGCAACAGTCTCAACAACAACACCAGCCTCACCATCAGCAGCAGCAGCACACTAACCAGCACCAGGTGCACTTCAGCCATGATGCGCGCGACGCTCCCGCAGCTGCAACGTCGGCGTCCCGCCTCAGCACCAGTCTAGGAAGCACCGGCAGCACCCACCTTGCGGTCCCTTCGGCTGCCAGTGCTCGCGCGACGAACAACTCCAACCCATGGGCCAACGGAGTTGGGGTGATTGGCTCCGGAAGGCCAAACTCCTCGCTCAAGCCCAGCAGCATCGCTAGCAACGGCGCGGGAAGGACGGCCGATCTGGGCACCTCGCCGCCGCAATACAGCCGCAGCCCTCCCATGCACTCCGACAAGTGGTCCTTGACCCAGCCGACGCCCGGTCCAGCGACAAAGCTACGTGCGCTCCAGATTGGCGGCGGTATCGGCGGCCGTCTCCAGCCGCTGGACGGCCAACGCGTCCACCCGACACCAGTCAACCGGGCCCTCACGGAAAAGGAGCGCAACGAGAACTGGATGCTCACCCCGACCAGCTCTCTGCCGAGCCTGCCAGGGACGCCGAGCAAGCCCCGTGACTCGAGCATCGACAGCGCCAGCAACGTCGCCCAGGCTAACGCCGAGAGGACGCAGGCGGTCGACGCCAATGCCCTCCATCGGCGTCGCGAGCACGAGTCTCGAGTCTATGGATCGAACGCTCAAACCACTTCGCGCGTCGGAGGACTTTCGAGTGCCTTTTCGGCCTCGCAGCAGCAGTCACTGCCTCGGACGCCCGTCGTCAATTCGGCATCGACGTTCGCGTCGGGCGCCTCTCCGGCGACTTCTGGCTCGCTGTTGAGTAGAGGCCTCGGTGGTCCGATCCACTCTTCGCCCAAGCGGTCGCCGCTGGTCGTGTCGGGCCGTTCTGGCGCGCGTGGGAATGTCTACGCCGCTCCTGGCCATGCCTACGGACCTGGCGCTGGACAGCCCGCGGCAGCGACCTCGGCTTGGAGCCCGGGAGCCTCGCCCAAACTCCTTGACCGGACCCTGGCGCCCATCGCCCGGCTCCCAATCATCGAGACCGCCTCGCAGCAGGCGTACAACGACTCTCCTAGCCACCATGTCTCGACCTCAGTGGCGGGGCTGTCTTCGCTGCGCTCTCCTGGCGCCCTCACGAGGCGGGATTCGGTCGCCTCTGCCGCATCCTCGGTACAGGGCGGCTATAGCCTCTCTCGGTCCCGACGCAGCTCGCAGGTGATCTCGCCCACTTCGCCGCCCGGGACCTCGAAGCGTGTTGGTGTCTACCGACCGCCTCACCTCCGCAACCGAGGCAGCGTCTCTGGCCTCCGACCCAGCGTGGCCCACTACGATCGAGTTAGGACCCCGAACCTGCGCGGCCACAGCCGCTCGCGCGAGTCGTCTGTCTCGCTGAGTCGTGGCGGCAGCAGGCCTCCATCATCGCTGGCCTTCTACCGCGCCGACACAATCCCGGAGCATGGTACTCCCGATCCCAGCCGCTTCCCGCATCATCGCGAGAGGCTGCAGAGCATGACGTCGGTTGCTGGGTCGATCAGAGAACGAGAGGACAGCCTTGGCTCCGAGGATAGGCGATCATACCTCGCACACGGCGAGCGGTTCGTGGCTCCGGATGCCAGGACCAACGATCCAAGCGACGACCCAGTTCAGGCTGCCAAACTGGCCTTGGACGGTGCATCTCTGGTGGCAAAGCTCGAGGAACAATCGAGGATTGACGACGAGCGCATCCGGCTCAGCCGCCGGAACCGCTTCGATCGCTCGAGCGACGATGTCTTTGCCGAGACGCGTTCGCGCCTTGACAACAGGCCATTCAATGACCTTGACGGCGACAAGAGCGGTGCGAACGACGACAGTCACGGCAAGCGCCAACATGGCGATGACATCGATGCCATCGACGATGACAACGATGTTGATGAGGACGACGACAACGCCAGCCAGGAATTCTTTGACCTCTCGGCGGACGATTTGATGCACTACGGCGCCTCGGACGGCTATCCTCTCAGCCGCAACGGAAGCGCAATCGAAGGGCGTCCGCCGGGCGACATCTTCGAGGTCGGCGACCGACTCGGGCCCGGTCTCGAGCACGAGGGTCAGATGATCCGGATCGCCGAAACGACCCCGGGCTTTGTCGATCAGAATGGCGATCTGACCGGCAGCCAGCTCGAGGTGGTCAGGAAGCTCGGAGAAGGCAGCTACGCCGTAGTCTACTTGGTCCGCGAGGTGATGCCCGAAGACCCCCAGCTGACCGATGCGGACGGGGCGTTCTCCATCGCCGACGACGAGGATGCCGAGATGCAGCCCGCCGCTGCCCGAGCCGCCTTCATCACCGGGTCGAGACAGGGGCGTCGGTCGGGCTCGATGCCGCAGTCGCCTGACCCGCATCCGTCGTATGCGGCTGCCAGGGCGCTGATCCACAACGAAGACGAGGCCGATGAAACCATGAGGGGCCAGGACTCCGAGGACCTTCTCAGCTCCACGCTCAAGGCACACGTCGACGCTGGCGACACGACGATGTCGTACCACTCACCATCACTCGAGCAGCGCCGACGCAAGGACCTGCAGGACGAGCAACATCAAATGCAGCAGCAGCAGCAGCAGCAGCAGCCTCGCACCACTCCTTTCACGCCGCGCGAGTTCGCCCTCAAGTGCCTCTGCAAACGCGATCTGCCAGAGGACATGCTCGAGATCCAGCGCCTCGAGGCGACCATTCATCAGTCGATCCCCGCGCATCCCAACATCGTGACCCTCTACCGCACCTACGAGACGCAAGACTGGCTCTTCCTGATCCTCGAGTACTGCCCGGGTCAGGATCTCTACTACTGGCTCGAGCAGGCGCAGGACACGGACGCTGCCGTTGCCGCAGATGGGCCCGGCAGGGTCAACGGCGAGGACGACGCGTCGGCCCGACGCTACCAACGCGACAGCGTATCGCCTCGGCCGGGCGCTGACGGTGACGACATGAGCGTGGGCGAGTTGGGCACTTCGCTCGACGCGACACCGCCTTCGCCATCGCTGCTGGCGTCGACAGCTGGCAGTACGCTGCTGTCGCGTCGGCGTGTGCGCCTGATCTCGCGCATGTTCCGACAGATCTGCGATGCCGTCCAATTCTGCCACGACCGCGGCATCAGCCACCGCGACATCAAGCCGGAGAATTTCATCGTCGAGGACCGCCGGTACACGGAAGAGGCTGCGGCTGCCTCTCCGTTTGCGCCGGACCAGAGCGTCAGCACAGTGGCCGACAGCATGAGAGACACGGAGGCTCGCGTAATCGTCAAAATGACCGACTTTGGTCTCGCGACTGCCGACGAGCGCTGCGACGACTTCGACTGCGGCAGCAAGCCCTACATGGCCTTCGGTGAGTTCTCAATGGCTGCAGCTTGGCTGTTCTTTTACGAGATCTCAGCTTCGGCCGGAACGCCGACCCGTTGAAACTCCTCCTGACGCTCTCCTCCCCTTTCCCGCTGCCGCCACAGAATGCCACAACAACGTCTCGTGCGACTACGATCCCAAGCAGGCCGACGTGTGGTCGCTCGGCGTCGTCCTGCTCAACCTGCTCTTCCACCGCAACCCCTTCACGGAGCCCTCATCCGACTGCCCGTCGTTTTCCGCCTACTGCTACGACCCGGTCGGCTTCCTGATGGATTCATTCGACGGTCTGACTGAAAAGGTCGCCTGCTACCTCGCCGAGAACGTCTTTTGCTCCGTCGACGTCGAGACCGGCGCCAGGAAGCGCGTCTCTGCCGGCGAGCTGTCGCGCTGGGCTCTCGGACTCGTTGAGCACCTGGACCTCAACGGTCCTGGCCCTGGACGCATCTCCCGCGGCGCCTCGATGTACGCTACCACGCCGCTGATCCACTCGAGGACCACGTCCATCTCGACGCTGCCATCAATGCTCGGATCGCCCAAGGGTCGCTCGCGGTCGATCGCCCGGGAGGGCAGCATCGACCTGCAGGGCCTCAACGACTTCAATACGGACGGCCTCTACCGCTCAAGCTTCTTCGGCGGGCTGCGGGACAGCATCTCGCCTGGGCCAGGTCTCTTTACCCCAGACGTCTTGCCGTCGCCTCGCTTCACCCCGTCGCCTCGGCCTGCCGAGCGCAACCCGTTCGACGCCCAGTATGGCCGCGCGTCGCCGCTCCCGCCGGCGCAGAGCCCAGAGCAGCAGAGCGAGCCCGTCAAAGGGTCTGCCCTGCGTCAGGAGGTTGTGCTGGACCAGCACTCCTCTCCGCGGACGACGGTCGACTCCGACTACCAGGAACGTCTGGACCGCGACGAGGTCGACGCCATGCTGCAGTGCGAGTCCAAAGCGCCCGGGACCTCGGCGGAAGAAGACCTTCGGCCGTCGTCGTCACATCGCAAAAGCCTGGTGCTTGATGCCGGCAGTCTGCCTGCCATCATCGATGTCGAGGACGACGTTGAAGAGATGTCTGACAAGCATTCGGCAACAGCGGCTGAGGCTCCCGCGGAGAAGTCCGTTCCCGCAGAGCAGTCGGACGATATATCCAACGACAACGGCATCGGCAACAGCAGCGACCATGAGACGGACCCGGACGGCGACGACGAGTCGGCTGCGGTCGCGCCCGGCGAGGCTGGCGAAGGAGATTGCGGCGACGACCCGTCCGAGCCTTCGACCGAAGCGACAACTGCCAAGCCAGCAAGCATCACAGCATCGAATCACTCAAAGCGCCGAAAGCGCGGGGCCAGAAAGGGAAGGACGCTGGCCAAGCAGCTCAAGCGGTCGCAGTCGGTCGAGAACCTCTCACGCGTGACCGACATCGACGTCGAGGCGCAGGCCCGGGACGCCACGATCCGCGAGCTGGCCCTTGCCTCGGAGACTCTGGCACGTCAGATGAGCAAGATGAGTGGCAAACAGGCCGATGCCGAGGATGCCCGGTCGGCCGCCGTTCCCAGCGTCAGCCTGTCGCCCCCAACCGCCGCTGCAGCGGCCAAGTTCAACCTGCAAGTCCTGTCTCCGGTGCAGCGAGCGGACCTCGGCGCCGCTGATGCCGCAGCCAACACTGCGACCAGCCTGGTCAATGGACGCGCTTCAACCGACCGTGCCAGCCTGGCCGAGACTGCCTCAACCGTCTCTTCCAATTGGTCATCGGCTGCTCAGCGACGCGAGCGGATCAATGAGCGCAAGGCCGGCGCCGCACCTACGCTACAGGACTCAGGGCGCTCGAAGCCCATGTCGTGGCGAGAGAGGAACCCGTCTACGACGACATTCTCTTCGCTGGCCTCCAACAGCACCGTGTCGAGCCGCAGCTCGGTCTCTTCGGAATCCTCGAGCGTCTATTCGACCGCGTCGGCGCCGGCGGCCCTCACGAAGCGCGACCCCTCGCTGCGGTCGCGGTCGCGAGCGAGTGGGCTGCTCAGCGTCACCGGTCTCGGCACCATCTCGGAGCGCGAGAAGCCGCAGCGCAAGGAGGTCGACGCCAGCTATCTCGCCGGCATCTTCGGAGGCGACGAGGCGAGAGCGATGGACAAGAAGCGCCGAGAGGCTCGGGAAAAGGCAAAGGCCGAGGCCGAGCGGGAGCGAGGCAAGGGCAAGCTCCTCGAGCTGCTCCAAGACACCAAGAGCAAGGACAGTGTGGGCGACAAGGACAAGGCGGCAAGGAAGGACACCGGCCTCAGCCGCCAGAGCACCCACGACAGCCAAGCCTCCGCAGCCGCATCGCCTTCGCCGTCGACGTCGTTTGTCTCGCGCTTCCGGCGACCGGGCTCGTCTTCGTCGGCCAAGAGCAAGGATTCGGCATTCAAGGCCATCGATGCGTCGGGCGCCTCGAACGCGTCGTCATCGCCGTCCAAGCCCGCCTCGATGTCGCCCCCTGTTCCGGTTACCGGGAGCATCGGAGGTGGTCTCGGCCTCCGGCGTGACGCCGCCACGAGCGCCAGCAGCCTGCAGACCGCGTTGGAGCCGCGTGAGGTCGGTGCAGGCGCGACCCGCTCGGCATCGCTCCGAAGATCTGGTGACAAGAATCAGCTCAACGGCGACAGCAACGTGGCGCCCATGAGCGAGGCGGCCCCGCATCGCGGTGGGTCTTTACGCTCTCCCTCGCAGGCGTCGTTTGTCAGTCTTGCCGGCAAATCGACAGCTTCACACCTGGCGCCGCTGTCGTCGCCCTCGGCATCGTCATCGCACGTTCCCGAGGCGGGTTGCAGCGATGCCGCCGCTCCGACAACTGCCCCGGCCCCGGTGGCCAAGAAGAGGGGCATGGGCAAGTTCTTTTCGGGCATGCGTGACACGCTCATGAATCGTTGAGGACGAGCTCGCGCGGCGACAGGCGGACAGCCACGATCCCCAACCATGCAGGTTTACGTTCTCTTCCGGTAAGGGGTCGATGCCGAGCCATGGCTGCCACGCGGACGGAGTCGGTACGGCAGCTTCGTTAAGCTCGCCTCGGCCACCAGACGGCTGCTTGGCGGACCCTCTCCCTCCGTTGCCAACCTTTGGAAACGCACCTCGTTCTCAAGATCACATCCACCACCCGATTCGATCCCTCGACACACTCTCACACGCACACACACCTCCAACACCCCGGTACCCCATCCATCTTTGTATTTGTTCCGTCTGGTCGAATTCGCACAAACATAAACCCAAACGCAATGTCATTCTCTCTGTGGATCAGACCGATGAGGAGGGGCCGGCGAGTGGCTGGGCGAGGACGGTTCGCAGACGTCAACGAGCAGCGATTGCCGGCAGGCTCTCATATAAGAGGTGGATGAGAGGGCTTGGGCCTGTGGACGGCGCGGCGACTCTTAATCGGCCTCGTGGCCGAGGCTGGAACGCCGCGAGATGGGACCTGCGTCGAAGCTTGGCGAGCGGAACGGGCAACACGACGCTCGGCGGGTATACTCTGTGCAGTATGAGAAGAGAGGCAGGAGAGGAGCATCGATTCAGCGGAACGGCTTCCTGTCCTACGGCATCCCGGCCAGGCCGTGCCAGAAGCAACTTATGAGCCTTGGCGGCGACAACTAACGGCGACTTGAGGGCGGGTCGGGGTCAGAAAGAGAGCGGCGAATACGTAAAACAAGGCCGGGCGGTACATGACGTAGAGGTAGGCCCCCGGGCGGGGCTTTTTTTCTCGATAGAGTGCGCTTTGCATACGCAGATCTTCCCGACCGGGTTCGGCATCGAGCTCCGCTCAATCACACGGCCACGGCCAACCTTCGAACGGCACTGGCCGGCAGGCAGCAACGTTGTCAGAGTCTTCGGCATGGCATAGAGGAGATTGGCACCGTACAGTAAAGAGTAGAAAGCGCGGCGTTCTTGGTCGCAGCAACGGGTCCGACGGTGCGCGTGTGCGGTAACTTTGCCAGCCCTTTGAATGGTGGCCAAGCTGTCTGGACGGGCGAGTGCAACGTCATGCCTTGCGCCTCTACTCTAGGCAGTTGCACGCCTTACCTTGTGATGCACAAGCTGAAGGTGACGGAGCAACCCTCGGCATCGGATCGGCATCGGATCGAAGAAGCAGCACGCACGCCAGACGAGGGCCCAGAGGGGAGCGCTAAACGAGGCCCGCCAGCTCCAACGTGATGAGCTTACTCGATGCGACCATGTGGGCACCTACACATACACACCTACATACGAGCTCACAGCTACAGTACCAACCGACGCTCGGTCCACCGGCCGATGAGAGAAGAAAGAAGTTAGGTTGCACACGAGCAAGATCGGGGGTGGCCCCCGGTCAGCCGGCCGGTTCCTGGTGGTGATGTGAGAGCATTCCGGGGTCTGTTTCGGTTAGGGCCGACCTTGCCTCGCCTTGCTCAAAGACAGAGAGGAGGGAGGGAGGCGGCCGTACAGGTAAGGTATCGGTGGGCAGGCACGTCTGCCCGGATGTAAGCCGCTGTGGCTTCGGGAAGGCCGTGGTGATACCCTCTTGCGTGCTTCTTCTTGCCCGCCCGCCGATAAGCCGAAACAATCGCGGCCGCCTTGGCCCGCCAACCCGGGGTTTAGGCGGTGCCAGGCTAGGCCTGGCCCGGCGTGCCGTACGCGTAGCCTGGCCTTAGCTGGACGAGACCACCGCTTTCCTTGCCTCGCAATCCCCGGCCTGGTCCCATCTCCGAGTCGAGTCAGAGACTGGCAGGCACGACGACGACAATCCGGCGGCAGTGTTGCGATAGGTACTCACACACTCGTGTCTCCAAGCCAGGAGTTAGCCTCGTCGACTTGTGTTCGATGGGGTACTCTATGTACTGTCCGGAGCGCATGCTTGGCCTGTTCGACACAGTACGGCTGCTGGACCCGCCGGTTCCTACTGTAGCCTCCTTTGATGGCCTAATCGTGAAGTCACTGCTTGGCATGTAGCGTGGGTGTCGCTCGCTGAGGACAGATAGATAGAAGAGTTGCGAGCATAGGGGTCCGGCCGCGTGTGTCTGCTTCTTGGCAGGGCAGTCTGCGGATGCTACGGCCGACGACGACGACGACGGCGACGAGGCGGGCCTGCGCGCGTATGTATCCGCGGGCGGCCGGGCGGGACGACGCTGCCGACTCGAGGCGGGTGGGCAGCCAGGTACAGCTGGGAGTCAGGCAGGCAGGCAGGCTTGGCCGGCTTGGCTCAGCACAGCCCGAACCGGGGCGAGGCGAGGCGGGGTGAGGCAGGGCAGCTCTAAAATCCAGCCTGCCTGGCACAGCGCCCTCTTCTCGCCAAGACACGGCTTCGGAACAAAGTGGCCGACGACCACATAGGCGGGCCGCCAGCCTCGGAGGAAGGAAGCCAGCCAGCTGCTCGGACTGTAAAGGCCGAAGGCGCAGGCTAGGCGGCCCTGCCTGATTTTGGCCCCTCCACACGCAAAGTGGATGGCCTGGCACTTACCGCGGCACAAGACTTCCGTCATCTCTCCTCTCTCTGTTGCTCCAACGGCCCGGAGAGGCGGACGTGACGTTTTGCGCTTTCTCCCCCCTCTTTCCTGCGGAACGACGGCACGGCCTCACTTCGTTGCGCGACGGCTTCTTACGAGAGGCTCCACCACACCGGCTTCACGCCTCCGTATCTCCTTTCATCTCAACACAGCACAGTCTGCCGCCTGGACCCGGCCCCACATGGAAGCCAGCGGTCGACAAAGAACCAGCAGGCTATGTAGGGGGCTCGACCGCGAAGGTGGGTCAGGTATATAGACCTCCTCCTCTCTTTGCTCATGAGCGAGCATCGCCCTCTGCGTTCTTATCCTACCTTCGTCCTCCCACGACCACCAACGAGTACCACCACGATCCGAGCGCCAACGTCTAGCACAGCTGCCTGCCAATCTCGCCTCGTTGCAAACGCATTGCACGCTACCCACTTGACCAAGCACGACCACTGGACGACGCTTACACAGCCAACACCAAAGTCACTAAAGACAGCCAGCTAGCCACCGCAGCACCGCAGCACCGCAATCTCCCTCACAATGCGAGACGCCAGCGTCATCCCCATTGGCGGACCGTCCTACACGCCACGGATCTCGGTCTCGTCGCACTCGCCCTCAGCCTCTTCCTCGTCGTCTTCCTCGTCCTCCTCCTCCTGCTACTCTCCAACGTCGGAGCACTCGTTCCGCACCTCCCTCGATGCGCAGCAGGTGCAGTACGCCCGCTCGATGGCGTCGCACACGGCCTCGATGTGGCAGCGCGAACGCCTGGCCATCGAAAAGGCCAAGCTCGACGGGACCTGGAAGGGCGACATGACCAGCCGCACAAACGGCAGCGCCAAACCCGTCCCCGGCGACGACGACATCGAGGTCCAGCACCAGGCCGAGGGGAAACGGACAAAGAGGAAGAACAACACCACTGGTTCCACCCGGGACCGTACCAGGGACATCAAGAGGGACCTCCCCTCGTCGTCTTCCGGGTCAGAGAGGAGGTGGTGGAGCTGGAGACGTGCCTGAGGTTCTCCTCAGCCTTCTCTTGTCTTCACCTTGTCTCGGTCCGCTCGGCGCTGGTTCGCTTCCACACGCGGCGTCGACGTCCTCTTCGCATCCCCGCCTCTCGATCTGCTCTCTCCACGTCTCTTGGGTCCTTCCTGCAATACCTCGGTCCTTCACTTGGCCTCCCTCAAGCCTCCTTTCTCCGCACGCACCTCTTTGTCGCATTGTACTCGTATCCATCCGACTCTTTTCCTTCTCCGTCCTGCACGCAACGCCTCGTCGCATCGTCTCGCGCCTGGATGCTGATTTGAATGACCATATCATGTCACCCGCTTCCGCTTCGCATGTCTGTCCGCGCCCGTATCTCTGGTTATCTTCAGGTGCCGTAGCGCATCGCTCGCCATTGCTCGCCTCGTCACCCCACGTTGGAGAGTGCCGCCAGCGCCGCGACAAACTCATTGGGCCGCAGGATCTCGGTGCTGCCGTACGTGATCCGCTTGCCCGTACCGCCCGACGCACCGGGCACACCAAGCCCGCCGCCGCCGCCGCCACCCGGCTGGGCGGGCGTGCGAGCCGCGTACTCCATCAGGTTGGCGTACTCGACGTAGCCGCCGCCCCCGACGACAAAGACGATGGCCTCGTTGAACGTCTGCCGCGCCTTTACGCCTCCGCCCGCCATACCGCTGCGGCCCCGCGCTGCTTTGGGGTCGAAAAACAGGTACTCGTCCGTCTCCTGCAGCGCTTGGCTGCTGGCCGACGACGGGTCCATCAGCGAAGCCGTCAGCCGCGTCACGGTAAAGTCCTTCTGGGCGGGCAGGAAGTTCTTGACTCCTGCGACGAGGTCCAGGCCGCTGTCCTTGAGCCGATCCGTCAGCTGTGTTGGTCAGAGAGCGAGGGTCGCTGTGTCAGTACCAGGCGAGCTGGAAGGCTGGGCAGGCATCTCGGGCGCCACCAGAGGACCAACTCACTCTGGAGCTCAGCGAGCTGAATCCCCGGAACAGCTGACCACCGTCGCTCGACGGCGCCGGCGCAGGTGCAGACGCCAGCATCGTCATCCTCGTCAGCTCCCGGACCCTGTTGCGACAGCATGAGAGGGGACGGAGGAGCTCGGTCAGTACTCTGCTGGTGCGGCTGCAAGCCGGAAACGGCACGCAAACACGACGGCGACGCCTGCTGCTCACTTCTTGACGTATTGCAGCGCGGACAGGTCGGCGCCTTGTTCCTTGAGCACCTTTTCGAACTCTTCGACATCCGCCTTGGTCATGGCGCTGTCCGGTGCCGAGAGGTAGAAGATGAGGAACAGGCGCAGCTTGTCCTCAGGCAACTCAAGCGCCGGATCCTTGATCGTCTCCATGATCGTCTCCTTTTTCTGCTCGGGAAAGAGGAGGCGATGTACAGTAGCGTCAGTCGGCTGCGCAGATTGCGGCGGGGCGGCACCGCGTTGCGGTCACTCACCTGCCGCAGGATGGCCTCCTCCAGCTGGAACAAGGTATCGAGGCCGCGGCTCTTGATCCCTTGCAAGAGCCCGGTGGCGATGTTCATGTGCGCGTCAATCGTCTGCTTCCGCTGCGTCAGCTCCGGCAGCGCCGTGATGGCCGCCTTGAGGTGTGCCGCGTTGCTCGAGGCGTCCAGCTGCCCGACTTCGTCCATGCTGCTGATACCCGTCGACCGCGTGATCTCAGCGGCATCGCTCTTGTAGCGATTGAGCTCGGCATCGATGTCCTCGGCCACCTGGGGGAAGGGAGTGGCCGAGTTCTTGATCCAGAAAAAGTCCTTCGAGTCGAGGTCGTAGGTGCGCTTCGAGCTGACCCCCTTTTCGCTCGAGACGACCGTGACTCGGTTGAGCTTGAGCTCGAGCACGTCCTGCACCAGCGCCTGATAGGTCCACGAGTGGGCGAACATGGGCACCAGGTCGACGTTGCGGTCGAGGATGACGAGCAGCGGCCGGGACGTGTTCCACGACTGAGCTCCCGATGTGCTCTCAGAGAAGAGATTGCCAGCGCCGCGCGCGCTCGTCATGTGCTCTCGCAGCTTCGACTCGAGCTTCCGCGCCACCAGCTCGGCGGCGTTGCCCTTGGGTGAGCGGATGATGGGGAGGGTGCCAAGGGTGGCCAGCGTAGAGAAGAGACCCTTGGCAACGCGATCCGTCTCGGCCTCGATCTCGGTCTGGCCGTTCTTTGGGTCATTGAGCCGCTCATACGTGGTAGGAACCCGATCGGACGCGGGTGCGCCCCCGTTTGGCGTTGCGACAATCGCCTTTGCTGGCGCCGAGCTGGAGGTGGCCTGCTGCGAGGGCGGCAGCAGCTCAAAGAGATTGGGCTCGAGGACGATGTAGTCAAGGAACTGGTCATAGACCTGCTGAACGAGATGGCCCGTCCCGTCGCGCGCGACATAGGTGGCAAACTCTTCGAGCAGGGGGCGAGGCAACGTCGAGGTGAAGTTGAGGTAGTAGGACTCGTAGAGAGAGCGTTTGAGGTCGTCTGCGATGCGCTTGAGGTTCTCCATGGTGGGCGACACAAAGTAGACGGCGGGGACGTCGGGCAGCGGTGGCCTGTCGGAATGGAGCTGCATGTGAAGCGTCACTCCGTTCTCGCGGAGGTCCTGGACGCGGAGGCTGGTGGCGAGGATGTCCTTGCTGACCTTGTCCATGACGAGGACCTTCCAGACGGGCGGGCCCGAGGGCACCTCGATCTGGCCCTTGGCATCGGGACCTTCCACACCGGAGGCTGAGCCGGGGCGCGAGGTGTAGGCGGACCCTGGTGCGGACGAAGCAGTCGAGGAATGGCTGAAGCTGGGGTTGTTTAGATTGAGGAGCGACAGGAGCGACTGGAGCTGTGCGGAGCGTAGGCTGGAGCCGGCGGCTGCGTAAGATACCGGTGTGGCCATGGTGGCCGCCGAGTCAAGGTTCTCGTTTCTCCGGCAGGAGCGGCGAGCAGATGACCGAGCAAAGCAGGGTAGGAAAGTCGCTCTGCGAAGGCCAAGGCGAGAGTGTGAGGTGATGGCGAGGGTGAGAGGAAGGCCACGCTGGCGCTGCCTTGCCTGGCAACATGGTCCGTTCGCTGGCCACCTCCGATCGGCCGTCTGTGGGCGACCCTCGGGACGATCTCGGCCGGGAGAGCTAAAACCTCTTTCACCTCGCAGAGCTTCCGGCCTCCGGTTGGCCGCGCTTGCCGGCCGGCCGTTTTTGTCGCAATCAGCAACGCATCGATCCATCAGCGATGCCACCACCACCGTCGTCTATGCACGCATGGCATACCACCGCTAGTCACCCGCCTCTCCTCGCCTTCATTCCATCCAGCCTCGGACACAGCAGCAGAGCCAATATAAACACCAACAGCGCAGTCGACGTCCCTTGCGCCTGATCCGTTCCTGCCCATACCTCCCGCGATCCGACGCTGTCCATTGCCTGCCTGCAACCGGCAGACAAACCACCCCGAAAGATATCACTTTACATCGGCGACTACGTCCAACATCTCCCTCGCTCAGCCATCACATACGCCTTTCCGCACATCATGAGCCGTCCTGGAGCTCGCGAAGAAGGCCGCGAGCCTACGTCCGAGGAGCAGGAGCCGCCAGTCTTTGAGCAGGGCGTCAACACCGCGAGCGACAAGGGCGCCGACATTGTCGATGCTCTCGCCGTCGAAGACATCGATGTCAACCTGTACAGGAGCAAGGTGAGATGCCGGACAAGAAATTGAAGGGCGTCGTAGGAGCATCGAAGGACGATCGCTGATGTGTCTGCCTGCCCTGGAACCGGATGCATCCGCTCCCGCTCAGACGCTTTGGACACCTGCGAGGGCAAGGGGCGTCTTCGGCGGACAGGTCATCGCCCAGGCGGTGGCTGCCGCGGGCAAGACGGTGCGCGAAGGCATTCACCTCCATTCGTTGCACTGCTACTTTTTGCTGGCTGGTGACCAGTCGGTCCCCATCCTCTATCAGGTGGCCCGCGTGCGCGACGGCGGCTCCTACGTCACCCGCTCCGTCGATGCGACTCAGCGCGGCCGCACCATCTTCACCATCATACTCTCCTACCAGAAGCCCGAGCCGTCCCAGCCCAGCTTCCATATTCCCGTACCCACCCTCGACGAGGACGGCACCAACATGACCAACTCGCACACGGGCGCGTACGCCACGGGTCTCGAAAAGCACATCAAGGACAACGGCTTCAGCAGCCTGCCCCCGCCGGAGAAGTGCCCGCTCAACGAGGAAAGGTACATGGAGGTCGTCGCGCGGCCCGATGTGGACCCAAGGATCAAAAAGGTCCTCCAGGGCTGGATCGAGGACCGCCAAAAGAGCCCAGTCGAGATCCGGTGAGTTGAACGGCGGTCGATCCGAGTCCAGCGTCGACGAAGCCTCTGACTGACGACCTGTCGAACCCTGCCCTCGCCCACGTTTGCTGTGTTCCCACAGAGACGCGCTTCCGGGCATGTACGACCGCCACGGCCACGCGACCCCGGGCAACTCGCAGGCGTTCTGGATGCGGACCAGAAAGCCCATGGCCGGAGGCATCGAGGCGCAAAAGGTAGCGCTAGCCTACGCCAGCGAGTGAGTCGAGCAGCTCCGCCTGTGTGCTACGTCATCTTGCCGTGACGTCGGGGCCAAGACTGACGTGCTTTCAACGCACCGTGCCCGCGTTGCAGCTTCTATTTGCTCTCGACGGTGGCCAAGGCGCTCAACAATAGCCGCAACATCAAGATGATGGCGTCGCTCGACCACAGCATGTGGTTCTACGACACCTTTGACGTTTCCGAGTGGCTTTTGTTTGTGGTGAGTCGCGGGGCGGCCGTTGTGTCGTTGTCCGTTGCAACGCAACGATCGCTGACGCTCGGTGTTCGGTATTGGGTGACGTGTGCACAGATGCAAACGCAAGCCGCCAGCAACGGGCGAGGTGTGGTCATGGGGCGCATCTACCGCCGGGACGGTACGCTGGTAGCCGTGTGCGCGCAGGAGGGGCTGGTGAGGGGCAAGAGTGCCGACGAGATCCAGAAGGAGGTCGAGAAGCGGCGCGGCCAGGGCAAGACGACGGCCAGCAAGCTCTAGCTCCTTTGCAGTGTCGTAGCTTAGCGTGCCCAACCGGTCGCTTTTTTTTTGAGCGCCGTGGTGTCTCTTGTTAATGGAGGTTCTGTTCTCGACTGCTTGCGAGATGACGACGACGATGGCGACGACGATGCTGATGCGGATGCCGTCTCTGTCCGGACAGGCTGAGTGGCGATCTGAAGAGGACTCGAGCAAGGTGCGGAGAAGGGTCGCGGTAGGCGGCTAACGCCGGCCTGTCGGATGTGGCGGCCAGCGAGGCTGGCAAATCGACGCACGGACGCCGGCGCTCTTCCCCGCCTTTCGCCCGCCGGCGGCCTTTTGACGGTGCCAGCATATGCATCTCGCTCGAGCTTCTTCGTAATCGCGGCCGCGACGTCCGTCCCGCAATCGAGCCCCGCACCCGGGCCGACGGCTCATTCTTGTCCCTACTGTTGGTTGTTTCCGTACCACCCACTATGGCCGCTTCCCCATCCTGGACCCGTTTTTTCCCCTCGTACCGCTCCTCGTTTCCGACCTCTGCCTCTCTGTTCGGCCACCACCATAAGAACCAACGCCAGCTGGCTACGAATCTGGGACGATCATACATCTCGACCACCACCGCCCGCTCCGCTACGCACGCCACCCCGCCCTCACAGCGCGCCAAGATGGCATCCAAGTACCCGCCCTTCAAGGAGGCCGAGGCAGCCCGACCCGAGTTTGACACCTCGGCCTCGTACACGCTCACAAAGACCGTCGACCCCGACTTCAAGGCGGGCCAGGGCCTCAACTCGCACCCGGCCGCCTCGGCCGCGGCGTCCGACTCGGCATCCTACCACGTCATCGAGCTGGGCAAGACGGAGATCAGCCCAGCCATGATCTACAAGCTCCTCATCTCCGGGATCGCGCCCCGTCCCGTCGCGCTTGTTACGACGCTCAACGAGGACGGCTCGCCCAACCTCGCACCCATCTCGTGGTACCAGATGGTCTCGCACAATCCGGCCACCGTGATGATCTCGTTCGGCGGCAGCGAGGACCGACGAAAGGACTCGGAGCTCAACATCGGCCGGCTCGGCGAGTTCAGCATCAGCGCCAGCTGCGAGCCCATGGCCGAGGCCCTCAACTTTGCCAGCATCGACAGCCCTCACGGCGTCAGCGAGTTTGCCCTGACCGGCCTCACGCCCGTCAAGAGCAAGACGATCCAGACGCCGCGCATCAAGGAGAGCCCGTTCAGCATGGAGTGCACCGTCCTCGAGGAAAAGAAGCTCTACGACGCCAACGGCAAGCACACCACCACCCTCGTCCTCGGCAACATCAAGGCCATCCATATTCGCAAGGACACCATCAACCCGCAGACGGGCGCCATCGACGCGCAGAAGACGCTCCCCATTACCAGGATCGGCGGACTCCAATACGCCAGGACCACGGTGTGAGTGCATTCGGCCAGTTGATAACGTCGACGCTGGAAATTTCGACGCTGATCCGCGCTCTGGACCTCATCCTTCCTCCCTCTCTGGATCGTCCCGACAGCGGTTACGAGCTTGAGCGACCAAAGTGGGATGTCGTCAAGGACACGCCCGAGGTCAAGCAAGCGCTCGAGCGCGGAGTCAAGCCCGTTTTCGAGAACACTGACCCTATCCTCGAAAAGTACCCCTGAGATCCCGGCCCGTCCCTTGCTAGAACGAGCCACGCCACGCTAGATCAATAGAGGTGCTTTTCTTCGTACCGCTCCGGCGACCGGTGCCGTCCCTGCTCCACTGTTCAGGGCTTCTGTGCGACGGCGAGGAAAGTGTCAAACATGCGTCCCCGCCAGTTGAACTGGGACGACTTCTCCATCTCGACGAGCTTGAGCCCGGCCGCCTCAAAGAAGCCTAGCATGTCCTGGCGGCTGAAGCCGTGCTTGTGTGCGATCACGTTGTCCTTGTTGGCGCCTGCCTGTTGATCATGTCCGTGGCCGTGTCCATGATCGTGCCCGTGACCGTGCTCGTGGCCTTCAGCTTGCCCATGCTCCGCGGGCTCGTCAAGCTTGATTGGCTCGTCCTGATGGATGAGGTCGACGATGGCAAGGTATCCGCCGCTTCGGAGGAATCCGCTCAGCACCGAGGCGACGCGGGCTGGATCAGCGAAGTGGTGGAAGGCCATTGTGCAGGTGACCACGTCCACCTGCTTGCCCTCGAGCTGCGGCGGAGTCGAGGCGAGAAGGTCGGCGGCGATGGGGTGGATGTTGTCGACCCGCGCGTCGGCAGGCTGCGCATCGAGCTTCGACTGCAGCACGCCGACCATATCTTCGGAGAGATCCACGGCGTAGATAGACTTGACTCGAGGTGCCAGCAGCATAGAGAGCAGGCCGGTGCTACAAGTAAGTCGAGCACAGGCAGCGATCAGTCCAGTCAGTGCCCGCCTCCCGTTGCATCGAGAGTAAGCCCGAGGCCGGTCTGTTCCTCCTCACCCCGCGGCAAAGTCAAGCAGCTCCGTCTGGCCGTCCTTGATGCCAGGGACGCGTTCGAGGATGCTGGCGGCATTGTCCTGCGCCAGCTGGACGGTGGCGCCCTTGCCCAGGTTGTCGTACTCCTTGGCGGTGGCGGCATAAAAAGCGCGGTTGGCCTCGGTCACCAGCTGGTGCGAAGGCGGCGCTGCGCCATTGTCTGATGGGCCGGACATGGTCAGTGTGTGGGAGGAAGAGGAGGTGGTGGTGATGAGGCGAGTTGTTGGTCGGTCGGCCCGGGTGCTTATCTAGCGAACTGCCGCCGCTTAAGTATCCGCGGGGGCGCGTCCTTGGCTGAGCCAAATGTACACCACCTCTCTGTCCATGCATGCCAACGGCATGGTCGGATCGAGCCGAAGCATGTACGGACCTAAGGCCCCGACGCCATGCGTGACTCGTCCTGCCCCCGAAACCCATCGGAAAGGCTCCGACGGGGCCGATCCGAAGACGGTGTGGTGGTGGTCGACGATAGGGCCGCCTGAAGGCCTGCCCGCCCTCGACGGCGTAACCGCAGAGGTTCGCACAGGCCGCCTCCACTCTGGTTATGGACGTCCGATTTCCGCGGCGGGCGGTCGGGCCCACGCCGCTCGGTGAGAAGGAAAAGGTCCGCCAAACTGCGGGCGAAATCCGAGACCAACACCTTCGGCCTTGCCGCACTGCCGCACACCACCCGACCCTTGGACCTCTCTGGACCGCGCTCCGACGCAGAAGCAACGCCATTACGATGGCTGGATCGGCAGTAGAAGACCGCACCATCGCTGCGGCGGATGAAGTCGGCATCGTCGAGGAAAACGAGCTGACCCGCTTCGAGAGGGCGGACGAGTACATGCAGCTACTCGACGACCTCCTCGTCCGCCGCGCTGACGGCCCTTCGTCTGCGCCAAGCCGCTCAGAAGCCATCCTGGCTGGCCTCGCCGCCATCGTGAGTCTGCAACGCGCGCCTGTCAGCATGCGCGACCGCTCACACGCCGTCGTCTGTCGTATCGCTTCGCCCGCCTGCAGCTGGACGAGTACCAGGAGCAGTCCTACCTCCTCGATCCTTACCTCGAGCGGATGGTCACGCCGCCAATTGAGGTGCTGCAAGCTCACATTCGAGGGCTAGAGTCTCTAGACGCCGATGTTGTCGTCCGACTCAGCAGGCTCGTCTACCTCTATACCAAGATTCGAGGCTACAAGGCTATCAGTGAGCCCTGACCGAGTGCGGATGCACGTGGAGAGGGTCAGTCGCTGATGGACTCCCGTCGTTGCCTCACCTCTCGTGCACCCATCACAGCAAACTTCTTCCCGCACGAGGTCGCCGATCTCGCACCGACCCTGACCTATCTCGAGAAGCTCGCCGATCCAGACCAGGCAGCCGTCGGGCGGGACGGTGAAGCCAGCGTCTTGAACACGTGCTGGGAGCTTCGCTATGTCCTGTTGCTGTGGCTCTCGCTCGTCTGCATGATCCCATTCGACCTTCGCCAATTCGATGCGCGCAGTGGCGATCTCGGCGTCCTTGGCCTTGCTGGCTCCGGTGCGATGCCCACCGCCAACAGGATCGAACATGTCGGGAGATCCTTCCTCTCGAGCCCGGGCAAGGAGAGGGACGCGGCGGCCGTGATGCTGGGTCGGCTGTTCCAACGGTGAGTGAGGAGCTCGCGATCCGATCACCTTCTCCTCACGCCTCTTTCGTAGCTATCTTGACTCCGATGCCTCTCCCGTACCTTTGATCTTCGACCGACAGGCAAGATGTTCAAGACGCCCAGTTCGAGGACTTTGCCGCCTTCTGCTCCGCCACGCTCGTGTCCAAGCCCTCTGCCTTCCTCGCGACGGGAGTCCTGCAGGCGCTCTGCGAAGTGGTGAAAACAAACGACCCAGCCTTCGTCTCCGGCAGGCTGCACTCAATACAGGCGGTGCTCGACCTATACGACGATCCGGATCGACGCGACCTGGCCGGCAACGGGCTCGTGGTCAAGAATCAGACCAAGCTTACCTGCCGTCTCGGCCTCAAACTGCTGAGGCCGCGGAAGAGGAGACGTTTCATCCACGTCCGCACCCTCGGCGCTTCCAACGACACCGCCTCCGCTAACGACGAAGCAGACGAAGACGACGACGAGGATGACGTGCCTGACCTGATTGACCAGTACATCTCGAAGCTGATTGAGTCGCTCCAGCACAAGGACACAGTGGTCCGCTATAGCGCCGCGAAAGGGCTGGCAAGGCTGTGCGAGAGGCTACCGAGGCCCTTCATCGCTCAAGTGACGGACGCGATCGTCAGCCTCTTCCACATCAACATACCGGATCTCTACGAGGGCGCCAACGACCTCAACGCAGTATCCGAATGCACGTGGCAAGGGGCGTGCATGGCACTGGCCGAGCAGGCACGTCGTGGGCTCCTCTTCGCGTCCAGCCTCGGCGAGGTGCTCGAGTGGGTCGGCAAGGCCCTCTTGTTCGACGTGCGAAGGGGTGCGCACTCGGTCGGCGCCAACGTACGCGATTCGGCGTGCTACGTCGTCTGGGCGCTCGCTCGCGCTCACGACGCCGAGGCGATCCGGCCCCACGCGCTTCTTCTCGCACGCAAGCTGGTCGCCGTCGCCACGCTGGACCGCGACGTCTCGATCCGACGTGCCGCCAGCGCCGCCTTCCAGGAGTGTGTCGGCAGGCTCGATCTCTTCCCGCACGGGATCGATGTCATCCGCATTACGGACTTCTACGCCGTCAGCGTCCGGAAGAGCGCGTTCCTACGGTGCGCGGTCGAGGTGGCGGAATTCGACGAGTACAGGTCGTTTCTCGTCGACCACTTGATCTGCGTTACTATCGCTCACTGGGATGCAGCGATGCGCCGTCTCGGTGCCCAGGCCATCGCGAGGATTGTCGGCATCGACGTCGAGAAGCTAGGGGCGCCGATAGTTGGCAGGCTGGTGAGTTGAGGGTGTGGACAGCCGTGGGCAGCATCATGATCCGGGCATACTGACTTGCGTTTTCCCGCCTCCAAATTGCGTCACGTTCAGCGGACTCTCTGTTCGGCGAAGGATAGCGTTATCCAACACGGTGCTATTCTCACGCTCGCCGAGATTGGAGCCATTTGCGCATCACGAGACGATGCGAGCACCCACGAGGCGCTCGCAGCTCTGGTACGTCGACCTGTTGGAAGACCTCATCGGAAAGGCCGCTGTCTCATCGCTTCACTACCGCCTTTACTGTTTCCGACAGCTGCTCTCGACAATCGACGACCTTGCCGCGAGCCGTCTCAAGCGTACAGCAACCGCGCAGGTCCTCGAGGCCTCCTGCCGTCTAGTCGCGTCGGCCTTCGACCTCTTTGCGCGGACGATGACAGAGCCAAAGCATTTCTCCAAGGCCGACTCGTGGACGACCGTCGTCTACCTCTCTCTGCAAGACCCCGACGAGACTGTTCACGGGGCCGCATCCTTGGCAGTCAGGAACGCCAGCAAGGTTGTGGCATGCGGAGAAATGATCGACAGATGAGTTTCCCGGCTCACCTTTGCCGTCGGTGGCCAAGCTTCACGCTGACATCTTGACATCCCTGTGGTCTCTCTGCCCACGGCGATCGTACCGCTGTGCAGGGATGGAAGGCGTTTTCAGTCGCGCAGCAGCAGAGCAACGCCCTTGTCCTGGGCTCCTACGATTATACTCGGCACGCTGACCGGTTCGAGACGGCCCTCGATCACTTGATGGCGATCGTCGATGTCAAGAACGCCAAAACGCCTGCTAGCCGATACTCAAGCAACGTCGAATCGAGGAGAAACGCCTACATCGCCCTGGTGCGCGCCATCGAAAGTGTTGAAGGGCAGTGCGAGTCGGGTAAGTGCAGCAGTGTCTGTCTGCCCGGACCGCTCTCAAAAGCAGGAGTGCTGATGAAAAGTCGGTTCCATGTCCCTTCTGACCGCCTCAAGGCAACGCAATCCTGCGACCGTCCTTCCTTCAAGCCATCATGGTGACCCTCCTCTCTGGTCTCGAAGACTACTCGACAGACCAACGCGGAGACGTGGGGTCATGGATCCGCCTCGCCTGTCTCTCGGGTCTGTCGCGGCTGCTCAGCCTATTTCGAGGTCGGCATCGCCGGGACTCGACAACCATCGCCGAGCGAGACGAGTACGTGACGCTCGAGCTGTACGACCAGGTCGTCGGCGGTATAATGAAGCAGACGGTGGAGCGGATCGACCATGTCCGCGAAGTAGCGGGCGGATGTCTCCTCCAGCTCTGGAACGACGAGCGGTCTGCAACAGAAAGACAGTCATGGTGGAGGATGAAGGGCGGGCAGGTGGTCAAGGAGGCATTCATGTACGTCCTTGAGCGCCTTCGGATGTCCCCGCGGCGACAGATGCAAGCTGAGCTGACCGTTTCACTTGGTTTCCCAACCGTCGATGCGCAATACAGCGACCAAGATGGCAGCATGATCGACTTCAAGAATGCCAATAAGCTCTTTCCGCAGGCCGTCAAGCTGCTCCTCATCCCTCGCTACAGGGGGCAGGTCTTGCTCGGCCTCCTCACATCGGTCGGGAGCAAATCTGACCTCGGTGTTCGTCCCTCGCCGTTTCTTCGACCTCGCTCCGTTGTTGTCGTGCTGACCAACTCAATGCTCCACTCGCCTGCGCATCGGCACAGCATCGAACGATCCTTTCATCTCTCATCGCCTTCTTCTCCAACCCAAGCTCTCCCTCTCTCCTGGTGGAGGGGGAGGGGGAGGCGTATACGCTCTACGACCTTTTCGAGGATCTGGCGCTCTTGCTCAAGCGGAGCCTGACCAAGAACAACATCGTCGTGCCCGCCCTTGAGCTCCTGCGCGGCATCGTCGAGGGCGGATTGCTTGAAGAGGCGCTCGAGCACGTCGATACCGAGGGGACGCGGAAGTGGGAGACAATCCTGTACGTCCTCTCCCATTCAGTCGACGACGTACGCGGCCCAAGTGTTGGAAGCCAGGCGGCCATGCTGAGTCGACCTCCTTCCCGTCTTCCCCCTCGTGTCCCGAAACCAGGACGACGCTCCAACGCACGAGCACTCACGCGTTGAGCACGTTGAAGTCGCATCAACGCATCAACGCCTCGATCCTCTTCTCGTTCTCGCTCCTCCCGCCCTCTCTGGCTCCGTGCTTTGCTCCCCACCACCGGCTGGGCACGGTCATACTCGATCGACACCTCAAGACCTTCCTCAGCGTTCCCTACCCCACCATCCGCGCCAGGGCCGCCGAGTACCTCTACACCCTCTTGAACGTCCACGATCTCCTTCCTATCGCAGAAGAGGACGAGGACGAGGGTGAAGGCAAAGGGGCAGAGGAGGTCGAAGGCGTCTTGACGGAGACGAGATGGTGAGTCCTTGCTTTCACCTCGTCGACGATCCGGCATCCGCTCACACCTTCCGGGGTTCATCGGCCGATTGATCACACCAGGGCCACCGCAAGCACCGCGACCTACACCCTCGCGGCCGAGGTCGTCGTTCGAGAGCTGAAACGCCTACTCCTGCCCACCGCCGAGGAAGCTGTAGCGCCTTAGACTCGTCCAGCACGGCGCGCAAGAAACGAGTACCACGACGACGACAGGAGACGAGGCACATCGATCTCTTTGCGGAAGAACCCGTATCCGATAGATGCGCGGGGTGACTGCTGAGTTGGGGGTATCAAGTATGCTGCACGCGAAAGAATCAGGCAATAAGTCGATGAGGGATGAGGATAGCTTAGGCGGCGAGGGCTTCGCAGCTCGGATCTCACGATCCGGGTGCCCGCGGCACGACGCTCTCGAAAAGGAGCGACATGCAGAGCTCGTCTGTCAAAGCGGAAGAGGAAGAGCCAACTCAGCGGCCGGATGTCAGCTTGAGATGAAGCAACATGCGACAACGACGACCATGATGGGCTCCGGTCCACGCCACACTCACAATTGGTGGGGATGTGGTCGCGCAGCATGCTCTTGGCAAAGATGGGCTCCGAGAAGCGCTTCTCGACGTCCTCGCAGAAACGCAGGATGACACGGTGCGCTTCGGCCCGTCCATCCTCGGTTCCATCGCCCGCTTGCGGCGACTCGGGCGAGGATGTTCGAGGCGACGAAGGCGTCGCGCCCTCGCCCGGCGGGCGCATTCGCGGCGTGACAAAGACTGGGAAAGACTCGATGCCTGTGCGTGCGTATGAAGAAGAGGTTGACGACGAGGCGGGTCAGAAGGTAGCGCGAAAAGCGGCAAAAACCAGGAATCGTCGCTCTCACAATAGACTTCGCCGGGCGGGTAGAGCTTCTCTTCGCACATGTCGGCCCGGATCGTCTTGATCAAGCTCCACAGCCAGTCTTGCAGATCGGCGTCGTCGTCGCCGGCGTCTCCAGCTGCGCCATACGTTTGTGCGCCGCGGGAGGCCGAGCCGGGATTTAGTCCACCTCCCTGCGAGTAGGAGAAAGGATCGAGGTCGTCGTCCGCGAGTCTTGGGTCCTGGTATCCCGAGTCGTTGGCGCGATTGCGGCTGCGTCCTTGCTTGAGCTCCTCGGGCTCCATGATCAAGTCTCGCTCGTGGGCTGGCGGGTCCGAGGGCCGCGGCACACCATCCTCGAGGAGGCCAGCTGGCTGTGCGCGCCTCGCCTCGTCGCGACCCGTGGCGCTCCTGCGCTTCTGATAGAGCCCGATGACTCTGCCGACAATCTGCTGCGGCGTGTCAGTCTCCGCGTCGGAGCAGAGCGTCTGTGCCACGTTCTTCATATCGCGCACCATGCCCAGCGATAGCGTCGGCACAAAGTCGTGGCCATGCACGACGCTGGTGACCAGACCACGGCAATAGCGCGACAAGTCCAGCGAGGTTGCCGCGGGCACGCCGTACGCATAGGCGTGGATCGGTCGCCCTGCTGGCAAGCCCGAGCCGAGAGCAGTGACAAACGGCGTGGTGATCTTGGGATGGCGGATGGAGCCGCTGCCAGCTTGTAGACCCTGTTGCTTGCTCTGCAGCAACACCTGCTCCTGGAAATACGTCGATCTGCAGCTGAGGAGGATGGCGAGCAGTGCGGCCACGCCGCCTCCGAGTGAGTGACCGGTGACGACGAGGCCGTAGTCTGGATTCGCTTCCAGGGCGTTGGCGATCGTCTGCATCACGGTTCCGCGAGCCGACGAGAGCCGCTTGGCGGAAGCCAGCATGCCAGAGTGGACCTGGTAGACTTCCCCGCGCTTCCCGCCGGGCACCTCAATGTCCTCGTAGGTGCAAGTCAGGTCTGTCAAGATATCGCTGAGGCCGAGTGTGCCGCGGCAGGTGAGCACAACCGCCTGTGCCTGATCGTCGATGGCCACGTAGTTGACCAGTGGCGACATGCCTGGAGGGAAGGAGACGCAACAGTGGTCAGTCAAGAGGATCAGACGGGACAGCCCGCGCCGACCGAGGCGACGACTCACGTTCCGACGACAGCGACTGTGGCTCCGAGAAGCTGTTGAGGAGGATGCAGTCCACCGGAATCCCGACGTGGTGGGCAAACGCCCAGACGTTGGCATGGTGCTTGCTTGTGTCTGGGAAGAAGTAATCGAGGCTGCCGATGCCGAGGATGCGCATGAAGTTTTGCCCGTAGGCGGCGGACGAGTGACGCATGAACTTGTAGAGGTTGACGACAAGGTGCGCTCGGGGGAAGGCGCCAGCAGGTTCGGTGTATGAGCTGCCTGGCGCCGGCCCACGAGCGGTGCTCTGTTTATGTGTCCGCGAAGCGTACGAGTGCAGCGATGTGATCGACGGCGCCCTCGAACGCCTCTTGTCTCGCTGGGTCCCCGTCGACGCCGTCGGGAACGGCGCGGAACTGTTTGCGAGGTCTTTGGCGGCGGCCCTGCAGCCGTGCCCAGACTCGGCCTGAGAAGCCGCCCTTGAGTCGGTGCGAGAAGGGATCGGTGGCAGGTCCTTCAGTGTCCCTCGCGATACGGACTTCTTTGGGCTCATTGAGCCAGTCTGTTTTGCAGCTTTCGCTTCGGTGGCCTCTGCTGCCGACGCGGTGCGCTTAGTGCGAGGGGAGGCGCCCGGTCCCAGGCCGGACTGCATCTTCCCTTGCCTCTTGTCATGCTGCTTTCCGTCTGCCGATCTCCTGGACGAGGCTCTCTTTGGCGTCGTATCCATGTCATCTGCAGATTCGGCCGGCGTCGGTGGCTCAGAGTCCGGCGTCGCCCGTCTCCTACCGCTCAGCGTGCTGCTGGCGAGCAGTGGGCGGATGTGATTGCCACTGTGCGGGCTCTTGAGCGAGTTTCGAGCCATCTTGAGCACCTTCTGCAGACCGTTGGCCATCTCCGCATTGTCCTCCCGTGTGGGTGCCGCTTCCGCAGCAGGACGCGAGCGTGGCATCGCGCGAGATAAGAAGAGGTGGCGATCCGTGGTCGGGCTTGCCGGCGCGGTTCTTGAGCCGTGCTGCGGAAACGCTCGCGACGTCTGTTCGCGCTCGTGCCTGGCGTCTTCGAGTGGCGCTGCGAGGCGAGCGTGCCCTTGCCAGGGCTCATCGACGGCGTTGAGCATTTCGTCATCCTCGGTGTCGCTCCGCAGCTCAATCTTTCGCACCGTCCGTCGTTTTTGTATAAGCTTCTTGGTCATCGTCTTGAGAACCACCTGCATCTTTGTCGTCGGATCTAAATTCCGGTCTCCGCGGGTACCCTCCCGGTTGCGGCGGATGATGGGACCGCCGTTGGGCGCCTCCGGCAAGGCCTCGGCCTGGTCGGCGCCGTCGATGTCCATGGCGTCCAGGATGGTGGCTCGAGGAGACCCTGCGGTCAGAGTGTCTATGCTGTCGGATCGGGCAGAGGGAGGATCATTGGTCGTTCGTGCCACCTCGCACCACTCCTCCTCCTGCTCGTACGATGTCTCTCGACCGCCGTCGAATATCGACTGCATGCCGTGGCCGCTCCGAGAGGTTGTGATGTCACGCTCAACGACGCTCGAGCCACCGCCTCCACCGCCGCCACCATTCTGCGGGGGCCCGAGGTGTGTTCGAGACGTTCGTCCTGGCCATTCCTCGGTAGTCGTGGTGGTCTCGGTCGTCTCGATCGTCTCGGTTGTCACTTCGTAGACGGTCTCGTTCCTGCCGGGACCGGGACGCTTGCGCACGTACCTGCGCACTTGACCGGGGCCACCAAGTTGCAGCCCTTCGAGCGCAACGCCGCGCCGCAAGTGATCCTCGTCAAACGCTCCGAGCTCGTGCTGCAGATGCGCGGGCAGCTCGGCGGCCGTCCAGATCGTCGGTTCCGCTTCGCTCTCTGCGCCCACGAGAAAGTCGAGATCGGCCATGATGGAGACATCGTCGCCGCAGATCGAGCCAGGGCGAGTGGGCTGTTGGGCTGAGGGCGAGAATGGTCCGCCCAACGCCCATTCCGACTCAGCATAGCTAGGTCCAATGTCGGTCAGGCAGAGCCCATGTCCTAGCTGGTTCCAAGCTCGGCCGCTCGGCGAGGCCATGCCTGCCAACGAAGCTGGCGGGCCAGGGTAAGGCCCGTGCTGGCTCGATTCAGGGAGGTCCCGGAACGTGCCGGTCGGCGAACCGTTGGAGATGGCTGGCGGGGTGTGCGCACCGTCTGACGACTTGAGCAGCTGAGGCTCCGGCGGTCCTTGGGTCTTGACAAAGTTGCCGGAGCCCACGATCATCGAGCGCCAGCTCTTTGTCTCGACCTCGCCCAGCACGGTGCAGTCGTAGAGCACCCTCATCTTCATGCTCCTGGCGCTGCGCTTGTAGGTCGACTTCTGGAGCACAGCAAAGGCCGTGATAGCCTTGGTCAGGGTGGCGAGGATGCTCAGGCTCCCTCTGTCGGCGAAGCGTGGATCGCCGCGGATCTCGCTCCTGACCAGCGTGATGAACGAGGCCAGCGCCCGCGAGGTCTCGTTGGACCCGAAGATGCCGTCGATCGTGCGGACGGACTCGTCGGCAGCGGCGAGGCCGACCTGGATGCTGCTCGAGGCGATGTAGAAGCTGCTCATGGCGAAGAGCTCCGCCATCGTGAAAGTGTGATGGATCAAATAGATGCCAACGGCCGTGTACTTGTCCAGCAGGGAGAGGAACGCATCGCTGCAGGCGAATCATTGAACGGCGAAGAAAGCCAGAGAGTCAGCACAGCCAGCTTTGCCCACGCAGGAGGCAAAGACCAGATCCCGCCAACTCACTTGGCGTTGCGGACCGAGTTTGCTATCGTCATGGGTCGACCGGCGTCCTGCGCGTTCCAGCCCTGGCCCGATCCGATCGAATGGAGCGCACGAGCGGTGCCAACGGCGCTGATGAGAGCCCGTCGAGTTATCCCGAGACCCATTCCCGTGCCGTACTTGGCCGTCTCGAGGACGAGCTCGATAAAGAACGCGGCCGACTTGAGGGACACTCGTGCGAGGAGCGAGAGGTTGGAGACGACCTCTGCAATCTGCTGTGGCAGCAGCGTCGGGCCCGTCGCATACTGCAGGAGGGCGTTGCTCGCGCTCGAAGCTGTGTGCGCCGACCAGGGCATGCTGATCGTCGACGCCTTGTCCTCGCTTCGGTCTAGGTATCGTTCGCTAGCAGGCGGGGATGGCGGCGGCAGCGGCGGGGTTGTGAACGCTGGGGTGCTCATGGCGGAGTCGCTGTCTGCAGCGCCATTGGCGGGTTTGGGCTCGCTGCCGCAGTCATCGTCTGCCCAGTCGACGTCGGCCTGTGCGGCCGCCCTCAGGCTGGGATCCATGCTTAAGCGCGACGAGAGCTGTCGTATCGCAGGATCGGCAGAGGATGGGTCGAAGTCCGGCATCCCCTCCGCGGCGGCAAACAGGCCGAGCTTGCGATGGCTGCAGACCGGGGCGAAGGGCTCTGCTGGTCGGCGGTGGACGCGAGGGATGACGAACGTGTGCCGATCCCTGTCCCTCGATCTCTGCTTGCTTGCTGCTCGAGTTGCGTCGACCCTCTAGAGCTCAAACGGCTCGGCCCGATGCCGTCGTGGCGTCGTCGTGTGGGACTCGGAGATGCCGCGGGGGGCAGGGATCGGATGCAGGCGGCCGTTACACTGGATCCAGCTTCCGCTGCGATGATGTAGGTGTCGGTATGCTCCTGTTGGGCGTTGTCGTCAAGATTGAAGCAGAGGTCGGTCGCAGGGCCGTATCGTTGGTTGTTTGCAGATGGTCGCGCAGCCGTTCAGGCCAGGCAACTCTCGGGCTTGTGGGCGGTAAGTAGTGGCGAGTAGTGGCGGGAGTAGTGGCGAGTAGCGACGCAGTATGTCGAGAGAGGTGGCCCAAGCTGATCCACTGGCTGGAGCGGTTTCGGGACGGGAAGAGGTGCTCGTCGAGAAGCGATGGCCGAGTAGGGTGAAGGGGAAAAGGGGCGCCAGACCCACACCTTTCTGCTGCAGGTGCGCAGGGGAGACGAGCGAGCTGGTAGCAGAGAGCGAGAGGAGCCTTGGGCTGGGGAAGGTCGGTGTGCGGGGCCATTCAACAAGCGCTACGGTAAGGCAGCGTGGGTCGGGCCGAGCCACACAGGTCACGACGATGGCGTAGCGCAACGGCTCCTTGATAAAACTTTTGGGCGGGGGCCCCTTGCGCCGCGCGCGAAGGCACGAAAGCCGATCCTGGCCTCCCTTGTTCTGGTAGCCTGACGAGACGACGCCGGTCCTCTGTGGCTCCCGTAGACGCCTTCGTGACACCTAGTCTCTAGAGAGAGTATGTGTAGCGAGGCGGAGGTCAGTTCTGGCGCCGGCTATGCATCGACGCGTTGAAGGGGCGGCAGCGAGGATGCACAGGTATGCTTGCTCGAGGCTCCTCTTTGCCTTGGGGCCGCCCTGGAAGATGCTCGGCCCGCCTGCCAGAGGGCCTGCGGTGTGTGCGTGTGCGTGACGTGCGTGTTGGGCCGACCCTCGAGCAGGCTAGGGGGCCGCGACCCGAGCCTGTTCCTGCACCCTGCATAACACCCTCAGAGCTGCTCTTTCACGAAACCACCACAATTGTCGCCTTGCGCGGGCCCCACGGAGCTGGCCAGGCTCACCGCAGCCCCACGATGATTCGCCACCACGGCTTTGGCTCTGCCATGCAGGGGGGTAGACCGAGGTGCGAGCAGGTGAAGATCGCATGCTTTGACTACTCTGTTCCGTCCGCTCGACCCGGCGCCGCCATGCCAGCATGCCGATGAGGTGGGAGAGGGGACAAGCAAGGCCGGCCTGGCATGTCCTATTCCCGATTTGTTTTCCAATCGGGCACCGTCCGCCGTCCACGTGAGGGTGCCAGCCAGCTGCAGGTGTTGGTTGGACCGAACACTTTCGGCGCTCGGACGGGCCAGGTTTGTAACACCTCCTCCACCACCACCTACATACCGCCACCAACCGCCACCAACCGCCACCATCGCGCCAACGTCCGATCGGCGAACAGCATCGCTCTCCTAGAGACACTCGCTTGCGCGCCTTTCTGCGACTCTCCCTGCCCCTTGAACGTCTCTCCGCCATGTTCAACAACCGCTCCTCCAGCAGCGCCGCCATCAAGCGCCTCACGATAGAGTACCGCCAGCTGTCCACCGATCCCAACTCGCTCTTCCCCGCCGTCGGACCCATCTCCGAGGACAACTACCTCGAGTGGGAGGCGCTTGTTCCTGGTCCCGACGGGACGCCGTTCGAGGGCGGCGTCTTTTCCGCACGGCTCAGCTTCCCGGCGTCGTACCCGCTAGAGCCACCGACGATGCGCTTTGACCCGCCCATCTTCCACCCCAATGGTGAGTTGGCCAAGGCCGTTGACTTGCGGCGCTCTTGCGGCCGAGGGGGCCCTCTTCTGTCAGAGATGCTGACTAACGACGCCTTGTATCTTGCCTCTGCTGCGATGTCATCGGACAGTCTACGCCGATGGCCTCGTCTGCATCTCTATCCTGCACGCGCCGGGCGACGATCCCAACAGTGGGTACCTCCCGAGAAAGTTTGACCCTTGAGCCCATATGCTCACATCTTTCGACACCCTCATCATCTCTTTGGCCCGGCTCTAGTGTACGAGTCGTCCTCCGAGCGCTGGTCTCCGGTCCAGTCGATCGAGAAGATCCTCCTTTCGGTGCTTAGCATGCTGGCGGAACCAAACGTCGAGAGCGGAGCCAACATCGACGCATGCGTACGTTCACGAACGCTTCAGCCTTTGAATCTAAAGCTGCAGTTTGCTGACCCGCCGTTCCTCTCTCCGCACCCTCTCTGCCATCGACACATCGCCCCGTCCACAGAAGATGTACAGGGACGACCGCGAAGGGTACGAGAAGATCATCAAGGACAGCGTCAAGGAGCAGCTCGGACTTTGAGTGACGATCCGGACGCCTAGCGTCCTTCATTGACATGAAGCATAGCCGTATGAAGGCGACTCCGCGATTGATCCTTTCGCTGGTCAAGCTTTAGGTTTGGCATGTCAGCTGATTCGGATGGGCCAGAATGACGATCCGTGATGCTGCCCTGCATTGATGCCCCAGCAGACCTGTGCCTGGCGGCGCCTGCCTGCCTTTCAAGTTCATCGACAGAGCGAACAATGGTGGGATTTCAAATGTCGGGCGACGACAGGTCGGGACTACGATAAGGAAAAAGGAGCGGACGCAGACTGAGCTGCAAGCGAACAAGAAGGGAGGGGATGGAGGGAAGGAGAGGAGGAGGGGTAGGGGAGGCGACGCGGGAGGCGAGGAGTGGGGACTGGGAGAGGCCGTGGTTCGGAAAGGGCCCAGGGCACGACCTGGTCTGGGCTACAGGCTCAGCACGTGATTCCCTGGGGAGCGTTGAGGCAGCCGCCGGCCTTCTGGCCGCCCTGGACCTCGTTACCGGACCACTGCCAGTCAGTGCAGCTGCCGCTTCCGCACACGATGTGCACGGGAACGGCGCTCGAGCCGACGGAGCCCTGGACGCCCTTGATGCTGAGGTTCTGGATCTTGACGCCGTTGGTCGGTCGGCCGGTGGGCTCGCCAGAGCCCAGGGTGTAGTCCTGCTGGATGGTGATGCCGTACTTGGAGATGTTTTCGAGCTGGATCGACGAGTAGGTGACGTCGCTGACTGTGCCCTTGGCGCCCGCGACCGTCTTGATGCGAACACCGTTGACGCTGTTGGAGATCTTGACGCTTTCGATGGTCACGCCGTCGACGACGTTGTCGTCCCGGCCTCCGACGCTGCCGATCGAGACACCGTGGCCTCCCGTGCACTGGGCCTTGGAGAACTGGATGTTTTTGCCCGAGTTGATGGCGAGGCAGTCGTCCTGGTTGTGGATCGTGACGTCCGAGATGGTGATGCCGCTCGACGAGCCGATGTCGAAGCCGTCGGTGTTCTTGGCGCCCTTTGTATCGCCCAGGGAGTTGTCGATGGTGATGCCACTGATGGTGAGGCCCGACGAGCCGGCGATGCTAAAGGCCTGCACCGGCGTGTCCTTGACGTTCAGCGAGGTGATGTGGCTGTTGGATAGGCTGTGGGCCGCAAAGAACTTGGGCTTCTTCTTGCCCGAGTCGCCCTTGCCGTCCCACCAGCGGTCACCGCCGCAATCGATCACCGAGCCCGAGGCTCCTGTCACGGTGACGCCGCTGCCGCCCACGAGGATGAGCGGGCCTTCCCATTCGGCGTAGCCGAACGTCGTCTGGCCCTGGAAAAGCACCTGCGTGCCCGAGCGGAGCCCAGACAGGTCGAGCGTGGCCTTGGCAGGGACCTGCACGTTGTTGAGCACGATCGTGGTGCACTTGTCCTTGCCCGCGGCCACCTGTGCGGCCGTGCTGAACGTGCAGCCGCTGGTGGCGCCAGCAGGAGCCGAGTCGCTAGACGATCCAGACCCGCCGGATCCCGTTCCCTTGGCCGTGGTCGAGGTGGTCGAGCCCTTGGCGTTGGAGGACGAGCTGCCGTCGGTCGTACCCTTCCCGGACGAACCCGACCCATCTCCCGAAGCGCCCTGGTAATTCTTGGACGCTTTTCCGCTCTTGCCGTTTCCTCCCTCATTGTTCTTGGACTGGCCGCCGTCCTGCTCGGCACCACCCTGTTGCTCGTTCTGCGTGCCATCCCCTTCCTGATCGTGCGAGTTGTGCTTCCTCCTGACGTGGCGCCGGAAACCGGCACCGTTAACGGCGTTGTAGCCGTGCTTGGCAGCTCGCTTCTCGAGAGACGAGTTGCCGTTGTGGGAGCCAGCCCTAGCGGGGACGGACGCCAGGACGGCCATCGAGGCAAGCGCCAGAAGGACAAAGGAGTGCGAGAGCTTGACCATGTTGGCTTGTGAGGTGTCGAAGGGGTTTGCGAGTTGACTGGGATCAAACGTGGGGGCAGGTCGGTGGCTTATAAGAAGGGAAGCGCCAGGCTTCAGGTTGCAAGCAGTAGCAATCGAGACAAGGGGACTGGATGGTGAGATCGCCGGGATCTGTCGTGGAGGTTGTGAGGTGATGGACGTTGAGATCGTCTTCCGGAGACGGCCCCCTTATATACGCGCCAAACCCTCGAGCTGGGGGTGGTTGGGGTGACCCGTGAACAGCGAGCTGATTAGAGAGCGTTGCCTCACCGCCCCTGAAGGGAGCTCGAGCAGCTTGGGAGAGGAAGAGAACCAGCGCTTGCCTTCACGTTGCCAGGCATTCCCTTTCGCCCCGAGAGGCCCGATCGCGAGTACATACGTGCAGACGCAGACGGCACCGTCGCGCGGCGATATCCTCGGCCGTAAAGACGACCCACATGTCGGGAAACAGTATGATCCAAGGGTGGCAACCTGGAGCACAACGGTGCGCCCCTTGTGCCAAACCAAGCTTGAAACAGGAGCGCAGCGGTAGGTGGCCGCGGAGTTCCGCTATGCGTTATGAGGTCAATCGGGGGCGCGATCGCGGGACGCCCTGCCTGAGCAGGTGGTCGCCATGACACGAAAAGAAGGGTCGGTGATATAGCGGCAAGGACCGGGACAACGATAAAGTAGGTGTTGAGATCAGGCGCAGTCAGTGCAACCCGCATGTTGCTCGCGGGCCACTGCTGTAGCCATGCGTACATGGCCGGTGGCGGGTGTCAGGTTTGGCGACTGGCCTGGGTTCCTGCTTGGTGGCCCTGGACACAATACCCGATCGGACGGCAATGACGGCCTCTACCTGTTCGGCGACTCGCCTCAAGAAGAGGCCAGATCGCGCTCGGAAGCATGCCTTATAGTAGTTTGAGATGGTGCGGTACGCGTTGAGCAGAAGGCCGGCTGTTGCGCCTGCAACGCGGCTGACGGTGTGCCGTGTAACCTTCGCGGGGCAAACTGGCAGCTTGCTTGCTTGCTTGCTGCTCAGCTACATATACATACATAGCTAAGCTCGCCGGCAAAGCTTTGGTGCCTGGCCGGTGGTCCGGAAATGGCCGATGCATGCGTAGCCCATCGCCCCGTCTTGCCCCACCTCCGCGCCCGGACAACCGACCCACCTTCAGCCCGTTGCGCGCCGATCTGGCTGCAGAGGTGTCCGAGCACCTCGAGGCCATTGCCGAGCGGGGATACGAGGTCCAATCTGTCGCTCACAACGGCAGATCGTCTTACGTTCCCACGTTGCGCCCGCCCCCGCGCCCTGATAACACCCACGTACGGCTCTTGCCCTCTCGATGGCGCTGCGATCGCACGATGGGAGGAGGGTAGACCTACAGCTGCAGTCTGCCCGAAGACAGCCTGCGGCGTAGATTCATCGAAGGGAAGTACCGTGGCAGCATGGCACAGCAGGCAATCGAGCCAAAAAAAAAAAATCAAGGACCACAGGTAGGAAAGGTAGAAGGAAAGAGCGGCGACCGAGAATCGAACTCGGGACCCCAGGATGGATGCATTTTGCAATCCTATGCTAAGCCACTAAGCCTCCGCCGCAATAACCAACTGAGCTATTTGCCAAGTGGTTGGAAATGGCGCTCTAAAAACAAATCATATAGTACAACATGAAACGAGGATTAGAATCGCCCTTCCACTCTGTTGGCCGCTCGTGGCGTGAGCTCCCGGCCTCGCCTCGTCCTGCCAAGACGCTTTTCATCATCCTGCAACAGCTTGACCTTGTCCTGCAGTGCTTGTTGTTGGCCTGCCTGTATCTTCTAGATCCATGATTGCTGTCTGCGCTATTTGTTGGTGTGGCACAGCACTTGTCAGTCTGTGCCTACAAGGAGTCGATCACCCCATCCCTTCCCATTGCAGCTTGTGCATTCCTTGGCCGGCCCGGTCCATTGTCCATCTCCTCGAGTGTCCCTGTTCCGCTTGCAGATATGTTGCTGGCTTGGTGCTTTCTGTGGCTGCAGGGGCCTCGGCAAGTCTGAGGGAGACAAGGAAGTCCTGGACATCTGCCTGCAATTTCAAAGGACTCGCGCTGCCCACGCCCCATATCAGCACGCGAGCAAGCTTCAAGCGGACCGAAGAAGAACTCTAGCTGCTGTCGTCCCTGCCTTCTGCATCAGCATCGATTCAGCTCTTCTGTATATACACTGCAGCGACAGTCTGCTGCGCCGACGAGATAAAAGGGGCGAGCACCTTGGGCGGAGCCGTGCGACTGCTGCTGCTGCTACGGCTGCTACATCCGGGGCGACTGCAACCTGCTACTACTGCTGCTGCCTGCCGGCGACCTGGACGTCGCGCTTCATGTCCTCGAGCGCGCGTACGGCGGCTTCCTGGACCTCTCTCTTCCTCCTCTCCTCTCTGCGCTTGCTGCCGCGCGTGACGAGCTCCTTTGGCTTGACGTCGGCAAACAGGCTCCAGAAGCTCTCGAGGAGGTAGCAGCCTCCAAAGTCGGCGAGCATCATAGCGACGAGGCGGGCCTGGTAGGCGCCCTGCATCTTGACGAGCTGGAGCCACTCGTTGAGCTCGATGAAGCTCTCAGTGGCGCCGAGGACGGCGATGGCGCCGACCGAGACGAGGCCGTAGTAGAGGTACTTGTTCTCCTTGATGCCCTCGCGCCAGGGCCTGCCGATGTAGTTGACGGCAAACGTCGAGACGGTCTGCGAGAGTCCGAGGAGGTAGACGCCCGTGTTGAGGAGCGACGGGCTAAACTTGGCCTCGAGGTCGACGACGTCGTCGGGCTGCTCGTAGATGACCGAGAGGCGCTGGATGTAGTACATGGTGGCGACGTGGAGCGCCGTCTGGGTGAGGATCGAGCCAAAGACGTAGACGTTGAGGATGTTGGTGACGGGGCGCTCCTTGCTCAGCTTGTCGATGGGCTGGGCGCGCGAGATGCAGAGGAAGCAGACGCTGGCCAGCATGCCCGAGATTGTCACCTGGTAGTCGCCAAACTTGATGCCCTCGAGGTAGAGGACCGAGAGCGAGTAGGCCTGGATGAGGCAGTTGAGCGCCAGGATCTTGTACATCTGGATGGTGGCGACGAGCGTGCAGCGGCCCTGACGGACAATGGCGAGCACCGAGGCGACGTTGGACAGCTTCGAGGTGAATGGGGCGGCGACCGAGGCGTCTCCAAGGCGGATCTGGGGCGGTCCGTCGTCGAGGTCGGCGTCAGCCATCTGGGCCGTGATGGCCGAGAGGTCAAATTTGGCCGTACGATCGACGGTGCGCTGGTTCTGCATCTTGGCCAGCGCCTCGTCGCGCGCCTTTTCGAGGTCCGGGTAGAGGGTCTTGAGCGCCGGCGGCACCGGCGGCGGCGGCTGACCGAAGCGCGCCGTCAAGCTGAGCTGCGACTCGTAGACCTTCTTCATGCGCTCATTGCGCTGGTGCTCGGCAATCTTCTGGAGGTCCTCGGGCGTGCCGTCGAGGAGCGCCACGCCAATGTTGGCCGCCTTGAGCGCGCCGACGTCGTTGGTGCCGTCGCCGGCCATGAGCGTGACGAAGCCGAGCTGCTTGAGCGAGTTGAGGATAAACTCCTTCTGGCTCGGCGAGACGCGGGCGTAGACAAACGTGTGCTGCACGAGCTGGTTCCAGGCGGCGGCGTTGTCCTGGTACTGCTTCATGGCGGCGCCCGTGATGCAGATGTCGTGGTCCTTGAACAGCGCGGCGTCGAGCGGGTCCGACGCCCTGACGGGGATCAGGCGCGACTCGTCGACCGAGCGCCAGATGAGCTCATCGTCGCTCTTGGCGCCCTCGCGCAGGTCGAGGATGAGGACGTCGCGGTCGACGATCTCGACCTCGGACGCCACGTGGCACGCCGTCAGCGGGTTGTCGCCGGTGATCATGATGCAGCGGTGCGACGAGTCGTTGAGCTGCTTGATCGAGGCGACGGCGTCGGGCTTGAGCGGGCAGTGGAAGACGAGGAAGCCGGCAAAGGCGAGACCGCTCTCGACCTGGTCGCGGGTGACGTTGTTGACCTTGCCGGCGTCCTTGACGTCGTCCATGAATTTGTAACCGAGCGCGAGCACCCTACTGCCACGTCGAGTGAAGCCCTTGTAGGTCTCGTCGTAGTGGGCGGGCAGGTTGGCGTACATCGACTTGAGCGTCTCGGGCGCGCCCTTGACGGCGGCCAGCGTCCTGCGCGAGCCGCCGGCGTCGACGACGAAGCTGACGGTCGACATGCGCTTGAGCGCCGACGAGAACTGGAAGCGGCGGCGGACGTTGATCGTGAAGCGGTGGTTCGAGGCCTTGGGGTCGGTGGGCGAGAGCACGTCGCCCTTGTTGAGCTTCCAGTCCATAGCCTCGAGCGTCGTCTTTTCCATCGGGTCTCCCACCAGGCCGTCCTCGAGCAGGACGAGCGCGTGGGCCGAGGCGAGGGTAAGCGTGGCCTCGCTCGAGGCATCCTTGAGCGGCACCAGCCTGGCCTCGCCGCTCGGAGCGCAGTCGGCGACGCCCTGCACCTCGAGGTCCTCGCCGGTGATGGTGCCGGTTTTGTCAAAGCAGCAGACATCGACCCTGCCGGCGTAGGGGATGCGGAAAGGCTCGGTGCAAAAGATGGCGTACTTGGCCAGCGCCATAAGCGACGCATTGACCGCCATCGACAGCTCCATGGGCAGCTCGGGCGGCACGACCGACGTGATGATGAGGACGCAGTCGAGCAGCAGCTTGCCCTTGGGGCGCTCCATCTCGGTGCCAACGACCCAGACGTAGGCGCTGGCGGCGATGGCGAAGACGAGGAGGAAGCCGATAAAGACGAAAGACTCGAGGTTGTTGGCCGTGACGCGGTTCTCGTTGGTAAAGACCATAAGGCGGATCAGTTGGCCCTGCGAGGTACCGAAGCCGGTCTTGAGGACGACGCCGAGGGCACCGTTGTCGGGCGCCTGCAGCTTGCCGTACGGGCCGTCGGCTTCGGGGCGGGTGGTCTGGAGCACCTTTGTGCCGCCAAAGACGACGTTGTTGCGGTCGACGCCGTTGACGTCTAGGACATCGGAGGCGTCGCGCAGCTCGATGCTCTCCTTGAGCAGCGGCGTGCTCTCGCCGCTAAGCATGGCCTCGTTGACGATCGTCGAGCCCGAGACGAGGAGCAGGTCGCAGGGGGTGGCCGAGTCCTCCTTGGAGCGGTCGATCGAGACGAGGTCTCCCGGCAGAAGCTCGGTGGTCTGCACCTCGGTCCAGGCGTTGGCGCGGTAGACCCAGATGGCGTAGGGCTTGATCGACATCGTGCGGAACTCGTTGAGCGTGCGGAGGCGCTGGAAGACGACAGTGCACTCAAAGACGACCAGCATGAAGAGGGTGAAGAGCGAGTAGTACCAGTACTCGTCGAGCATCCAGAGGCCGACGCAGAAGACCTGAAACACGAAAAAGGGAGCGACGGCGTGCTCGATAAAGAGGTCGGCGAAGCGGGGCATGGGGATGTCGAAGTGGTTCTTGCCAAAGGTGCCCAGGGCGAGGTCGACCTCGGACTGGGTGGTGAGGCCGTGGCTGCCCTGGAACTGGCCCAGCGTGGGCTGGGCATCGGCGGGGTAGGGCAACCTGCGGAAGGTGGGCACCTGGATGAGGGGCGAGACGAGGATGTCGGTCTTTGCGGCGGTGGGGTCCGGGTTGGCGAGGATGTACTTGTCGGCCTGGTAGGTGAATGCGTACTCGACGGGCATGCCCGGCCTGCGGGTGGTGTTGAGGGGCACGATCTCGCCCTCGCCCTTGTGCGGGTGCGGGAAGATGCGTACGAGCTGGGCATCGTCGAGGCTGCGCGCCGAGGTGCAGGTGATGATGGCCTTTGCGGCGATGGACCACTTTGTCACTAGGAAGCTCAGCGCGTGGAGGGTGACGAGGCCGACGGTGTAGACAAAGGTCCACTCCTCGCTGCGGATCCAGTCATCGTAGCGGACGAGGTAGGCGTAGGCGGCGATGGGGTAGAGCGAGAGGAAGGGAAGGACATAGAGGTGCAGGTGGAAGGGGATGGCGCGGTGCAGGGTGACGCTGGCAATCTCGGGAGACTGCACGGCGATGGCCATGGTGGCGGCGGTGGGGCGAGATTGGACGATTCGAGGAAAAGGCGCGATGCTTTTCCAGTCGTCCTTGCCTTGCTTGCCCGTTTCTTGACGAGGAGGTGGTGGTGGTAGCGGTGGCGTGTGGGGTCGAATGTGACTTGGGACAAAGAGGCCGAGCGCCGGTGCAGCTGCCGCCCCAGGGCCGCCAGCCAGGAAGAAGTGGCCCAGCGGGCACCGCACACCGGCTTCGGCCCCGATCACGCCAGAGCAGCCCAAGCTGGCTTGCTTCCGCTCGTCATCCATTCGGGCGAGAAAAGAAAATCCAGCGGGCCAGCGACAAACGCGCCAAACGCGCCGCCGCCGCCGCTCCTCCACCTATGGCGGCGTGCGGTGCGTCCAACAGCGCGGCCGCCGTCGTTGGAGAAAGAGTACGTGCGCACAACAACACCTCGCTGCGTCGCTCTCGCCTCGATCTCGCCACCCATCTCGTGTCACACATCCTCCGCCACTGCGCATCGCTTTCAAAAATGGAGAATCCCTACGTGAGCAGTTAGACAGATAGACAGACAGACACTTAGCCCCGTAGCCACGCGAGACACTTGCGCTGACCGACCACATCGCCTTTGCCCCTCTCGACCGACCGACGACCGACAGGAAGAGCGGCAGTCGCTCCTCCTCGAGCGCATCATCCGCAACGTGTCGCTGCTCAACGAGGCGCTCAAGGAGGTATCCACCTCCGTCACCCAGATCAACCAGCACAACCAGGCCATCACCATCGCCGGCGAAATGTGGGAGGGCGTGAGTGCGATGCGCCGCGCGCACCACCATCCTCTTCGTTGCTGCCAGGCACCCGTGCTCATTCCACCCCATCCCCCCTTTCCCTTTGGGCCCACCTGGCTTGCTGCTGATGACGACAGTATCGGAGGAACGCGGCATTTAACTTGCAGAACATCGATGGGCTCGCCGACCAGCACGCCTCGCCGGACACACGGAGCGACGAGACCCAGCACGCTGCATAGCCTCGTCGTCTGGCCGCGCAAGTCGACCTAGTGCTGTCCGTGGTCAAGCCCTCGCTATCCTCGTCCAATCCCGCTCATTCTGTCTGTACACTACCGCTTGCGCTCCATTTGGCAACGCCCCAAGATACCCTCACCCCTGAGCCTACGCCAACTTTCCGAGCCGTCCCTTCCAGCCTCGCACTCTCGGGTAGGCATGTGAGCTCGGGCGGCCGGTGAGACCACTGCACCGCCTTCCGGGTATCCAAATGTGGATGTGGGGAACCTCATCGATTTGAGAAGGCAAGAGGGGGTGAAAGGGGAGGAGCTAGGCTACAAAGTGAAGGGAGAGCGAATGCTATGCGCACAGCATTGAAGAGCAGAGGAGGGGAGGGGGCGGAAGAGAGCATCGACTAGCAGCGGACAAGGGGACACGAGATCGCCGTTGATCCGAGTACGGGGCAGTGCCAAGAGACGGGGCTCTGCGACGCGCATCCAGCTCAACTAGAACCGAAAACGCGAGCAAGAGCCTGGGTGATGGTGGGGACCGAGCCGGGGCTGGTATATACGTCTGCTGCAAACGTCGCAGGGACGGCCGGCCGGGATGCAGCACCGGCGAAGCGACCCAGCAGTAGCACTGACGGCGGCTTGTCGTGCGCGATGCGGAGAGCCGGACTGACCGTCCATCACAGGAGAGTCGACGTCCTTTAGGCGTCCTCGGCGCGGGGCTCCGACGAGATGGCGCCGTATCCGCCACCGCCGGGGCTGCCAGCGGGGGCGCAGAGGCTCTCGGGGACGAGGACGTGGCCCTCGTCGGGGGTGGCGAAGAGGAGCCAGGCGCCCCAGACGGGCTTGGCGATGACGTCGAGGATGGCAAAGAAGAGGATCTCCTTGTCGGCCGACAGCTTGCCCGTGCCCTCGCACAGGGCAAACGCGACGGGGTAGAGCGACCAGACGACGACGAGCGCCAGGCTGACCTGGTTGTACAGGCCGCCGACCTTGGGTCCGCGGTGGAAGGCCGTCGAGCGTCCCGAGGTGACGAGCTGGATAATGATCCAGACGAGGGCGATGCAGCTAAAGGCGAAGAAGCCCCACTTGCCAGTCTTGACGGGGTGGAAGCCGGCAATGACACCAGTGATGATCATGACCAGGTCGGCGATGATCAGCACGATGATCTCGGCCACGGGGAGGCCGGCAAGGAAGGTGAGGTCGAGCAGGAGCAGCGGCGTGGTGAAGGCCCAGTCGATGTCTGCGGGGGCGGTAGTGAAGCGGGGCACCGGAGACAAAACAGGCGAAAAGAGACGCGACGGGGTCAGCGTGGCTCCTGTACCAACCTCGCGAAGCCTGCAAGGCGCTCCATAGGGCCCTCCGTACGCCATCCCTGGCCTGCTGTCCCGCGCTACTCACATCGGGCGTAGAAGAACTCGCGCGGGCGGGGGTCGTTCTTGGTTCCGACGTTGACAAAGTCCTTGCCGACGCCGGTGGCCATGGCAAAGTAGGAGAGGGCGGCGATGGCGGTGATGAAGAAGGTGGTGGTGTGCATCAGGCGGTAGCGGTACGAGGCGCGCTGCGAGGTGATGAAGAAGAAGACCGACGAGACGGCCATGATGGCGAAGACGACCCAGAGGTAGGTGTGGCCGTACTGGGTCGACTGCTCGGGGTGGTGCAGGTGCGGCGGGATGGGCGGGATGCCGACATCGGGCTTCTTGGTGAGCGCCCCGAGGACGTTTTCGTAGTAGAACGAGTTCATGCTGGATGGAGTCGACAGAGGGGGGGAAGAGGGATGCTCTTTGGGCGGATGGATGGTCAGGGAGGGGGGAGGGTGGACAGAGTACTGCTGGTCGTCGCTGCTGTCGTCGTCGGCGTCGCCTGCTTGATAATCGAGGGCGAAGGACTGCTGGGGTGGATGGTGGACGGGGGAAAGAGCGAGAAGGGTTGGGAGCAGGCCGTCTTGTCCTTTTGAAGGGGCGGGGCGAGGAGGGAGCCGGTTCCCAGGAAGCGGGGATGCCTCGAGGCGAGGGCGCGCGAGACGGATGGCAGGCCTGGCACCGCAGAAGGCGTACGTCGCCGTCGTCGGCGCTGCCCCCGTTCCCCTCACTACTCGCTCGCTTCCTTGCCTCGGCCCGCTGAGCCATCCGCAGCGACGAGCGAGTATGGCAGGCTGGCAGGCAGGCCGGACCAAGCTGGGAAGCAGGCAGGGGAAAGGCGGCCGGCCTGTCTGCGCAGCCAGCTCGACGTCGTCGTTGCGCACCCTGCATGATGAGGCGAGCTCGCCCGTCGATTTCGATGGAAGGGGCCCTCGAAGCAAAGGAAGGCGGGTCTAGCGGAATCGCGGCCAACCTTGACCATCGCAGCCAAGAAGACGGAGGGGCGGGGCGAGAGAGGCAGGACGGGCAGGCAGGCAGCGAGCGTCTACCGCTAGCCTGCCTGGGCGAGCATAGCCGGAAGGTGGACCCTGCGTGGCTTTGCGCTGCCTGCCTCCCTGCCTGCCCGTCTGCCCGTCTGCCTACCTCAGCTTGCCGGCCTTGCTTGGCTGCGCTGCTTCTCCGCGTCTCGACCGACGGACGACCTCCGACGTCCTCAGCTGACCACATCCAAGAAGGGGCCGGCCTGGGGTCCTTGCTTGCTTCCCTGCCTTCCCTTCTCCGCCTGCCCATTGAGTCCTGTCCAACGAAGGTCTGGACTCTGGCGAGACCATCCCGCTCGACCTGGATGACATCGACAGCGCACGTCTGCTGCTGGTCGTTCATCTTCCCCCTGCCTTGACGGTCGTACGAGCGACAAACGACGGCCGGCGAAAGGCCACCATATGGCGGCGAGCATGCACGACGACGGCTCGACGGAGCAGAGTAGTGACGCGGCACGGCCATCGCATACCGTGCTGGCCTGGCAACCCAAACGGGCGACGACGACGACGACGGCGTAGCCATCGGAACTGGCGCAACCGCGTGTCTGGCCAGCATAGGACCAGGCCGGATGGGGAGAGGCAGGCAGGCAGGCAGCGTCGCAACGTGTGGAGGGAAAGCCAGCCTGCGCTGGCCGGATCAGAGCTCGTGGGGAAAATCGAAATGCAGGCAGTTGGCAGCAGGCAGTTGGCAGGCAGGCAGGCGGGGCGATGACGGAACGATGCAGAGGCGAGGCGCGCAGCCTGATCTGATCTGGTACGCACGGTCGCACGCCCGCCGGTCACCCACGATCTCGGTCGGTGCTAGCCCGCCTGCCTACAGTAGCCTGTCTCTGACGTGCCAGACCGCGCCTTTGGGCCCGCCCGCCCGCCCATTTCATCTGTCGAAGTGGGGGGCCGTGCGCGCACAGACAGGCCAGGGATGTCCCCTCGGCACCGAGCGCCTTCGAGACTGAGCTGCCTCGGCCCGAAAGGGGGCGCGACGGGACGGCCCGCGCTGCGCACTCGCCCTGCTGCGGGTGTGAGAGCACAGATTGGGTCTTTCCTGTGGCAGCAAGCAGACGGCAGAGGCGTCGACGACGAGTTGGACTGCGATGCGATGATCCAGGCGAAGCGATAATACAAGAAAAGTGGGGAGAGAGCATACAGACCTGCCCTCAGACGACGTAGAACTCCGAAGTGATGGCCATGAACTCTGCTCGGCGCCGTCGACGTGCAAGCGAGCAAGAAAAAGGAGGGGTCGAGGTCAGTATCGGTCGTAATCAAGGCTTCGCGGGGGTGTGCGACAGACCGACGGTCGCTGCGACTTACCGGAAACCTTGCCCGTGAACGGCATCTTGCGGTCGCCGTTGTAGACGATGCGGTAGAGGCCAGGCTCGGTCCAGCTCTCGATGCTCCACGAGACCTCGACCGTCGAGCTGCCCGTCAGGCCGTTGGTCCGCTTCCACCGCAGCGTCGTCGAGTGGTGCCCGTCGGTGCGCACCGTCCTCCACTCGCCGTGGTCGGCGTACCGCTGCACCTCAAAGTAGGTGCCCTCCAGCCGCAGGTTGTTGCGCGGGTTGGCCGCGACAAAGACGGCCGTCACGTTCGACGCCTGCGACCTGACCGGCCCGTCCTCGAAGATGGCCAGCGACGCGTTGCGCCAGCGAGGCGCCGCAGCGCCCTGGACGAGAGCATCGCGGCCACGGCCGGCGACAGCGGCGGCGGATGGGGCAGGGACCGGGTACGACAGCAGGGGCTGAGTGAGGACGTCGCCAAACTTGTGGCCGAGCGGGGCGTTGTCGTACACGACGCCCGTCTTGAGCTGGTACGACTTGTTGAGATCGACCTGCTTCCACGGCCCCTGCGGCAGGTCGCGCGCATCCTCCTTGAGCGCAGGCACGAGGCGGCGTGCAAAGACGTCGAGGTAGGCCTCGAGCGTGTGGGGGCCGAACAGCGTGCTCGCACCCTCGTACCGCTGCACGCTATACTCCTCCTCGGTCGTGATGTAGTGGCCGTACGTCGATGCGGGCCCGCTGATCTGAAGGATGGGCTCGACGCCCTCGGGCAACAGCCCGGCCTCGGAGATCGACGCCGCCACGGCCGCCTTGAGCCTGCGGCCCGCCATCGTAGTAAACTCGCCGGGCACGACCAGAATAAAGAGCTGCCCGACCCGTAGCATCTGGACCTCGACAATCGAAGGGCCCCAGTCGTAGGGTCGGTGGATCTCGCCGACGTCGAGCAGGACCGACTTGGGCGCCTGGCACTCCTTCTGCTCCTCGGTCGGCGACTTGATAAACGCCTTGACCACGTCCCAGAACGCATTGTGGTGGTCGGTGGTGTTGCTGCCCTGGACAAAGTCGAAGGCGCCGGGGCCGTCGGTGGTGCCGCCGGCGAAGCCGTAGCCGAGCGCGGCGGGACACGTCTTGACGCGGCTGCCATCCTTGCGGTAGACGGTATAGCGGCTCATGTCGACGTTCATCTTGACGCTCTTGACCGGGCCGCCCTCATCGATGAGCGTCAAGCTGCTATACTCGTCGCCGTCGCCGTCGCCATCGCCGCCGCCCGCAGACGCTGGGCGCGACATGATGTCCCGCGCGGCGTCCACCTGCATTCGGGCGATGATCTCGTTGGACGCAAAGTCCCAGCTGCCGGTGGGCGAGACCTCGAGCAGGGACGCGTCGCCCCAAGCAGGCCCGCGGCCGTGGCAGGTCTGCACGCGGTCTTTGCCGTGGCCGTTGTCGCAGGTGGAGTGCTTGTACTCGCAGACGGAACCGTCATCGCACCAGGCGCCCTGGGTGTTGGGGGACGTGTCGCCCACCGTCGACTGCGAGAAGCCGGCGACAAACGTCGTCTGACCGGGCATCCGGTCGGGCTCCTGCGCCGTCTCGTAGAGCAGTGCCGCCAGCCCCTTGTTGTCGGCCGAGGTCAGAGTGTTGTTCTCGTAGAGCGAGGTGCCGTGCACGGCGTACCACGAGAGGAAGCCCTTTGCCTCAGCCTGCTCGCGGGCCTCACCCTCCCCACCCTCGCTGGCGAGCTCCTCGAACTTGAGCAGGCTAAAGTCGTGGTCGAGATCGTCGCCGCCGTAGCGGTCCCGCTCCTCCTGAGGGTTCTGCTCGTAGGCGTACCTGCTGCGCTGAATGTGCGCTTCGGGCAACCTCTTGCGTCCGAAGCTGAGGCGGGTCCGCTTGCCGTTGTAGAGCCGCTGCTCGAAATCGTCGTTGGCGCGGATCGCCGCCTGGACGGTGCCCTCGATGATGGCGTCGACGTTCTGCTTCACGACCCCCTTGGAAGTGAGAGTAGGCAGTAGCGCTGTGATGAAGCCTCCCGGTCCGGCGTGGGAGTGGGTGCCGACAAAGGCGATGTTGCGCTCGCCATAAAGGCCCGGGTACAGCTCGCGAAGTCGGTCAACGACGCCGCGGCGGACGGCGGTGTCGCCCATGCAAATGTCCGAGTTGATGAAGATCCATCGCGAGGGCGAGCCGTCGGCGGTGGCGATGAGCTGATGCGGTGACTTGCCCGCGGCGGCGCCGAGGTCAAGCTGGCGTTGGCGGGATCCGACAGCAAAGGCGCGGGAGCGGAGACGGATGTGGAGCCCGGTATTCGTCTGGGGCATTGAGGCGTAGCCCATCATGTTGACCTCGACGATTGGGCCAGTGATGTCTCCGACACCGAGGCCGAACATGATGCCGTCGCCCTGCATCGAAGCGACAGGCGTGCCGTCAACACTGATGGCCTGCTGGTCGACGGCGGGGCGGTGGTGGTGGTGGCTGTGGAACGAGTCGCTCCAAGGTAGCAGATTCCAGCCGGCGCGAGAGCCATCGGCGCTGCCGTCAACAAAGCAGCATGCGACGTAGAGCAGGGAAAGTGCGGCCAGTGCGGCGGCGGTCGCCTTGAGGACGAGGATCACCTTGTCCTCCCAGTCCTCGACCCGACGCGGCGACAAAGGCCGTCGCGATGCCCGCTTCTCGTCATTGTCGCCATCATTGTCCCCAGTTTCTTCGTGCTCGAGCTTGCCGTCGAGCGGCGATTCGGCTAGCAGTGTGTCTTGGCTGTCATTATGGGGGAGGGCTGCATACCGCGGAGCGGCGTGCGGGTGCACTGTGGCGTAAGGATTCTCCGGGGTATCGCTCTGCGGCACGGACTGGTATGCTGATGGCATAGCAGGGTCTAGGCGCGGGAAGGAGGGCCTTGTCAGCTTGCTTGAGAAAGAGCGTCGCTGGGCCGTCAGTGAGGCGAGAGGGGTGTCGAGTGGCGGGAGGATGGAGGAGTGGGTGCGCTAGGTCATGGAAATCGTTGCCGTCGTTCGTGCGTACTGTCGTTCCAATGTCGTCGAGGTGGCGAGGAGAGGAGATGGTGGTGCCGACGTGAGACGCTGTTTGTCCTTGTTCCTCGTTCCTTTTATCGGTCGAGAATCCGAGTGGTGGCAGCAGGGTGGTGGTGGTGAGGAGGAGTGGCGGAGCAGGCCAGAGGGCCTCCCAGAGACGGCGGGCGATGCCCAGGGTCCGCCTGCTTGGGGCTCGACGGAGCGCAGGCAGACGGGCAGGGGCGCCGGGTGGAGAGAAGCGAGAGCGAGGCAGGCCGAGGCAGGCTTGGGATCAGAGGGACGGCGCAGCCTCGCCCCCGCACGCGACGCTGGCCCGGGTTTTGGCATGCCATTTTCGACGCCTTTTTCGGCGCGCGACGACTCGGCGAGCAGGCGATGCTGGCCGCAGCACCTATGTCGACCTCGAGGCCATCGTCGAGTGTAAAGCAGGGCAGCAGCGAACGCCATGTTCGAGTACCGATCGGGCCTGCTCATGTGACTGGGACAGCGGCCAGCTCGGGGCGGTTCTCATCGTCGTCGGATCGGCCTTTTGGCGAGCGACCCCTATTGCGCTCAAACAGGCAAGCAAAAGGCGACGCGGGTAGGCGCGGCTCAGCCATCCTGATTCCATCCCGACCTGGACCCTCGGAACGCCATCGACGAGCAGCTACAGAGACTCTGCTGCTGCTGTCGCGCGCTCGCTCGTCTTGAGCGACTGCCACAGGTGGTTCCGGTGATCCCCTCCGCCACTCCATTCCGTTTCCGTTTTGGCACGCATCGCTCGCGTGACCGAGGCCGAGCACGGGTGTCATCGACAAGGTCGTTATGTATATCGGATCTCGAGCCTCGAACCTATACGGTCACAGCGAGAGGTGGTGGGAATGTGGAAAACGAATGGAAAGCAGACCAAGCTCGGTTGGCGCAGGATCCTCCCTGAAGTGTCCGAGCCTGGGCAGAGCAGCGGATCCACCGCCAGCCCAACGACGGAGGCGTTCCAGGCTCCTGCCCCGCATCTCCTCAAGTCTCTCAGCTCTCTTTCTCTTGAGGCCCTGGCGGCACCGCGCCTCAACTCACGTCTCGTCCCGAGGCCCCTGCTCGATGATCTCTCAGGCTCACCGAGAGTTGCCGCCACCGCGGGTCACGACAACGGCCGCCAGCACGGCGACGCCGAGGAAGCCGATCGCGGCGGGAAGGGCGAGCTCCTTCGGCAGCACGCCAAAGAGGAGCTCGTCGTCGTCGCCGCCCTTTGCACCCTTCTTCGACTTTCGCTTGACTGGCGTCGCCTCGGCCTCCTCACCGAGCTCCTTCTCCTCCTCCTCTTGCACGCTCTGCAATTGCGCCTCGGCCGCCTCGCGCTGCCTGCGCTTGTTGGCTGCGCCGCTGCTCTGCAGCGACTGGGCGCTGCCGTTGGCGGCTGTTGCGCTGGCGCTGGCGCGAGCCGCGGCCTCCTCCCAGCCGCGCCCGCCCTGGAGGAGCAAGACGACGCGGTCCCTGCCCTGCTTGCGCGCCACCTTGACGGCATCCTGGACGTCGCCGTCGGCCGTGATCAGCACCACGTCGTCCTCGTCGTCGGTGTAGGCGAGCTGGAAGTCGTTCGGATCGGGAGTCTCGATCGAGGAGCTCGCCGCGACGCCGTTGGCCTGGCCACCATCCTCGGCGGCGGTGCCGTCGGCCGATGCAGTGGTGGCGACGGTGGAAGCGGTGGCGGGGTCGAAAAAGGGGTCTCCGCCCAGCTTGATGCAGACAATCTCGCGGATGGTCTCGTAGCTGTCGTATCGCGCCTGGAAGCGGTGGGTGCGGCCGCTCGGCGTGACAAACTTGAAGAGGTAGGTGCCGTCGTCGGTCTCGACTGCGGCGGCGACCTGTTGGCCGACGACGGATCCGCCGTCATCGCCGTTGAGTGGCATCCCAACGGCGCTGGCGCTGTCGTTGGGGTGCAGGTCGCTGCTGAGGTCGCCAACGAAGCCGGACTTGGACGGTGTACCAGGAATGTCGAATTGGCTCTCCGATTGGCGCACGCTGCCGCTGACGGCGCTCTCGTCGTCGCCGTGGTTGCTCGTCGTCTGTCCAAAGCTGTTCCAGAAGCGGTTCCACATGGGGCCGCCAGCTGAGCCGTCGCTGCTGGCCTCGTCGTTCATGCTGTTGATCTGCTCGAGGGTGGCGTAGGTGAGCTTGAGCACGTCGACGACGCCGACCAGGCGCGCGTCGGTGTCGACGACGGGCAGGTTGAGGTAGCGTCCGTCGTGCATCTTGCGCAGAGCCTCCTGGATCGTCAGCGAGGGAGGGGCCGTGTCCGGGTGCGGCGTCATGACGCGGACGACGCTGCAGGTCTTGGGGTCGAGGCCGGCAGCGATCACGCGCAGCACGACATCCTTGCTGGTAAAGATGCCGGCAATCTTGCCGGTGACGGCCCCGCCCGAGCCAATCTGCCCGGTGCCTGGACCGCCGGAGCTCTCCATGACGCAGACGGCGGTGGTGTGGTGCTCCTTCATCAGCCGGGCCGCCTCGCGGACCGTGGTGCGGACACCGACGCAGCACGGCAGCGTCCGGGAGTCGAGGATGCTGGCAATGTCGGGGATGCTCATCTTGGTCCGCAGCGCCTCGATGTACTGCAGCATGGCCTGCTGCGGTCCGGCCGAGCCACCCCACTCGCTCTGCACGCCCTCGAGGGCGTTGTAGAGCTTCTGTGAGGAGCCGTGGGCGCGCTCGAGCTTCTCGAGGGCCTCGTAGAAGACCTTGGCGATGTCGAGCAGTCCGACGACATCACCGTCCTCGTTGCAGACGGGAAGGTGGCGGAAGCCTCGGGTGACCATCGTGTTGAGCGCCTCGGTGGCGCTGGTCGTGTCGCGCGTGACCATGGGCGAGCGGGTCATGATGGCGCTGACGGGCGTGTTGCGAGCGTCGAGGCCAGCAGAGACGACCTGCAGGGAGCGCGCGACGAGCAAGGGCACGGCAGCGGCTGGTCAGCGTATGGTGCGAGCTGGTGCGGCGTGCGGCCAAGGGAGAGCTGCAGGTGGGCGGAGACATACCCTGAAGGCCAGGTCCTTTGCGGTAAAGATTCCGGCGAGGTGCTCTTCATCGTCGACGACGAGGACGCAGTCGGTGCGCTTGGCAGCGCAGAGCTGACTGGCATCGGCGACGCTGATCGACTGCGGGACGGTGAGGGCGGGGAGCGGACGGAGGGCCGAGACGGTGCCGGCGGCTGCGGGGGGCCGGGTGGGCTTGCGGCGCCTAGACACGGGCGTGGCGGGCTTGCCCGCTTTTCGCTGCAGCTCGCCTTCGATCTTTTTGCGGATCGCCTGGAACGGTGAAGCAGCGGAGAGGGAGGATGGAAAAGGAGCAGGTGAGCGGACGGGTATGGGTCGATTAAGAGCGAGCTCTTCTGTGTCAGCTTCACTCACCTCGTCGCGCTTTGACTGGCGCTTGCGGGTGTCGGTCGCCTCGCTGCTGAGCGGCGAGTTGCGGTAGCCGCTGATGGAGCTCATGTCTTTGATGGGCGTCGACGTGGAGAGGGGGCGGGACGGTAGGTTTGAGGACTGCGAGGCCTGGAGGGGCGTGGGCGAGGGCGAGGGCGAGGGCGACTCTGGACGATCGTCGGGATGGTAGTGCCGGCTGGGGACGGGGATGCGCGACATGCGCAGCGCTGGCTGGTTGGACTAGGCGATGATGGTAGCGATGACGATGGTGCAGAAGGACGACGAGGCTACGTAGCTGTTGTGAAGGACAGGCAGGGCGAGGTGAGCCAGAGCAGCCGGGCGAAGGGGTCCGTGTGGTGGCGGCAGGCAGGCAGGCAGCGTGAGACGACGAGGGAGCGGGTCCCCTCTGTAGACCTGGCTGCCGTCGGTCCCTAGCCTGGCTGCTGTTGGTCTGTGGGCGGCTGGGTGTTTATCGAAGACGGGCCCAGCACGCACGTTTGGCCTAGAAGCGGGTACCAGGGGGCATTTTTCGGCGGGCAGCCTGGCCTGGCCCAGCCTAGCGTAGCCTAGCCTGTGTGTTGGTCTCGCGGGCAGCCGCCCGCTCACGGACGAGACGAGGCCAGGCCAGGCAAAGCCAAGTTAAAGGCGAGGACCCTGACCCTGGCCGCCCAACTCGAAGCGGTGCGGATCCGGGCTCGCTTTTCCAGGTTGGCCTCTCCACCGCGCCCAGTTCCTCCACCGCTCAGCTTCCAGGACCGCCCTGTCCCGGCCACCTGTTCTGGCATCCGCAACGACGACCAGCCAACACAACACCAGGTCAGCCACAGAGTAGCCGCGCATCATCAAGAGCAAGCAGGCCGCACGCCGCAGAGCACACGTCAGCCCGAGCCTAAACCTCTCTCTTTCGACCGGACATCCGTGTGCAGACGGCGCAGTCGCGACCATGGGCATCATCGAGAAGATCAAGGAGCTCGAGGACGAGGTGGCAAGGACCCAGAAGAACAAGGCCACAGAGTGAGAGCATGCTCACTGCTCCCGTGCTGTAGCCGATCGAGACTTCCGCCGCCTGACATGCTAGGCTTTCTCTCCCTCTCGATCCTCGCCCACCTCGCAAACCCTAGATACCACCTTGGACAGCTCCGTGCCAAGATCGCCAAGCTACGCCATGAGCTGCTCGAACCGCCAAAAAAGTCGGGCAAGCCCGGCGAGGGCTTCGATGTGATGAAGTCCGGAGATGCCCGCGTCGCCCTCATCGGCTTCCCGTCAGTCGGAAAGAGTAGCTTCCTCTCCCAGGTGACCGACACCAAGTCAGAGGCGGCCGCCTACGAGTTCACAACCCTCACATGTCAGCCGGTAAGCATGCCGTGCGGATTCGTCTTGCTGCACACTCACGCTCTCCGAACTGACGATCGCTGTCCTGTTTCTGCTCTCCGCCGGTCCTTGCTCCCCGCCATCCAGGGTGTCCTTGAATACGAAGGAACCAAGATCCAGATCCTCGATTTGCCCGGTATCATCGAAGGCGCCTCCGAGGGAAAAGGCCGCGGTCGACAGGTCGTCTCGGTGGCCAAGACGGCAGACATGATCCTTGTGAGTGCAGCCTGGGCGCGTCCGGTCAGAGCAAAGGGGCAGGAGCGCTGACCCTCGCCGGAACACACCCTTGACCTGGTTGGCCGCAGATGATGCTTGACGCAACGAAACCAGACAAGCAGAGGGCGCTGCTCGAGTACGAGCTGGAAGCGGTCGGAATTAGGCTCAACAAGGTCAAGCCGGATGGTGCGTTGCCGCGGCCTACGTCTCTGCGGGGCGGATCTCTACGGCTGCTGACCCGGATCGTTCACCTTCTTCCCCGATGCCCCATCGCACTTCTGCCAGTCGTGCTCAAGCGCAAGAACGCCGGAGGCATCGTCATCACAAAGGCCATGGGCCTGACGCTGACCAAGATCGACGAGAAGATGATCCGCTCGATCCTGCAAGGCTACAAGATGCACGTGAGTATTCGCACGTTGTGTCCGATTAACCTTGTTCTCGACCACCGGCCCGGCTGACCCAGTCTTTGCCCTACCCCCTCGCTCCATCTGCGGCCGCGAAGAACACGGACGTGATGATCCGCGAAGACATTACGGTCGACGAGTTCATCGACGTTGTGCTAGGTGAGTGGGGCGGACAGAGGCTTTCGCAGTGCTCTTGCTTCTAGTCACCTCTGACCTTCTCTCGTTGCGCATCGTCATCCTCTGCAGGCAACCGGAAGTACACGCCTTGCCTGTACGTCTACAACAAGATCGACAGCATCAGCATGGAGCAGCTCGACAAGCTGGCGCGCCAGCCCAACAGCGTCGTTATCAGCGTCACGTCCGACCTCAACATCGACTACCTCAAGGACAGGATGTGGGTGAGTGGCCCGCCGGGAGTGTGCGGTCGAGCTGCGCTTATGTCGGGGGCGAGGCGGCAGCTGAACCAGACCGGTCCGACCCTTTGAACGACCTGCAGGAGCTGCTCGGCATCAACCGAATCTACACAAAGAAGCGCGGCGAGCGTCCCGACCTGTCAGACCCATTGGTCGTCAGGAAGGGAGCGACGATCGAGCACGTGGTACGTATCGAGCGCGGCACGATCGTTCTCTGACCGCTGTCGGGCGGGCTTACCGACCGCCATGCCTTTCGTCGCGTCCAACTCGCTCCTCCTGCGCGCAGTGCCACCAAGTCCATCGAGCGCTGGTCGACAAGTTCAAGTAGTGAGTCGTTGATCGCTTGCGCGCGCGGTCAAAGAGCCTCTTGCTGATCCGACGGCATGCCTGATCTTTCTCCCTTTCCCACAGCGCGCTCGTCTATGGAAAGAGCAGCAAGTGAGTCGATCTGGACCCGTTCCTCGCGACATCGTGATTACTTTTTACTGACCTGATGCTGCTGTGGATGTGCTCTTTCAGGTTCCCTGGGAGTCAAAAGGTGGGGCTCAACCATGTTGTGGCGGCCGACGACGTCGTCTCCATCTTTACGAGTGAGTCGAGGCGAGGTGCCGTGATGAGCATGGTGCGACTGCCGTACTGATCGATATCCCCGCGTACGACGACAGAGTGATTGCGCTCCTTTTGCCGGCCCCGTGCCTGTTCTTGTATCTGTCTTTGGCTCTTGCAATGCCACGAGCCGCCGGCGATGCCGCGCATGGCTGACGGTCGAGCGGGTTGTCCGTCGCCGCGGCGGTTGTCACCTCATGCTTCCTCTTCCGCGCGGAAGAGGTGGACCAACGTAGCGAGAGAGCACGGAAGACGAACACGCACGGTAGGCAGGTGGTGTGGAGGCGGTTGCGGTTGCGTCGCGGTGGCATGACGTTGCGTGCGTTCGTGGGCGCCGTACCGTAACTCGGCCTGCGTTGCCTGGCCTGGCTGACCCTGTCGATCCGTGCCTCTGTTTGCCCTTGTAGCTTGCCTGCCGTCGGCCGCGGCCTCGGCAGAGACCCACAGGCCGCTGTCGACGGTTCGGACTGATGCCTGTTCGGCTCTAGTTGGCTTGCTTCTTTCCTGCGTCGTCCGAGCATCTGGTGAGATCCAGCGCCCCGGGCTCCATCTTCCGTCCGCTCTGCAGACGGCCACAGCGCGTCCGTAATTCCCTTCTGCTTCTTGCCCACCATCTGTTGCTCCCTGAACCTATCATCCGACCCGACCCTTCTGTAGCCCGACCCGACGATGAGCGCCCGCAGGCGAAAGGGCGCCAAGGATGGCTCCGCCAACCACCGGGACAACGGCGGCGGCGACGCACCATCCACGTCCAGCAGCAGCAGCCGCTCGACGGCACATCGACTCGCGTCCCTGAGCGGCACCGGCATCGGCGACGATGGCGGCGGACCCTCTTCGGACTCGCCCGGCCCCTCGCCCGTCACGGCCAACTTCCGCAGCGGCACAGAGACGCCGCCGCAGCAGATCATCCTCGAGCGGGCCAAGCGCCCATCGCTCAAGGGCATGGCCAGCTACAACATCCGCGCGCCGGGCACACCCTGGCACGAGCTCGACCTCTCCGAGGTGCCCTTTCTCCGCCACGCCGACGACGAGCTGCCAGCCAAAAAGGGCCTCATGCGCTACCGCCGCCTCTTCTTCGTTTTTGGAACGCTCCTCGGCGCCGTCGTCGCCTTTCTGGCCTCGAGAAACGTCCAGATGGCGCAGCACATGAGTGCGTTGCGCAGTCTCGTCGACGAGCAGATCGACGGCTTCGGCCTCGACTTTCCCTCGCTCGACATCGGCATGCCCAAGGAGTTTGCCGACCTGGGCGACAAGATGTTCTCTCGCTCGCGCGAGTGGTTCAAGAACAAGGACTTCAAGACCGGCCGCGACCTCTTCCAGCAGGGCTACCGCGCCGACCACCCCGTCATCCTGATCCCGGGTATTATTAGCACCGGTCTAGAGAGCTGGACTACCGACGAGGCCAGCGCCGGCAACTTCCGCAAGCGGCTCTGGGGCACCACGACCATGATGCGGACCATCGTCTTTGAAAAGGACAACTGGGTCCGGCAGCTCTCGCTCGACCCAGACACGGGCCTCGACCCCGAGGGCATCCGGGTCAGGGCCGCCGAAGGCCTCGACGCCGCCAGCTTCTTTGCCGCCGGCTACTGGATCTGGAGCAAGATCATCGAGAACCTCGCCGTGCTGGGCTACGACACCAACAACCTCTTCCTCGCCAGCTACGACTGGAGGCTGAGCTACCACAACCTCGAGGTGCGCGACCGCTACTTTACCCGGCTCAAGATCAAGATCGAGACCAACAAGCGACTCTTTGGCAAAAAGACGGTCATCGTCGCTCACTCGATGGGCAGCTCGGTGTTCTTCTACTTCATGAAGTGGGTCGAGGCCCAGGGCGACGGCTTCGGCCAAGGCGGCCCGGACTGGGTCGAGGAGCACATCGAGGCCTTCACCTCGATCGCCGGCACCTTCCTGGGCGTGCCCAAGGCCATGTCGGCCATGCTGTCCGGCGAGATGAGGGACACGGTCGAGGTGCCGCCGGCCGCCGCCTACTTGCTCGAAAAGTTCTTTAGCCGGCGCGAGCGGGCCAACCTCTTCCGCAGCTGGCCCGGCGGGGCGAGCATGCTCATCAAGGGCGGCGAGGACGTGTGGGGCAACGCCACCTTTGCGCCCGACGATGAGCCCGAGGCGACCGACACGCACGGTCAGTTCCTCAGCTTCCGCGACCTGGACCCCTCGCTCGACTCCGACGCCGGCACCAACGTCAAGGACAACTTGACGGCGACGCACGCCCACAACTTCCTCCTCGAGCACGCTCCCTCGACGTTCCAGAAGATGCTGCAGTCCAACTACTCGCACGGCATTGAGCGCGACACTGAGCAGCTCGAGACCAACAATGAAATCGAGCTCAAGTGGAGCAACCCGCTCGAGGCCACGCTGCCACGCGCACCCAGCATGAAGCTCTACTGCATCTACGGCGTCGGCAAGCCGACCGAGAGGAGCTACTGGTACCAGCAGGGTCCTTTCATCCAGCAAGGCCTGATTGGCGAGCAGAGGGAGCCCATGTGCAAGGGCGACGACGGAGAGGCGTGCGAAGATGTGTCGAGCGTCCAGCCGCTCGACTTCCCCACGGTCAAGACGAGCTGGATCGACTCGGGCGTCCAGCGTGAGGAGGCCAACCCCAAGGTGCGCTCCGGATGCAAGATGGGAGAGGGCGACGGCACCGTCTCGCTCCTCTCGCTCGGCGCCATGTGCGCAGAAGGGTGGAAGTACCCGCACTGGAACCCGGCCAACCGTGAGTGTCGCGCTGCCCGCAGGATCCCCTCTCGGAGCGGGGGAGATCCCTTCTATCCTCACTGACCGACCGACCGACCGAGGTTTCCTCCTTGCCATTGCACTGCACCGCCCAGTCACGGTGGTAACGCACGAGCTCAAGCACGAGCCCGAAGCAATGGACCTCCGTGGTGGACAATCGTGAGTCGCTCCTGACCCTCTTTCCCTTCCCTCTCTCCACCATCGAAGCTTTGCCTCTGACTCCTTCTTTGCCCTCCCCGGTCTTGGCTTGCACGCAGGACGGGCGACCACGTCGACATCCTCGGCGCGCGGGGCGTCAATGAGGCCGTGCTGCGCATCGCCGCGGGGCGCGGGTCAGAGGTGGGCGACCAGTACGTCTCGCGCATCCGCGAGTATGCGCGGCGGGTCAAGTGGCTTGGCTAGGCTTGGCTAGGCTGGCCCCGCCCGCCGCCGCCACCACGCACATCTGCTGCTGTATTTCGAGTCTCGATGCTTCTTATCGACCCTAGACGCACAGACGAGCGGACGTCGAGCTATTCAGACGTGGTTTTATCGAGGTTCGCAAATCATCAAGGTTCGCACGGGTGGCGGGAAGGACGATGTCGATGGAGCCGGGGACAGATGTAGATGCTCTGCGGGCGCCTCGTGCTCAGTTCTTGCCTAATCGTCGAATCACATCGTACATCGTACTAGGGCAATCTAGCCGGTGCGTGGGTTCTTGGACGGACCGCCGTCGTCGCCTCGAGACGGCTGCCCCGTGCCGGCCACCTCGAGAAAGTCGGTCGGACGGTCGCGTTTCTGACCGTGGCTCCTGTTGTGACGCAGAGAGGGTGAGGGACAGGGCGGGGAGGGATCGTCAGCGAATGTGGTACCGATGCAGGCTCCATGACTCGAGTCCTTGGCGCCGTCGACTCACCTCTTGTTGTTGACGGGCAGCCGCATGTAGGCCGACTGTTCGTTGCTCGGCGGCTGTCGGACGCTGTAGGGGTTGGTGGGTGGACCGCCGATGCCGCCCCACTGCTGGGCCTGGTTCATACCGCCCATCATGCCCATCCCTCCAGGCCCGCCAGGCGCTCCCCCCATGCCCATGTTCATCCCCATGCCGCCCATCGCTCCCATGCCAGGCATGCCGCCCATTCCGCCCATCATGCCCTGCTGCTGCTGTTGCATCTGCTGCATAAAGGCAAACTGCTGCATCTGGAGCTGCATCTGCAACTGCATCCGCATCGGCGGCGCCAGCTGCGGGTTCTGGAGCATCATCATGATCTGCTGCACTGCCTGCGGGTTGAACTGGACGCCGTTGCCGCCGCCACCAGCAGCGCCGTTCTGGTTCCAGCCCATGCCGCCGTTCATGCCCATGCCGCCCATCATGTTGCCGCCGCCGCCGTCGTGAGGGTTGGCGCTTGCAGAACGGCCCGTGGAAGAGGGACTGCGACCGTCGCGAACGCCGTGAGGCGGCGTGGCGGAGACGGCGCCATCCACTTGCGGCTTCGAGGGCAAGGCGTGCTTGGTGACGGCTGCCGGCCCGGTGCCGGTGCCAGGCCCGGGTGTCGATCGAGCAGCGGAGCCCTCGCGTGGCTGCTGGTCCGGCTTGCCACTCGCTCCGTTGTCGCCGTTCTTGCCGTCGCCCGTGGTGCCGTTGCCCGCTCCGGCTTCGTCGCGCCTGTTCTCTTCCTCGACCTCCCGCTCGCTCTTCTCAATGGCCTGCTGAACGTAGTCGCGCACCTTTTGCCGCGTCTCGTCGTCCGCCTTGAGCTTCTCGAGGTCCGGAATGCGCTTGTCACATTCGGCGCAGGTGAAGTCGTGCTCGAGCAGGTGCGTCTGGATGCATTCCTCGCAATACCGCGTCGAGCAGCACGGAGTCTGCACCGCATCGCGCAGCAGCTTGGAGCAGAGTGGACAGGCGAGCGTCGAATCCGTGGGCACCAGCTGGTACACGTCGGACTGGGTGAGGAGCTTGGACCGCGCACGGTTCTTGCGCCACGTCTCCGAGTCTGGCTGTGCCACGACGTACGAGCCGTCCGGGGTGACCATGACGCCCGCCTGCTTCTGCTCGTCGGTGGGCTGCTCGACCGTCTTGAGCATGCTCTTTGGGATACCGGTGGTCCGCTTGAAGCGTGGCCGGTTGTCAAAGTCGCGGTCGTCGTTGGTGGGGCACTCCTGGATCCAGTGGCCCTTTTGGCCGCAGCGGAAACAGATATAGCCTGTGGGCGGTGGCCGATCCGAGTGCTGCGGCGGGCGCTGAGAGGCCATGTGTTGTCGTGGCGGCCCTCCACGGCGCGGCGCGCCACCTCGGTCCCGATATGTTGCACTGCAGTCGAGAAGACGGCGGAGTGCGATGCGTGAGCGAACGTCCCATTACGGTCTTTTGTGCCTGGACTCTTTCCAGACGCCACCGGGCGATCACTCACTGTGACATGCGCTCTTGCGTCTCGTCCCACTGCGCCGTCGTAGCCTGAAACATGGCCGCGATGCTGTCGGCCTCGGTTGAGTTGCCACCGATGGCCACGGATGAGACGACCGGCTGCTGCTTGTCGATGGGCGGGAGTTGAGATCACCTGGTCAGCTGGACGCACCTGACATGCGCCGACAGGGAGTCACTGAACTTACAGCATTGGACGAGGGCTGGCTCGGTGCGCCTCCGTCCTTCTGATCGAAGCGCATCGTCATCGGACCGCGGTACATTGGCCCCCGGCTGTCGCCGGCCTTGACACCGCCAGCATTGGTGTTGCCGGCGAAGCGTCCGCTGTCACCGCCGCCACCGCCACCGGCAGCATCCGCGACGTACATCTGTGCGGTGCCTCGACCCGGCTTCGAGGGCGGAAGGCGGCGCGCGATGACCTGCGACGATCTCGGCACGATAAAGTTGTCGTCCTTGTACTCTGAGGCCGGGCAAGAAGAGATGCGCAGGAGAGGAACCAGATACAGGCAGCGACCAGATCCAAATCAGTCTCGGTGCGGATGTTACAAAGTGGAACAAGAGTCGTGGAACGGCATGCCACGACCCGGCATCGGCCAAGGTCCAAGGTGTCGTCCGCGGCAGCTGCGGAGGTCGAGACCGCATCTCGCTCCCGGCCACTGACCCGGTCATGACCCGGCTCGTTGTCGCCTCTAAGATCGTAGGGAGCTCACCTTCCTCGGTGTCGGCGTTGTAGATGCCGAGGTCAAAGTCGATGCCCTTGCCCATCTTGTTCTGCAGAATGATCTCGCGCTTGAGGTCCCAGACGCTGATGCCGGTGCCGTCAAAGGTGATCCTCGAGGGCTCCTTCTGCGACTTGAACTTGTAGTAGACTGATGCGGACGCCATCTTGCCGGTGTCGCGACGACGATCGAGGGTGAAGGGGAGTCGCCTAGCGTGCGCGCGTCGCTATTGCTGGTCCTGGGAGTCGAAGAAAGAGTCGACGTGAGAGTACGTCGGTGCAGCGGCCACGGGAGCTGTCGGCGAGAGCCAGGAGGGGAAGGAGCGGTGTAGCGAGGAACGGCGGCAGAACTGGCTCGCCGTGGCTTCGAGGGGGCGGGGCAACGGATAGAATTCGATGACAGGGAAGGGTAGCAGTCCAGCGTGGACGCCTCGATGCCGCTTGGTATAGGTATGGCTGATCACCTGCCACGGTGCTTTCCTCCTCTTTATCAAAGGTACCCTGCCAGAAACAGGCAGAGGTCGATCAAGGCTCTGATCCCGTCTGCCTCTTTCGCTTCTGCTACTCTGTCTTCCGCCTCTTTGTTTCTTTTTAGCCCTTCTTACGTCTTCACCTTCTGTCTCCTCTGTGGTCGACTCTCAGCTCCGGCTGAAGGGCAAGAGTAACGAGGAAGCGTTGTCAAATCTGTGAGATTTAATCACCACGCGAATGCGTCAGCGCAGTGTCGGTCGTCCGGCAGAGCACAGGATGGGCAGGGACGGAAAGGAGGGGGAAAGATGGTGACGGCGAGCCAAACAAAGGGGATTTTGGGATGGAAAGGGAGGACGAGGTTGCACTCGGTGGCGGTGTCGGGCGTGGCTGAAGCGAAGAGGTGCGCCGGGGTGAAGGTAGTGAAGCAGTGCCACGCGGGAATGCCGGAGTGGAGGAGGGGCGGAGGCGGAGGAGCGTAAGACGAGCGCAAGCAGGAGGGGAGCCACTGATGGGAGAGGTGGCGACGGTGGTGGGTGGGAGGCAAGGCGGAGCGGACGGAGGTGCGGCTGGCTGAGGCCAGACTGTGGAGGGTCGGGCTCGGGCTGCCCTTCGTTGGGTGATCGGGGGCCTGCCTTTGTCCGCCAGCCAGCCCGCCATCCCGCCAGCCAGCCCGCCAGCCAGCCCGCCAGCCAGCCAGCCAGCCCAGCGCCGGACGGCCTCGGCCTCGCGCGGCTGGTTAGGCTGGCGGCCAAGGCTGGGTCAGGCGGGCCAATCACCATCTCGCCCTTCCCCTCCTCCTCCAACATCTTTCGCCTGGCCCACCCCCTGCAAAAAAACTTTTCCCTCCTGCCTACTGTCGGTCTCAATCGAGTCCTTCTCGAGACCGGCTCTCGTCTGAGCCTCCTTCGCCTCTACCACCACCACCGCCGGCATCACCAGCGACGACCACATCCTCCCTGTCTCCTCTGCCAGGAGAAGGGGGATGCCGGTTCCCCGTCGTCGGCTCGGTCACACCTCCCGCCTCTCGTCATCAGCGCTCCCCTTCATCCCTTCCCAGCACCGCATCAACTTTGCCAACATGGCCAAGAAGCAGCTGCGCAAGTCCGAGTGGGAGAGGCAGCTCAACGCCATCCCCGTCTCCAAGGAGTGAGTAGGCAGGCTGTCGCCGGCCGACCTCTCCTCGCCACCATCGACGACGACGACGCCAGCTCTTCGTATGATGAGATAAACGCAAAGTGGGAATCTCTCCTAAACCTAATGAGGACATCAAATTACTATTGCCCACTGAAACATTGGCTGAGCCGGCATCGTCGTCGTCTCGAGGGCGAGGGCGAGACTATGTCTTGAAGGCTGAGTAGCGCTGTGCTGACGCTTGGCGCACGCTCTATCTCTTCGAACCTGATTCTGTAGGGACCTCAACCGGCTCATCATGGACTACCTCGTCATCGAGGGCTACAAGGACGCCGCCGAGAGCTTCTCCGTCGAGTCCGGCCTGAGCCCGCTCGTCGACCTAGAGAGCATCGAGAATCGCATGGTCATTCGTGGCGCCATCCACCGCGGAGACGTCGAGGAAGCCATCGGACGGGTCAACGAGCTCGATCCAGAGGTGAGCGTCGATGGCCCGTCAGGAGCGCTGTTTGCCGACCGTCGGGAGGGGGAACGCAGCCGCCGTCGTCACCCGCTGCCATCGCCGTCACCGTCTAGGCTTTATAGGATGACAATCTTCATGCACCACGCAAACGCGGCTCAGTGGAGCTGCCGTGCTGATAGCTTTCTTACACCATATCAAAAGAATCTCTGACCCGTCATGACGACGATCGCCGCAATGACGACGACGGCGACGGCGATGGCGACGGCGACGACTGCGAAGGCGGTCGGCACACAGCATCTCCTCGGGAGCGGCGCAGCTTCCGCGCGTTCAGCCTGCTGACCCTGCCACTTCCTGTCCGCTTCTCCCTACGTCGCCTCGTCTTGCAGATCCTCGACAACAACCCTCTGCTCTTCTTCCATCTACAGCAGCAGAGGCTCATTGAGCTGATCCGAGCCGGCTCGATCAACGAGGCTCTGGAGTTCGCCTCTGAGAACCTCGCCCCTCGCGGCGAAGAGCATCCGGATCTCCTGCCCGAGCTCGAGAGGACCATGGCCCTGCTGGCCTTTGACATCACAAAGGCGGGCGCCCCCGCTGCCGGTTCCCTGGCCGCCCCACCTCACATCGCGGAGCTCCTCGCTCCCTCGCAGAGGCTCAAGACGGCCGCCGAGCTCAACGCCGCGATCCTCGCCTCGCAAAGCCAGGGCCGAGACCCCAAGCTGCCGCAGCTCATCAAGATGCTCAAGTACGGCGAGGAGCTGCTGGGCATGGAGGGCCCGGGCAAGTGGGAGTTTCCCAAGCTCGACCTCGAGGGCCCGCTCACCGTATCGACCGCCACATCGAGCTACGACACCAGCACGGCCCGGCGCGGCGGCGCCATGGCCGTCTGACCCGCACCGAGCATCCCTATCACGGTTTTCGCCGAAAGACAACGTCATCTGGGTCCTTTGGCCAACGCCTTCGCTGCCGACTTCCTCTCTGCTTTCTTGAACGCCACAACGCACCGTCGCCGTCCTCTTTTGTAGCAAAACCAACCTCACTCGTCTTCTTTCGCACGCATGGATCCTGCCCTCCGTACAGGGCATCACTTTGGTCTCTCTCCCACCAGCACAGCAACATTACCTTCGAGCCCCCTGTAACAGTAGTAGAAGCACAACAACAACGCCCTCGAACAATCAACAAACAACCTGCGAGCCCCTCTCTGCCATCAGCCAGTTCGACGCGGTCGGTTGCATGCAGTCGAAGTATCTATGCAGTTGAAAGTCGAGATTCGGACCGGATGAAAGGAAGGGAGCTAGTATACAATGGATGCCGGGAGGGAAGGAGGCGGGATATGCAAGCTGGCGACGGGCAGGTCCATGCACGCTACGCGGCGGAAGCGGCGGTGGCGGGCTCGGCCTCGATGCGGTGGAACTGGGTGGGGTCGTTGTTGTAGGCCAGCTCGTCGAGGGCGACGATGCAGCTCTCGCGGACGACGCGCGGGGCAGCGTCGTCCTTTGCCCACCTCGTCAAGGTGGCCATGACGGCGTCAAAGCCTCCCTTAGCCCCGTCGCCCTCTGCGTCGCCGGCCTCCTCGACGATGCCGCCGAGGGCCTCGGCAGCCTCGTGCCTGACCATTTCGTGCTCGCCCGAGTCGTTGAGCACGTCGAGCATCGAGGGGATCGAGGCCGGGTGGCAGAGCTCGCCAAAGACGAAGCAGATCTCGTGGCGGAAGAGGGCAGAGGTGTCCTTGAGCCCCTCGGCGAGGGCGAGGACGGCAGAGACGGCGCCCTCGCCGCCGCCGTGGGCGACGTTGCGCAGCGCAAACATGGCGCGGTAGCGCTCAAACAGCGACAGATCGGCGTTGAGCAGCGTCGTGCGGAAGGTGGGCACCGAGCTGGCGTCGTAGCTCGCCGCGTCGGCGGAAGATCGTGCGGCCTCCTTGCTGGCAGCGGGGGACATGGCCGGTGCCGGGTCGATGGGCGCAAAGGCACTGTCGGGCGGGCGTTGCAGTAGGCGCGGATGAAGAGGGGACGCAGAGAAAGCATCTGGTCAATACACGGCTCAGCAGGGGACGGGGTTATGGATCGCAGCACCACGTGTCGCCCGCTACTCACGTCTCGACGCCGCCCTTGCCCGAGGCCTCCTCGTTCTCCTTTGCGGCCTTCTTCCTCTGCTTGAGCTCCTTGCCCTCGGGCGAGTTGTCAAACTCGATCTTGCTGATGGCGAGCTCGCAGGTCTCGCGCACCGAGACGTCGCTGTCGGTCTTGTACTGATTCAGGACGTCGAGGACGGAAGGGTCGGAGATGGCGCCCATGGCCTCGGCAGCCTCGTGGCGTACCATGGCGTCCTCGCCGAGGTTGGCCAGCACCGCCTTGAGCGTGGGGAGGGCGCGGACGTCCTCCAGCTGGCCGAGGACGTATGCGAGCTCGTGCTTGAGCAGGGCAGAGTCGTCGCTGAACGCCTTTGAGATGATCTCGATGGCACGCTGCATGTGGGCGTCGGTCGTGGCCGCGAGGCCCTTGATGGTGAAGAGGGTGCGGAAGCGCTGGTCGAGGGAAGTCTTGCCGCTGAAATCGCACAGGGCGGCCTCGAGCCGGTCCATGTTGGCGGTGTCTGCCATGTCGATGTCGTGTAGGGTAATGTCGGTGAGGGAATGACAAGAGGCGCAGGTCGTACAGCGCGGGACGTAGGCAGCGAGGCGAGGCGAGGTTGGTGGTGGTGGACGTTGCTCTGGCCAGGCCAAGTTAAGGTTGTGGCCTGACCCAGAAGAAATTTGGCCAGCAGGCGTTGCCAGGCCAGGCCCGGCAGCCGGGACATGGGAGGCCTGCCCCAAGCTCGCTCCCTGCTGCTTAGGTAAGCTGCCAAAATTTCGCGCAGGGGACCGTGGGCGTGGGTCCGCTCAACTTTTTTTCTTCTTCGCAGCGGCGAGCCGGCGAGGCCCAGCCTTGCCCTGCATGGCAGGGCGCCATAGGTACCAGGCGCAGCTCCAACCATCATATCCAGCCTCACCGCCTATCCTCACGCACACACATACCTCGGACCCAACGGCTACACCTTCCGCGACTCACCAGCATCTAAGGTCAACGCGGTCCGACAGCCACCACCGCCACCCTCTCAACCCCAGCCACCATGCCGCGCGCCAGGAGGTCCAAGGTCGTCTCGCTGACCAAGACCGACAAAAAGACAAAGGATGACAAGGCCAACCTGATGGAAAAGGTGCGCGATGCGGCGCAGCAGTACCCCTACGTCTGGCTGCTCGCCGTCGGCAACATGCGCAACGCCTACCTCAAGCAGGTCCGCGACCTCTGGAAGGGCTCCAAGATCTTCTTTGGCAAGCACAACGTCATTGCAAAGGCGCTCGGCACCACCGAGGAGGAGGAGATCCGCACCGGCATCAGCGGCATCGCATCCAGGCTCACCGGAAATGTCGGCCTCCTCTTCACCGAGTCGCCGCCCGCAGAGGTCGTCGACTGGTTCAAGGAGTACTCGCGGATCGACTTTGCCCGCGGCGGGTTCAAGGCGACGGAGACGGTCGTGCTTCCCGAAGGTACGTCGCCGTTGCGCTACTCCTGAGAGATGGCTCGGTCGCTGCCAGTGCGAGCTACTCCTGAGCGATGGCTCGGTCGCTGCCAGTGCGAGGAATAAGATAGCTGACCTGCATGCCGCTCCCCTTTCTGACGAGCCTATCAGGCCCCGTCATGGCGAGGACAACACCGCCAGAGACGCTGCCGCACCCCATTGAGCCGCAGCTCCGAAAGCTCGGCATGCCCACCGAGCTCAAGCGGGGTGTCCCTACGCTGCTTCAAGAGTACCGGGTGTGCAAGAAGGGCGATGCGCTGACCGCCGACCAGGTGAGTCTGCAGCGGGGGGAGGCTTCGTTGTCGCTGCGTCGGCCCGTCTCTCATCCTCTTGATACCCTCTGCTTTCCCTCGTCCGCTCGCCGTGCCCTATAGGCGCAAATCCTCAAGCACCTCCTCATCCAGATGGCCAACTTCAAGCTGGTACCGCTGGCGTACTGGTCCGAGGCCGACGCAGAGAGCGGCAAGGCGAACCGAGGCGTCACCAACCTCGACGTGTCGGCGGAGGACCGGGAGCTGATTGGCACGCAAGCGGGAGAAGTGAGGTCGAAGAAGGAGGGCACACAAGGCACCAAGAAGGGCGAGGCCGCAGCAGGCAGCGACGCGGAGATGGACGACGAAGACGACGACGATGACGAAGAGATTGAGGACGAGGACAAGGTCACCGACAGCATGATGATGCCCGCCGGGCTCTAAAGGGGCTTGGCCCTGCCTGCCGCCCTCCCGTCACCACCTTGCCTTTCGCTCGGCCTGCACGATACACTCCCTGTACATTTTCTGTAGCTCTCCTGGGTCCCGTCCATGCGCATCTCAGCCATTCTCTCACCGGATGTCGGGTCACCAGCGATGGCCGCAACCTGCTCATTGGAGCAAGCCTGTGCAGCGCCTTATGTGTCGACGAGGCGAGCAGAGCGGCCGGAGGGGCGGGGCGAGGTGAGGCCAGGCAAGGCTGCTCCCTTCTCGGATGGCTCAGCCAGCAGGTGACTTTTGGCGCGCCCGCGTGTCAGGCCTGGCCAGGTCAGGCCAGCCAAGAAGCCTCCACATGGCAACAGGCCGTTCGCTGGTTTCCCGGGCGGGCCGATTGACCCCCTCGACTTGGCCGCGACCTCGACCCTACCTCCTCCCCTCCTACCATCCCTTTCGACCCTCGCCTCAGCTCCATCAGAGCACCCGACACGGCCTTCTTGAGAGGCGCCACAGATACCACAACCATACACCCCACCGTCCATCGTTAACGCTCGCGCTCTGTTCCTGGCAGCGAGATGCACCCACGCCATCGAGGTCAAGCCGCCTCGCTCTCTTCCAGCCCGCCATGATGGAGGACCCCAGAAACGCCTCCGAGGTCACCGCTGCCCCCTCCAATCAGCCTTCAGTGGCCCAGGCGCCACCGCTTTTGCTACAGCTCCCTCCCGAGCTGCAGCTCTACCTCTCCCGCTTCCTCGACCTCGGCTCCCTCATCGTCTACGCCCGCGCCACTTGCAAGCCCCTCCGCCAGCTCTTCGGCAACTGTGATCGCCTCTCGCTCTACCTCTTCCCCTCGCACCGCCTCAGCCTCGCGGAATGGATGCTGGCAGCGCTGCACCTCGGAGAGCGCGGACTGACCAAGTCGCGCCTAGCCGAAAAGATGGAGATGCAGGACCGGTTCAAGGGTTGGCTGGACAGCGACAAGCCTCAACGATACATTGTGCAGGCGGCACTGGCGTATGACGAGTCCCAGGACGACTTCGACCTCTTGCTGAGGATCCTCTCGTTCCTGGGCGGACCGGAGCAGAGCCCGGGGACTAGCGCTGCACCCATCGCCGCTGCTGGTCGCGATCCGGGAGCGAGTGCTGTAGGGCGCCCGACGATCCGCTCCCTGAGCCTGGTCTGCTGGCACGGCGTGGCCGCCAAGGACCTCATCCACCTGCTGCGCACGCATCCGATGCTCGCCAATTTACGCCTTGTCATCAAGACCGAGAGGCTCGAGGGTCGAGCTTGGCGCGAGGCCACCATGGGCAACGTTGCGACCGACCCTAGCCCTCCTGGCGCACCCGAGCAGCTCTCGATACGTCCCAAGGTCGATCGGATCTCGCAGCGCCGATCGTCGATGATGCTCGGCCATGGCCAGGGCGAGGGATCCGACCGCTTCGCCTACGATCGATGTACGACGACCCAGACGATCCTCCAGGTGGGCAAGCGGAGGGCTTCGAGGCCTGGAGAGAAGCTCTTGAAGGGCGAAGGATTGCAGATCGGGTTCGAGGGCCTGTGCCTCGAGGAGGCGGCAATGTACGGCGGCGATGGAGGTCATGTGGAAGGCGATCATGCTGCTGGAGCGGAGGCAAAGGGACAAGGAACGCGCGCAAAACCGCCCGTTGATGATCCCGAGGCGTCCGCGCAACCCTCGAGGCTGCACGTCATCTTCCAGGGCCGATACCAGGACGCGAGCGAGGACAGCCTCGAGGTCGACGAGCTCTTTTCGCGCAGCATCATCACCTGCAACCACTGCAAGGAGCGCCTCGAGGCTTGATGGCGACTCACCTCGCCCTGCCCTGCCCTTTGTCTCCTCATTGAGCTCCCGGCCCCGTTGGGACAGACGTGACAGACGTGGGGCCGACGTGATGTGTATTTGTACTCTAGGAGCGGACTGGATTGCGCTGCTCGCCACCAGCCCCTCGCTCACCCACCGTGAGAAGACGTCCCACGGTTCAGGGTCCTCGATTGACCTCGCTTGGTGCGGCCCAGGACGCCGCCCGCGTTGTTCTCATTAACTTATCGTGGGACACCAGCAAGAGCGCCAAAGTGCGGGTAGCGTACCTGGACGCTGCCCGGAAGAACCTGCCGTTGAAGGTTCTCAGAGAGTGCCGAGACTTCCTGGGACGAAGGGAGGCTTAGTTTGCGCTACGGTACCATCACCGTATGCCGAGCTTCCACGAGAGGTGGCTAGCTTTCTTTTTGCGAGCGAGGAAGCGAGGCAAAGATGAGCGTGGATGCGAGGTCGACGTGCGTCTTCCGCTGCGCCGGCAGCCTTCGACGACGGGTGGTTGGGGCGGGCTTCTTTCTCGAGAAGCCAAAGACGCGGGTCCCCCAACCCAAACCCTGGCCCTACCTCCTCGTCGTTCGACGTTTGTGGTTTTGCCCTTTGTCTAGCCGGCCAGGCTGCATTCTCCAGCGGAAGCTGAGCCCGGCAGTGCCTTTGTTGGGCTGGAGTGGCACTGCACTTACGGCACGACAATAATGGTCTTTCCGCCTTCTTGGCCTGGCTGGCTTGCTTCTGCCGCTTTCTTCTGTGCGGCGGCGGCTGCAATTTGACGGGCCGACTTGCACCTATGTGGAAGCAGCGTGAAACCCCGCACGATCCAGTGCAGAAAAGCAGACAGGTCCGGCGAGGTTCATGGTCGAGCGATTGACTTCGTCCGTAGGAAACGGGATGGTGTCGGGCGCCAAGCACCTATCCACAGCCAGACCATCCGAGCAGCCACCTGCCCACCTACTACTTACTACTGTACGGTAGCATGAGATGGTCATGGCAGGCGTTGCGCGGTGGAGCGGGGTCAAGGTACGGTGGATGGCATCAGGTGTGATTCGTGCGCAGCGCGCTCATTGTCAGAGCCGGCCAAGCGGTGAGAGGGCGGGGTGCATGAGCATGGCTTGCTTGGAGCCACGCAGTCCGACGGCGTCCGCTCCTTGACGCTGCGGTGATGAACGGAGCGTCGACGCCCCGACCAAAGCGCAGCCTGCAAAATAGTCGGTGGTCATAGGGCGCGGGCTCAGTAGTTACAGCAGAGGCAGGCCAGCCAGGCAGAGGGGAGGTGGCGCGCGTTCCGGCCTCGGTGGGAGGGGCGCAGGCTTGGAGAAGAGGTCGAAGCTGTCGCCGGACAGCTGGCAGAGAGCGGCCAACCCCCCAAAGGGCCCCGCGCAGCTTTGACAGCTGGGGTGGAGGCAGCCAGCCCAACGCCCTGTGGGCAGCCAGCCAGACAGCCTCGCCCCGCAGCCTCGCCCGCAGCCTCGCCCCTGCCTGCCTGCCTGCCTGCCTGCCTCTTGCGTCCACCACCATACCATTTTCGCTCCCCTCCCCCTTGATTGACACATCTCTAGCTCAAGCAGCACACTCGAGACTCTCTTCCTTGCTGCAGCACCCACCATCCCTTCCGCAAGACAACGACGTGATCACCCGCGCGCCACTTGCATCGCCGCAGCTGGACCTCTTCGCGCCACGCCCCGGTCTTTGTTTCGCCTCAATCTGCATCGCCCCGTCTCTTTGATTTCGGACAGTGCCTGCCAAGCTAGCCACCCATTCATCAGGTCCATCGTACCGTCGACACCCTGTTGCTGCCTTGCGCCACCGGCATCTCGGTCCAGCATGCAGTAGTGGCCCAGGCGTGGTCCACCCGCGCTCTGCCAGCCGTCCTCCTTTGCGGTATCTCAGATTGTCAGGGGCACGCCACACTCCTACCTCCTCGACGCTCAGCCACCTGGCCACCGAACAAAAACATCTTAGGTGCTCCACACCGTGATGTGGGCGCAACGTTCGCCCCCCATGCGCCCAGACGAGCGCAGCGCATCCAACGACCGCTCCCAGAGCTCCCCAGACTCGTGGGACGTCGACCCCCACGCACCTGAACCAGGCTTCAACGGCTTCGACCGCCCCAGAGATGTGCCTCCGCCTCACCATACTATTCCGACGGATCTAGAGGCCTTTGCGCTGCGTCAGCAGGCGCTTCCCGGGACCTTGCCGGACTCCAACAGCCTCAACTTCGAACTTGTCCCCGGCCCTTCCAACTACAACCACATGATGGGCGCCATGGACCCGAGCATGAACGCCTACGACCAGTACGCCACAGCCGCCACCACAGACCCAGCGCTGCTGGACGCCAACCTTTCCGACATCCTCCAGGCGTACGGACAGTCCCAGAACGATCTGCATCCCCGTCCGAGCAGCCTGCCGGTGCCTGCTTTCCGCTCCGGCTCCTTTGACAGCTCGGCCGCCACGTCAGAATGGCAAGGACCCAGCGGCGATCCCTCCGACTCGGACCTGCACTCGCCCAATGACCTTTCGGCAGAGCACGGGTCCCGCAAAAAGGTCGCGCGCAGGCAGGGAGTGGTGAGTAGCTGGTTGGCTGATGGCGCTTTCAAGCTTGAGGGGCAACGCTAATTCACGCCCTGCTGCTGTCGGGAACGACTCGCTTGGGCGGCCGCTCTTTCTACAGACGTGCGACCAGTGCCGCAGCAAGCATCTGAGATGCGACCTCGACGACCGGAGGGCGTCTGTCAGCGATGCGGCGCTGGCGACGGCCGTCGTTCCACGCAAGACGGGGCCGGGCAACATCACGCAGCTCGTGCACGCCGTCAAGTGCTCACGATGCGAGGAAAAGGGCTTCATTTGCACCAAGACCCACGCGCCACCCTCTCGACGGTATCCGCGGCCCAGCCGGACAGGCAAGCGCATCGAGCAGGCGAGGATGATGCACGGGACGCTGGCCGCCGCCGAGGTGGCTAGTCGGACCCCGGCCGCGAGCCGCATCAATGCCTCGACCATCCTGCTCAACGCCCTGGTCGAGCTGCGTGGCGCCGAGGTCCGCATCACTGACCGCGTCATGGCCGGATCGCTGTCGCTGCAGCTCCTCAACTGCTTCTTCGCCATTGCACACATGCAGACGCCCGTCATCGAGTTCGATCATTTTTCCTACACGTTCAACGCGAGCAACGGCGACCCGAGGAAGATGTCGATCATGTCAAACGGAGGGTCCGAAGAGGAAGGCCTGCCAGCCGCGCTGCCGCCCGTCACCGGTTTGGGCGAACCTCACTGGCCAGGGACGAAAGACAGCAAGGTTGGCACTCCGGGAACCACCGAGGCGCTGATCGCCGTGATGCACGCCTGGGCCGCGCATTACACCGACGTGCCCATCGCCTTTGGCTCCGAGGCAAAGGAGCTCAACTCGCACGGTGTCCGCCTGCAGGAGATGGGCGAGGATGTCAACGGATTCGCAATCGAACCTGCTACCGAGCAGAGGCCAACGCAGCGGAGACCGAAGCGGAAGCAAGGCGTGGCCTGCGATACCTGCCGGCTGCGCAGGGTCCGGTGCGATCTGACGGAGCGCCCCGAAGGGCTGGGGTGCAGCCGGTGCGAGGACAAGAAGATCAAGTGCACCGACGACTACATCCAGTCAAAGAAGTCCAAGAGCAACAGCGGCAACAAGGGCCGCGGCTCGCCAGAGTCTTCGGGCAACGACGCCGTGGCAGATCAGGGCAGAGCGGAGAGCGGCGAAGCCCCCTCGAACACCACCGACGGCTCAGACAAGCTGAGTCCGCGCCAGTGGATCTCGTCGAAGCGCGAGTCAATCATGCGGGCCTATCAGCCGGGCGACACTGCCTACAATCTGCGACGTGGCAAGGCGAGGAAGGCCTTCTGCCACGCGCTGCTCAACCACGCCCTGGCGCTTGTCCACAAGCACGGTCTTCTCGATAAGCCGAGCGTCGAGGCGGCGCAGGCGCTGACCTTGCTGGCGCCGCTGATGGATATGGTGGACGCGGATCAGGCCTTTACGATCGCCGACACCGCCTGCTCGCATCTCATTGCCCTCGGCATCGTTACCAGGCACGCCGTCAACGAGAGCGATCAGCAGGCGGTCGAAGGACTGCTGTCCGGCATGCAGCGGTCGAGGCTCTACCTGACGACATGGTGCCGGGACGCCATCGCTTCGGGCATGAATCGGCGCAGGCCCTACTTCAAGGACGATCGCGCCATCGAGGTCATCAGCGATCCGCATCGCAGGCGCGAGTCGCTGTCGGGCGGCGGCGCCAACCCGACCGAATCTGCACCTGCCGCTCGCGAAGCACCTGCCTCGCGTGGCGGTGAGGTGATCCTCAGCGGCGAGATGGGCCTGACTTTTGTCTTCATGGCTCAGGTCCAGATCGGCGCCCTGTCGCGCTTCATCGCGGTCCACATTGACCGGATCGAGACCTCGAAGCCGTCGATACCGCCGTGGCAGAGGCCTGCCGGCGCTGTGCTGCCGCCGGCATCGACGTCGCCGCGGTTCCCGTCACGTCCCTCGTTGGTCGAGGTGCAGCGGCTGGAAAAGGCGTGCAACGCCGTGTGGCAGAGCATCGACTCGTTGATGCTCTTCTTTGACCGGTGCGCAGCCAAGGCGCGCCAGTCGATGGACAAGGTCAAGCCGTTCCGCCCGCTTGGCTGGATCGCCTCGACCAAGATCTCGGGCAGCCTGCTGTACCTCACCGTGATCCGGGTGCTGGGCGAGCGGTACAAGATCAACGCGAGCTACATGGCCGCGATGGCGCAGGCGCACGGCAGCGCCAGCATCACGCACGAGGACCGCGAGGTGGCCAAGATGCTCAAGTCGCTCTTTGATCGGGGCATGCAGAAGACGCTGACGTCGTGCCGGCGCACGGCGCGGCTGGTCGAGGTGCTGTTGCCCCTGGGCGTGTTCCAGATGGGAGGGCTGCTGCTCAAGCAGATCTTCCCCGTCGCCCAGTTCCTGGCGAGGATCCCGAGCATCCCGGATGACGCCGCCAACGCGGCCGACCTGGCATCCCGCCGCGCTTCTCTGCAGGCGGGCGTCGTCTCGCTGACGGACCAGAGCTTTATCGATCCGCGCAACCTCAGCCAGCCAGTACCGGCACAGGCGCAGGCGCAGGCGATGCACGGCGGCACCTCCTCCTCGCACGCAACGACGACGACGGCGACATCGCTGCCGCCGGATGGCGGCGGTGCGGGCGGCGGCGAGAGGCTTTCCAAGATGGACGATCCGTTTGAAGCCGCCGATCCGGTTTCGAGGACCGAGCTGGGCCCGTTTACGCACACGGCCAAGCTGCGCGAGGTCGAGGCGTGCATCGAGGGTCTCTCGCAGCTCGGGTACGCGTGGGATACAATGGGACGCGAGATCGACGCCATCCGCGGTATCCTCGAGTCGCTCAAGCTTTGACCAGCGAGGGCGGGGGAACAGCCCGCTCCGAGGTCGACAACCTAAGCCCTCTCTCTCTACCGCACCCGTCTTCTCGTCACCCTTTCGTGTCTCGCAGCATCTCACCCTCGTACGCCCCCGCCGCTGTCTGCCATCTCTGCAAACCGATCTCGCTAATCAGACGCTTGACCCGCCAATGCCTCGCGGTGCTGCCGCCATCTCTGCGACAATTCTGCCCGCTCTCTCGCCCTCTCGCTCTCTCGCCGATTCTCTCTCTGTCTCTGTCACTCTTCTCCCTCTCCCTCATTCACCACGCTCGGCTCTGGCCCGGACAACGGTGTGTCAATCACTGGATTGCGGCGATCGGGCTTACAGCATTGCCCATTTTTATCCTCCAGCGTCCACGCACGCTCCCCGCTTCTACGCGTCCTGGAAGGCCTGGCTGGCGGCGGCCTTGGCCCGTCGGTCCTCGACCGAGACGGTCTCGGCGGCCGCGACAGTCTCTCCGTGGGGCTTCATCGTCTTGTCCTCGAAGCTGCCCATACCCCGGAGGCCCCACCTGCCGAGCATCTCCTTGTCCTCGTCCCATCCCGTCGTGGGGGTGGTGAGCATCTTGTGGCCCGTGAAGATGGCGTTGGCGCCGGCGAGGAAGCACATTGCCTGCTCGGACTCGGTGAAGAGGTGGCGTCCGGCCGCCAGTCGGATGATGGAGCCCGGCAGCACGATGCGCGCCGTAGCCACCGTCCGGAGCATCTCCTGGAACGTGATGGGCTTGTTGTTCTCCATGGGCGTTCCGGGGATGGCGACGAGGGCGTTGACCGGGAAGCTCTCCGGGTGCTCGGGCAGGCAGCTCATCTCCCAGATGAGGCCGACGCGGTCCTCCTGCTCCTCTCCGAGACCGAGGATGCCGCCAGAGCAGACCGAGATGCCGGCCTCGCGCACGTTGGCAATGGTGCCGATGCGGTCGTTGTAGCTGCGGGTGGTGACGACCTTGCCGTAGTACTCGCGCGAGGTGTCGAGGTTGTGGTTGTAGGCGGTGAGGCCGGCCTCTTTGAGCTGCTTGGCCTGCTCGACGGTGAGCATGCCGAGCGTGGTGCAAACCTCCATGCCCATGCCGCGGATCTCGCGGACCATGTCGAGGATGCGGTTGAAGCCGCGCTTCCGGCCGCCCACCTCGCGCCACGCCGCGCCCATGCAGAAACGGGTGCTGCCGTTCTCCTTTGCCTTGCGCGCCTCGGTGAGCACCTTCTCGAGGTCCTCGAGCTTGGACGCGGTCGAGTCGGTCGTGTACTTGCTGCTCTGGGAGCAGTAGCCGCAGTCCTCGGAGCAGCCGCCCTCCTTGATGTTCATGAGCGTGCACAGCTGGACGCGGTCGGCTGAGTGGTGCTGGCGGTGGACGTTGGCGGAGCGGAAGACGAGCTCGAGCAGGGGAGAGTCGTAGATGCGCTGCACGTCTTCGCGGTTCCAGTCGTGGCGGATGGTGCCGTCCGCCGGCAATGCCGACGCCGATGCCGCCGACGTACCGGCAACACCAGCATCGACCGCAACAGCAGCAGCAGCGGCCGCGGCATTCTTGGAAGCAGGGATGGAGCCGCCAGTCAGATCGTTGGGATCGACTGCAGTGGCGTGTCCACGTCGGAGCGAGGGGAGGCCGGAGGTCGAGGCGAGCTTGGCAGTGGCCGATACGGCAGCAGCAACGACGGGTCGGACGGCCTGCTGCTGGCTAGCCGACGAGGCGGCGGCCAGGTTGACCAGGGCGTTGGACCTTCGGAGCAGCGACATGGTCCTGAATCTATGGGGAGAAGGGGGCAAGAGACGAAAGCGCGGGGATGATCCGGAGATGAGGAGAAGGTGATGGACAGAGAGCGAAGCAGACGACCAAGACGACGAGCAAGAAGGCGAGTCAGATGGCCACGGCTGGGGCGTGTGTTGGATCCGTGCCCATAAGCCCCAGCCAGGCTTCGCAGCGGGTTTGCCGGCCAGGCCTCAGGCAGCCAATCGACCTGCCAGAATTTCAGGTGCCCCGTGGCCCGGCTCGCCTGCCTTGTCGCTACCCCAACTTCGGGCGCGGTCGCGGGTCCTGAGTAGCCGGCCTCGTAGCCAGGCCTGGCCAGCGCCGAGGCGTTGGCCCTTGCGCGCCACGTCCAAAGTCCGGGCGCGGGGCCTGGCATCCCAGCATGCCCTTTTTGGGGCTGGCCCTCCCGAAACTCGAGCCGACCGGGCGCGAGCCAGCGCCGGAACCGAAAAGAGGCCAAGCTTGTCGATGGGATCGGGGCGAGGCTCGGCCCCGCCGCGCATGCGGAATTGTTCGGCGCCGAAAATTCCAAGTGTCAAGCCAGGCCAGCAAGGCATCGATTGTCCGCCTCGGACGGGCGGACGGGCTGGCACCTTAGCTGAGTCAAGCAGAGATAGAGGGCAGGCAGGCAGGGGGCGGTGCACCCACCAGCACAGGCAGGCAGGCGCAGAACCACCCTGCCTCAGAGTGCGGGGGTCCATGCACGACCGCCCGCGTGTGAGGCAGTGTGAGGCAAAAGGGCAGCAGCCCGCTAACGGTGGCAAGCCAGAGGCAGGCTAGGCCAGGCCAGGCCTGGGCCAGGGCCAGGGCCAGGTGGAGTTTCGGTCGCGCAGGCCGCCGTGACTGCCCTGGTGCCCTGCCCTCGCCCAATCTGGCGATCCGGCTGACCCCCCCTTGACCCTGGCTCAGTCGAATCGATGGGCCGCCCCCTGCCAGCTCGGCCCGTCCCGCCCACCTCACCCTCTGGCGTGCTGCTGGCTCGGCCCGTCCCGCTTACCCTAGGCCCCCTATATAGACTCAAGGCGTCTGCGCCACCTCCTCTCCTCCCCACCATCACCATCATCCGCACAACTTTGCAGCTCTTGCACTTCCATCCTCGCCACCGCATCCACGCACTTACTCTGACGCCACAGCCCTCGCACACCCGCATTCTAAGCATCCATCCGCCACCGTGAGTACCTGCTCTCTCTTGATCTCCGCACCCTCGGACACGCCACCCACCGCACCCAACTCGTTGCCTGCGTTCGTCGGGACCGCCACCCGCTCTCGTCGCGCTCTCCGCCCTCCCGTTCTTCCTTGCGCAGTCCTGCTGACGCCTCTCGCCACCCTCGCATTCTCGCCGCTGTGTTGCCACAACCACAGATGCAGATCTTCGTCAAGACTCTGACGGGCAAGACCATCACCCTCGAGGTCGAGTCCTCGGACACCATTGACAACGTCAAGGCCAAGATCCAGGACAAGGAGGGTATTCCTCCGGACCAGCAGCGTCTCATCTTCGCCGGCAAGCAGCTGGAAGACGGACGAACCCTCTCAGACTATAACATCCAGAAGGAGTCCACCCTCCACCTTGTCCTCCGCCTCCGTGGTGGTATGCAGATTTTCGTCAAGACTCTGTGAGTGTCTCGATGTTGCCCGGCAGCATCTCATTGGGCTTGATGGCTTCCCTTCCCGATTTCAGCTGCTGACTCCGCCTTCCGTTGTTCTTCGGGTCATTCTCACAGCACGGGCAAGACCATCACTCTTGAGGTCGAGTCGTCCGACACCATCGACAACGTCAAGGCGAAAATCCAGGACAAGGAAGGCATTCCTCCGGACCAGCAGCGCCTGATCTTCGCTGGCAAGCAGCTCGAGGATGGCCGCACCCTGTCCGACTACAACATCCAGAAGGAGTCGACCCTGCACCTTGTCCTCCGCCTGCGCGGCGGTATGCAGATCTTCGTCAAGACGCTCACGGGCAAGACGATCACGCTCGAGGTCGAGAGCAGCGACACCATCGACAACGTGAAGGCCAAGATTCAGGACAAGGAGGGCATCCCCCCGGACCAGCAGCGCCTGATCTTCGCGGGCAAGCAGCTGGAGGACGGCCGCACTCTGTCCGACTACAACATCCAGAAAGAGTCGACGCTTCACCTTGTGCTGCGTCTGCGCGGCGGTATGCAGATCTTTGTCAAGACGCTGACCGGAAAGACGATCACGCTCGAGGTCGAGTCGTCGGACACGATCGACAATGTCAAGGCCAAGATCCAGGACAAGGAGGGTATCCCTCCGGACCAGCAGCGCCTGATCTTCGCGGGCAAGCAGCTCGAGGACGGCCGTACGCTCTCGGACTACAACATCCAGAAGGAGTCGACGCTCCACCTCGTCCTTCGCCTTCGTGGAGGCAACTGAGCGCCGGGCTCGAGCAGCGCCGCGGTGTTCCCTCTCGCTCGGTGATCAGATCGCATCAGACCCGTTCATGTTACCCCACACTGTCCCGCTGTAGCTCCGCGCTCTGTACCTGATGGCCCTCCTCCCAGACGAGGGGCCATCGCAATCACCACGTCTTGACTTGCTGCGCATTTCGCAGCAGCAGCCATCGCCACCTCGTTTGTTGTTTGTCTCCTCGCTGGCGCACAGTACAGGTCCCTTTCCCTTGCAGTTAGGGGGCGCCTGCCAGCTCGCGACTGGGCACGGGGGCGCACCCATCAGGCTCCTGTATCGGGGCGACCCAAGCTCGGGTGAGTCGAGTGCTAGCGGGTGTCTAACAAGAGGCTGTCGATAGAGGGGCAGGGGTGACGGGCAAACGCCGGTAGGTACACGAGCAAGGTGGCCCAGGGTCGGGTGCAGGGAGGGGCAAGGCAGGGAAACGAGGATGGAATGGGCGTGGCGCGGCGTTGCGTTACGAGGGGTGGCCGATGGGGGAATCATTGGGCGGTGGCCGAGGAGGACGAGGGTGCCGCCGCGTCGTCGGTGGCGGTACGTGCCGGCGGTGGTGCTGTCGGTGGCGGTGATGATGGGCGTGTATCGGCATCGACGTCCATGTCCTCTCCACCTGCACCGCCCTGTTGCTGCTGCTGCTGTGTTGTCGCTTGAGACGCGGCGGCGACGGCGGCGGTAGGCGGGTGGGACGGGTCCTCGTCCATCTTTTCGTCCCCGCCCATCAAAGGCCCGCCCTTGTCGCCGTCCCCTGCCCCTTTGGCCGCATCGTCCAGACCCTGCGCGGCGGCACCATTGCCGTTGCCGTGGCCGTGGCCGTTTGCATGGCCATTGACCAAGCCGCCCGCGCCCGCGCTCCCTGCGCTGCCGCTCGACGCGTCGGCCTTTTCCCTCTCCCTCTCCCTCTCCCTCTGTCGATCCAGAAGCGGCTGAAGGATGCTGGGACCCTTTTCCTTTTCCGCGCTCCTCGACGATGCGCGTCCACCGTGATCCCTCCGGTCCCTCCGACCGCCCTCTCCCTCGTCCTCGCTATCGCTCAGCTCGGCCTCCTTCTGCACCCTCCGATCCGTGTACTTCCTGTTCTTGCTCGCCCGCACCTCTGCATCGGCATCGTCGTCGTCATCGTCGTCGTCGTCGTCGCGGTCGCGGTCAAAGCGCGGCTCGACGTGCCCCTGCACAGAGGGGGCGTGGCCCGTCTGCCGCAGGTTCTCGAATACCTGCACCTTGATCTTTTCCAGGTACTCGCGCGTGTTGAGGTCCTCCATGTTGTTGGGCCGCACGTCGAGGCGGTAGTCGGGTCCAAAGTACTCGTAGTACTCGTTGACCGGCACCTCTGTCGGAGTGTAAGGGTAGGCCAAACGAAGAAGGGAAGAAGGGGGGGGTGGAGACGTCGTTCGTCAGCATGGGCCTGCGGGGGAGTATCCTTCGGACCCTGCGGCAAGGGCAGGGGTCGACTCACGAGAGTTGAGCTCCTGTCCGGCCGCCAGGCCCGTCTCGTAGGCCCAGGCCCGGCTGACGTTGCGCATCGTGTAGCCGCCTCCGCCGAGGAGCAGCAGCGGCAGCCCGAAGCTCTTGACAAACTCGACGCAGTTGGCGTGGCCGCGCATCGACAGGTTAAAGCAGCCCAGCTTGTCGCCCGCCAGCGAGTCGGAGCCGCACTGCAGCACCACGGCCGACGGCTGGTAGTGCTCCATAATCTGGCTGATGACCTGTCGACGCGCGGCGCAGACGGGGACGATCATCATAGCGGTAGCGGCGCGGGTCAGCAAACGTGGGTTAGGAGGGGGCTGGTGACGGATCCAGCGACTCACGGGCTCAAAGACGCTCTTGTAGCTCTCGTCGGTGATACCGTCGCGCAGAGGAAAGTTGACCGAGTAGTTTTTGCCCTTGCCCATTCCGACGTCGCGCAGCTCTCCGGTGCCCGGGAAGAATTCGCCGTACTTGTGAAAGGAGCACGTCATGACGCGGTCGGTAGTGTAAAAGGCCTCTTCGACGCCGTCGCCGTGGTGGACGTCGATGTCGATGTAGAGGACGCGCGGGTGGTAGCGCAGCAGTTCGAGGATGCCCAGTACGATGTCTGCACAGGAGCCGGACGGCGCGACGACGGAAAGAGGGCGGGGAGGTGAGATGGATCCACTGGCGGCAGCATGGCGGTGCGGCTACCCGCCGCGGTCATATCTGTAACCACTCACCGTTGATGTAGCAGAACCCGCTCGCCTCGCCTTTTTTTGCGTGATGGAGACCTCCGGCCCAGTTGATGGCAATGTCACACTTGTCTCTTGACAGACGCGCCGCTCCCTCTGCCAACAAGGTAGCAAAGACGTCGAGGGGGTCAGCGAGACGCACGCGCTGGCCATGCGATCAAGATCCTCCGGACGCACCCATGGATCCTCCCGCCGAGATTGAACAGTACTCGAAGAGGCCATCGAATACGGGGCAGTCGTCGCCGACGTTGACTGCCGAGGGTGTAGCGACCGAAGGAGGGCAAGGATAGGAGGAGAGGGTCGGTTGAGAGCTGCGACCAGACCAAAGGCGCGCAGAGCCACTCACACTTTGCCTGCTCGCGGACAAACGAGTCGACATTGTCGGGCGTGACGCGGTTGAGGAACTCGACGTACTCGTCGGTGTGGAACTGCGACATTTCTCGCTTGGTCGCCGGCTTGGCCCGCTGAGGGGAGTTTGGAAGGAGGAAAAGCGGGAGCGGTACCAGCAGGGGAAAGCGTCAGAGGGTCGGCGCGGCGGCTGGGATCGAGAACGGAGCGGCGGGTCGACGACGTACAAAGATCTCCATCTTCTTGTAGAGGCCGTAGTTCATGACGAGCGAGTGGCACATGCGGATGCGGGTGGGTTTCATGGGGTGACCGGGGCCGTAGTGGTAGTTTCCGATGTCTGAGTCGAAAAAGTAGCATACGCGGGAGCTGTTTGGGTTGGAGGCGTTGGAGCGGGGCTGGAGGAGGGAACCGCCGGCGGTGGGATTGTGGGCGGCCGAGTTGGGTGGTAGAAAGGTGGACGACATGGTGGCGGAGCGGGGCGGGGGAGTGGGGGGTGAGGGTGGCTTGCGCCGGTGTGCGTGCGGCGGTGAGGTGCGTGTAGGATGACAAGGAGAGAGGTGAGGTGCTGGGTCGAAGGGGAGGGAGGAGAGAGGGGAAGGATGGATGGAGGCGTGGGCAAGAGGGTGCCACGGCCACCTTTGCACGCCCGCCCGTCGGCCAAGCGGTGGCCTCCGCCAGTCCGAGCCCGCGTCGACAAAAAGTGGAGAAACCCTGGCCTGGCCTCTGTGGGCTCGAGCCCCTGAGCCGCACGAGTGAGGTATGGATATGGCCAGCTAACTAGCATAGGGCAATGGACGACGTGGTCCGCGCATCGCAGCCACCTGTGGCCGAGGGGCCACCGGTCAAGGGGGGGGGGGGCCGTGCCTGCCACCAGCCCCTCGACCACCTTCGCCACCTCCTTCGACCCCCTCCCTCTTAGCCAGCTCAACCACCGAGCTAGCACACCAGGGATCATCGCAAGGAGAAACCCGCAGCACACCATGGCACAGTCACAGCAGACGTCCGAAAGGACCCTGGTCGCCCTCATCGCAGACGAGGTAAGCAACGCCGCTCCCCCCGCCTTCGTCTTCCCCCTCTGCCCCTCCCACTCACCCTCCCCTGCCCTCTTGACACCACCGTTCGCACGCTGCACAACAGGACTCGACCACCGGCCTGCTCCTCGCGGGCATCGGCAACGTCGACGAGGCGGGCGAGAAAAACTTCTACATTGTCGACAACACGGTTCGTCCCTCTGCGCCTCCCCCGACCCCTGCCGCTGCCGCTGTCACTGTCACCCGCCGTCCGTCGTCTCCCTCTGACTCTTGCCCGTGCGCCCTTCCACCCTCAGACGTCCGTTTCCGACATCGAGGAGGCCTTCAACCGGTACACGCAGGAGCGTAAGGACGTCGGAATCCTCCTCATCAACCAGCACATTGCCGACAAGATCCGCCCCATCGTCGATCGCTATACCCAAGCCTTTCCCGCCCTCCTCGAGATCCCGAGCAAGGACCATCCGTACGGTGCGTCTCCGCGCGCGCCTCGTTTGTGGGCAGGTCGGTGCAGGGCCGAGCGCGATACTGACGTCCTGATCGTACCGTGTCCCCCCCGCGTCCCCTTTGCGCCGCCGGCCCAGATCCGGCCAAGGATAGCGTCCTGAAGCGCGTCCAGAAGGTGAGCAACGCTTCACGATCCGGCCTCGACTCGATGAGGTGCCAGCGGCTGATCCCCAGCTTTATCCTCCACTCCCACATCCTCCCAGCTCTTCGGCGAATAAAGCACCGCCAAGTGCCTGCGCATCCAGTCCACGCACCCTGTACATACCCCTCCCTCGACGACATCAGCAACTTGCACATCTTCCCAGGAACCCCTCGCCCGACTCGGCAGCACGTATGACAGGTTATCCACGCCCATCATGAGGCATGTGTGCACGTCTAAGCAGGATTTCTAGCGGCAGCATCGCATCTGGGCAGCAGCGCCGCAGCGCCGCAGATCAAGCATCCGGGTCGAGCAGGAGCCACTCGACGATCTCGTTAAACTCGGGCCCGCCGTGCATGAGCATCTCGCCGTGCACCTTGCCCTCGCCAAAGAAGAGGCACCGCGCCGGCAGCCCCATCTCGAACAGGTACTCGCGCGTCTCGCCGGCGTGCAGGATGGCGTCGTGCTCGGCCAGGTAGAACCGTGTCTTGCTGGCATCCGTCAGGTTGGGGATCTGTCGGCGGCGGGGAGGGGTTAGAGTGCGGCGGCAGGCGTGTCAGCCACGTGAGCGCCCAAGACGTTGGCCTCCCATGATTGCCGCACGGTCGACTCACCTCGTCGGGCCAGAGCAGCGAGCTGGACCACTGGAAGTAGCGGCAGAGGGTGTTGGCCGTCCCCAGCTCCCTCGCCACAAAGTAGCGCATCAGCAGTTCGATGGGCGTCTCGACGCGCTTGTAGAGAAAGTTGCCGCAGACGTGGGGCACCCACAGCTGAAAGCAGACCGGGTCGACAAAGCAGCTGCGCCGCACCAGGGTGCCGAGCGACTTGAGCAGCCAGCTGTGCACCAGCGAACCGTACGAGTGCGAGAGTACCGTGATACCGCTCTCGTGCCAGCCGTTGGACGCAATGATGCGCCGGAACGCCGCCGTCGTCTCGTGGTGTCCAAAGGGCGACAGGAACGACGACGAGTGGATCGCCTGCGAAATGTTGGGCTGCAGCAGGATCAGCACCGGCCGGTCCTGGAACACGGGCGAGGCGAGAAAGAAGTCGACGAGCGACGCGTACTGCGCCAGCCCGATGCCCAGACCGTGCAGAAAGATGAGGGGCGGCGCCTTGGACGTCTTTGCATCCCATGCTTTGGGCACGCGAAGGAGGTAGGGCAGACGACCCTCGATCTTGCGCTTGAAGCCGCCACCGATGGCCTTGCGGATGACGAGGTGCGACAGCGTGTTTGTCACGACATAAGAAGCCAGCGGCCGCCCGGACACGCGCACCGGGTCGACGGTGAGGCGCATCATCCGCAGGCGCGGCGACGAGGCCTCGTCGTGATGATCGGCCCACTGCGGCGACCGCAGCGGGTATGGCCGGCCCTGCCTCACCTCGAGCAACTCTCGGCAGTATTCAATGAACTGCAGCCGGTCGCCCTTGGTCGGGTCCCACTCCCCGGGCGCCGCGCGGGCACCCTGAACGTCCTCCTCTTCCAGAAAGAGCGGTGCGGCCCCCCCAAAAGTGGCGATCGAAGGCGGCATGGGCGAGGGAACGGCCGAGGGGATGGGCGAGCCGTCGTCGTCGGAACCGGAGCCCGCAGAGCCGCGCCGGTGCTCGTCTTCGATCTCCTCGAGCGTCGTGCCGAAGATGGACCAGGCGAGCCACTGCTGGATATCGCGGCGTGTGATGTGGTCAAAGTGCGCTCCGAAGAACCACTTTGACTGCGCCTGCTGGAACCGGATGGCGCGCGGGTCGTCGTGCTCGAGCGGACGATGGACAAAGTTGGGGACAAAGCTGGCGGTGCGCAGCCGGCCCATGCGACGACGGACGTCTTCGGCCGCGGCAGTGGCTTCAGCGTCCGAGGGCCGCGCGAGGGCTGTCGCCGAGCCGTTTTGACGTGGTGGAGCGAGCCTCCCAGATGCGCGGGCGGTGTCGTTGGTGCCGTTTGGCTGCTTGAGACCGCTCTCGAGCGCCTTTGCAAAGACGGTGCGGATGAAGCGCTTGCCGTAGAGCGGGCGCGGACCGGGAGCCTGGATCTTGCGAGCCAGCCGGGCGTGGTAGATGGAGAAAGCGGCTTCCACTGCGCAGTAGACGAAGAGGCCGTTGAAGAACCAGGGGTGCCGTGTTGGGCAGAGGTGCTGGAGCAGCGGGTGTGACTGGAGCAAGGCGGCCTGGGTTGCCAGAGGCGGGTAGCGAGGAGCCGCTGCGAGGTAGACGAGGCGAGAGACGAGGATGACCCAGCAGGCTGGAGTGATGCTCCACACGAAGACGACGAGGACACGTGCGACGAGCATGTAGGCATCGCCGGGGATGAGATGACCCATGTTGGCCGATGGAGGGTGCAACGAGGAGGATAGCCGGGCGTCTACCCAGAGCTGAAGGAAATTGCTTGGGCGCCGTCTTTTGTTCTCGGGGACTGCAGCTCGACGGGATCCGGGGTATATAAGCTGCAATGGCCGGCGAGTTGGGCTGCCTGGGGAGTGGGTATGTGGTGGCGGCAAGGCAAGAGGCAGGGATGGGATCTAGAGGGCTAGCAGGGGTAGCAGGCCGAGTGTCGCCTTTGAAAGACGCCGACTGGCGGCTAGGAAGGCGAACTTTTTTGGGCGTCGCCTGCCAGCTCGTCAAGCTACGTGAAAGGAGGCCTGGCCAGACCAGACCAGACCAGACCAGACCATGCCAGGCCAGCCCAATTCAGGGTCCACCTGGCCAAGCACCACCTTTCAGCTGGCAGCACCAACCAACCAAGAGGCCGACCGGCGGGCATACCTACCTGCCACCTTATCACCGCGGGATGGGGCTGGCGTAACGCGACAAACCAGGGGCATCACCCCTGGCCTGCCGCTGGCCAACATGCGATAGACTCGCCCGAAGACAGAAAGTGCAAGCAAGCTAAGGCCCATCGTCGCCGCCACGCACCCCTCGCAAGAAGCGCAAACCAAGCAAGCAAGTCGGCGATGGACCGGGACAGCAGCTCCTTCGACCCCGACCAGCGGTGGTCCCTGCATGGAGCCAACGTCGGCCGAGAGAGGACAATACAACGCCAAGTGGCCGTCGTCGATGACATCTCCGGCCTCTGTCAAGAGAGCCGTGTCGGGACCCTTGCCCCGCGTTCCATCCCCCCTCTGACCGTCCAGACGGCGGGCGACCACTGGCGAGGGGCCCCAGCAGGTCTTCTGAGCCCGACGAGGCAGATGACATCCGACGTCGCTGTCAAAAGGCTGTCGAGCTGGTCTTGCGAGAGGTCGGGTCTCTGCACTCGCCGCTCGGCACAATCTGAATGGCCGGGCACCGCATTGATCCTCCCCTGTAAGCGTCATGGCCCTGGCCTGGCCCTGGCCTGGCTGACCACAGGGTCCATGGTCAGCTCGTCGAAAGCCTCGCTCCTCGCCCTAACTATCTCGAAGCCGCCTCATTGCTTGACCGAGGAGAGTCCAGAGGGGTATAAGACGACCTCGTTCGTGCTTCGCATCCTGCGACGGGCCCACATCGCAGGGCGTCCTTCGCTCATCATCGGTACCTTTGCCTGCACCTCCCCGAGCTGCAACCACTCGCCCAACCATGTCGCAGCTCCTGTCGAGCCTCATCGAGCTGCCCACGCAGACCCTCGTGCTGGCCACGGCGGTCGCGGTCGGCGCAGCCGCCTTGCTTGTCCACGCCTACCTCTTCGACGCCGTCGGCAAGCACGGCAACCTGCCACCGGGCCCGCCCGTCGACTCTCTCTTCTCTGGCCACCGCATCCCGTCCACTCACCCATGGCGGTACCTCGAGAAGCTGACCGAAGAGTACGGCGACATCTTCACGCTGCGCATCGGCCGGTCGCCCCTCTTTGTGCTGGGCCGCGCGTCGTCGGCGCACCGGATCCTCGAAAAACAGTCGGCCCTCTCGTCGAGCCGGCCGCGCCTCGTCCTCGCCGGCGAGCTGCTGTCGAACAACAAGCGCATCCTCCTCATGCCCTACGGCGACCAGTGGCGCCTCTACCGCAAGGCGATGCACGAGACCCTCAACGACACCGTGGCAAAGCAGTACGAGCCCATCCAGGAGCGAGAGGCGCGCATCGCCACCCTGCACCTCGGCCGCCTCGGCCAGGCGGACGGCGGCGGCGGCGACTTCCAGCGGGTGCTGCACCGCTACGCCGCCAGCGTCATTATGCAAGTTACCTACGACTATCAGGTCCAGACGCTCGACGACCCGCTCGTCCGCTCAGTCGCGCAGCGCGGACACGCCCTCGCCATGTGCATCCGTCCCGGCGCCAGCGTGCTCGACCGGTACCCGCTGCTGGAGCACGTCCCCACCTGGCTCAACCCGTGGAAGCAAGAAGGGCTGCGCCTGCGGAAGCTCGAGCAGGAGCTGTACCTCGGCCAGGTGATCAAGGTGCGCGAGCGCATGGAGCGCGGCGAGTGCGCGCCCTGCTTCGTGTCCAAGATGACGGAGCGACAGCAGGAGCTGGGCCTCACCGACCTCGACGTGGCGGGCATGAGCGGAAGCCTGTTTGGCGCCGGATCCGACACCACCGCCAGCGCGCTCAGCATCTTTGTCATGGCCGTGTGTCGGTACCCGGCGGTGCTGGCCAGGTTGCACGAGGAGCTGGACCGCGTGGTGTCCAGGGACCGCATGCCCACCTTTGACGATATCCCGCAGATGCCCTACGTCCGCGCCACGGTGCAGGAGGTGCTGCGGTGGCGGCCCGTCAGTGCCGGAGGCTTCCAGCACTCGCTGACGGCCGACGTCGAGTACAAGGGCTACGTCCTGCCCAAGGGATCGACCGTCGTCGGCCCGCACTGGTCCATCTCGCGGGACGAGCACGAGTACCCTGAGCACGACGTGTTCAAGCCCGAGCGGTTCCTCCAGAGCGGCGGTGCAGAAGCGAACGGAACCTCGGCGCAGGACGAGGTCAAGGGCACCTGGTTCGCGCCGGCGCGCGGCAGCGTGGCGTTTGGCTTCGGCCGCCGCGTCTGCCCGGGCCTCAACGTGGCCATGCGCTCGCTTCACATCAACATCGCGTGCATGGCGTGGGCGTTCGACATCGCCCAGCCCGACGGCCGGCCGGAGCGCGTCGACACGTTTGCCTTCAACTCGGCCGCCAACTCGCACCCGCTCCCATTTGACGCCACCTTCACCTACCGCGACCCGGCGAGGAAGGGCGTGGTCGAGGAGGAAAACATCGCCACCGGCGAGCTCGACAGGATCGCAGCGTCGCGAGGTGCGACCTAGCCCCGGATCGGTTTCACCTGGAGGTCCGGAGTAGACACCCCAATGGAACTGGAACCGATTGTTCGCCATGACCGTAGAGAGCGTGCCGCGAAAAGAGAGGTAGTGGTGTACAGGCAAGGAGGGGTGGATCGACCGCGCACAGCAGAGTATCGGGCGGGCTGGCCTGGCGTTGTCGCTCAGAAGTAGTCGTACCCTCGATGGCCGCCGTCTGACGAGGATGGCGACGAAGGACGGCGATGTGACGAGACCGAGATACTGACCGAGAGCTGCGACGAGGCGTGCGTCGCGCGGGAGTCGGTGCCATGATCGCTGGCCGAGGACGTGCCGTCGAATCGACGGTGCGAGCGGCCGACGTCGACCATGGCGGGATCGGCGGTGCGCGGTCTTCGAGCATGCAGCTTCTTCTGCACGTAGGCGGGCAACGGTGAGAGCGGCCTCGTGAGGACGTCGTTGGTCGCCGAGGCGTCTCCTTTGCTTCCTTCCCTGCCGTGCTGGTATAGGCCGAGGCCGTGGTGTAGAGCGGCGTCCTCGCTGCCCTTCCTCCGTTCCGGCGCAGTCCTTGGCGGTCGACGCTGAACGGCTCGTCCGTGGCCGTAGGCCGAGGCTGGGGTCCTGGGCCTTTTGGTCCCCGCGCCAGGCGTGTCGGTGCCGGGCTGATCGGTATCCGGTCTCAGCACCTCTTCGCCCGAGTCGTCGGGCCTGTCGAGGCGGTTCGGGGGCAACGTACGGCCGCTCTCGACCCAAAAGTCGACAATGGCCATCGACGCCGTATTGGGCCGAGCCGACGACGTCGTCCGAGCGACTCGAAGCGGCCTGCTCACGGGCCCGAAGCCGTCGGCTGCCATAGTGGTGTCCAGGCCGCCAAACGTGTGGGTCGACGCCGTCGAGTCGGCGGTGCCCAATCGGCTGCCAGACGACGTGGCGTACGACTTGCCCGTCGACGGTCGCCGCTGGCACGGGACGGGAAACTGCCGTGCGATGGGCGTGAGCCCGCCCTTGAAGCTGAACTGGCTCATTGCGCCGATCGACTTTGACGTCGAGGGCCGCAGCTGCGCGACGTCGGCTGGCGTCTGCAAGTGTGCTGGTGCGTCCTTCCTTCGGCCGCGGCGGGTGTTGACCAAGGGAGGCATTGCCGTGAGGCTGTCTCCTCGTTCCAGTCCGTAAGTTGCGCCCAGAGCGCCTCCGCCATGGCTGAGCGCCCCCTGGTGGCCGAACGAGTCGAAAGTGTAGTGCGCCCGGGAGAGCGATCTTCGGTGTCTTGGTTCCGTCGAGGCCAGACCCCACTCGAACCGGCCGTTTGTCAGGTTCGGGCTGCCGCCAAACGAGGAGGGACTCAACGTTCCCTCGGCCCTCTCGTCGCTCAGCACCCGTTGATGGCCTGATTGGAAGAGATGAGCCGTGCTGTGATCGGCGCTCCAGATGAGCGAGGACGACGGCCTGTGGCCCTTGTCTCCCTCTGTGGGACTGGCACACTCTGCCGATGCCGAGGGGGGTGTCGTCTGCGGCTGCCATGGGGGCATCTTGTCTTCCCACACGGTGGAGGGGCGTGGTGGGCCGCCCCATAGCGACACGACGTCGGCGCGGCTGACCGGAAGCGCCCGTGTAGCGCGCAAGCTGCTCCCAACAAGGCAGAAGGGCAAGCAGAGTAGGACGTAACCAAACCAGCCGGCCAGCGCCGCGACGAGGATCAGTGCGGCCGAGCTTGAGGGGGCGCTGGTGGCGAGCACCCACTGCAGCGTGAAGGCGGACGTGGCCACCGCCACACAGACCGAGAGGCGGCTGTTGAGAGTTGCGTCGGTGGGTCGGGCCGCCTCGTCCTGCGTCAGGTTCGCCACCGACGATTGGTCGTCCTTTGTGCTCCGGTTGTCGGAAGAAGAGGAGGCCCTTGAGACGACGATGGCGAAGATCAAGACCATCAAGAGCGATGTGAGCCCGCACAAGACCCAGAAAAAGGCGCGGATGGTATCGAGGTCGAAGAGCGGCGGCGGCGCCCCGGGCTTGGTGGGGGCAGAGCCGTACTTGGCGCCGAGCATGGTGGTGAGGAAATGGAGGAAGAAGACGAGTGGCGCGAGCGAGAGGACGAGGCGATGCAGGACGACGTGGAGCCGCCTCGCGTCCTCCCTGCAGTGCCGTGACAGGCCAACCAGGGCGAGCAGCAGGCACCCGCAGGGAACGATGCTCGCCGCGGCGATGGCGATGGCGACGGACACGCCGGGTTGCCCGTCGGCGCTGGGGCTGCGGACCAGTTTGTCGGCCAGGCGTATTGCGGCGCAGCTGATACCGAACGCTGCCAGCAGCGCTGGCGTGCGCAAGCCGATCCATCCCGCCAGGGAACGACGTCGCAGCAGCATCGCGACGATGAGGGTGACGCCGACGATGAGGTGGCCCAGGCCAAGGAGGTCGACGAGGTCCTTCTCGACCGAGGTGCCATGGGTGCATCGAAGCGGACCGGCCGCCGAGGTGGGCGCAAAACCTGCGCCGAGGGAGGAGGGGATATCGCGACAAGTCAAGGGGGCGTCAGTACGGTCCGGCTCGCCAGCAAGGAAGGGCACCAAGTCGGCGTCGGAGATACCTACACGAAAGGACAGCCATGGCGGTACGCAGATCCACCCTGAATGCTGCTCGGCAGGACGGGCTCGCGGAGGGAAACCCCAGAAGAGAAGGTGGATGGGAGAGGAAAGGAGGGGGGCCAACAGCAAGAGGGGGGAGCGCGGATTTCGCCGCGACCCCCTGGGTCGAAGCGATGCCGTGGCACCTTTATACGAGGCCAGCGTACGTCCGTCGACCTGGACTCGTCCCGCGTGACAGGCACGGCAGGGCGGCGATGCAGGCATGCGGGATAGCTGGGATGAGATGTGGCGAAGGTTCAGCCCGCAGGATGACAACAGCCGGGCCCCCCGTTCTCCTTCCCCGGCCATTCGGCATGGAGGCGGGCGGAGGAGCGAGTCGGGGGCTCACCAGCTAGGCTTCGACGGGCCGGGTTCGGCATGAAGTCAGGACAAGCGTAGGCGCAATAAGGCTGGGTTTGGACAGGGTACGGACGGCCATGCATGCTGGCTGGCCAACGTTGAGAGCATGTTGTATGTCCATGCCTGCCTGTAGGTCCATCTCGCTGCCAGCCCGGTCGAGGTCGTGGGCACTCGTCGGTCGAGGCAGGGCCCTATATCGATCGACTGCAACGACGGCGCACTACGGTCACTCCGTTGTCACGGGCCTGGTCCTGGATCTGCAACGGGCAAAGGGGAGAGGGGTCAAGGTGGGAAGCGAGGATGGCCGTAGTAGTCCGTTTTGTCCACGACCGCCAGCCATGCCGTCGCCCCCATCGCCTGCCACGCGTCGAGGTGGAACCCACCACATACCTCGACTAGCCTGCCACGTACCTTTCCCACGGCAGCAGCTGAGGCGAGCTCAGGAGAGGTACGACGTGTATGGAGCAGCGCCAACTCGCCGCCCCAGGCGTAGCTCAGGCTGTCTATCTGCGCTACGGCTATGCACCTTGCTCGCACTCAGAGCTTCGGCGCAGCATGTACTTGCTACCATATATATGTAGCTGCACTGCTGCGCCCCTGATACGGTGCGATGCGGTGCGACACGGTACGGTACGGTATGGTACGGTGCGGCCAACACCTGCAGAGAACTTCGGCGTCTCTCTGGACGGCTGCCGTGCAACACCGGGGGCCCTAGCCTGCCTGTACGTACATTTGCCTGAATGCGACTTGCCTGCCTGCCCGCATGCTTGCTTGTTGCCACGACGACTCCGCCTGCCATCTGACGTGATGCTACCGACCTTTTCTCCATGGCGGTGCACGGATGGCTCAACGGGGACGGTCGACGTACGTGCGTTCGCGCGCGCCTACGCTGGGCGTGCTTGGCGCTGCGACGATGACGGCTGCGAGCGTGAGCGTGCATCCCCGTATCGGCAGCCGGGTGTTTATGGGCTCGGGCTGACTTGCGAAGGTATCGTCCGCAGAGGCCGAAGGGGGCAGAGAGGCAGGGGCGACAGGCCAGCTGCGGAGTACAAGTTCTAAACGGGGACCATCAACTAGAGCAGGCAGGGGTGAGGGGCCCGGCAAGATGGCGCCAAACCTGCGCCACCATCGCTCGACTTCCTGTCCTGACCGCTCGGGAAGGTGGCGCTCAAAGGGATGCGGCGATGCGGTCGCTCGTGCAACGCCACCCTGCCTGCCTCTGCTACCGACGGCAGGCAGCGGCGCAACAATGCAGAGGTCGGTGTCCGCTGCAAAGGTGCATGGTCAGTGTGAAGCCACTACTACTCGGCCCCCGGCTTCGATGAGCGTGATGCTAGGATGCCGCCAGACCTTGTCCCCTGTCGATCAACACATCGAGTGCTGTACCAACGTCTTCGAGAGCTCGATCTAGCGTCTTAGCTAGCTGGAAAACGTGGTGGGCCCGACCCGAACGAGCCATGCCAGCGATGGCTCAACCAAACAATCAATCTCACCGGCCCTCGCTCTCTTCGTCCGTGTCATGACCGTGGCAACATTTGTTGCACAGTTCGACGGGGTCCGAATGGATCGAGAAGGGGCGAGGCAGTTTGGTAGACAACGGGGCAGGCAGGCGGGCTGAAGAGTAGCGTAGCGTAGTGTCGAGTCAACGCCGCATCTGATGTGGACAGCAACGGCGTCGACACCGCCTGCAGGGACCACGGCAAAGGCGTCCCCGCCCTCCGATGCCACGTGGATCGTTGGCCGTGGTAGGAGCGACGCCGAGCTGCCTGCCCTGCCCTCGAGCCACCTCCACCACCATAGAATCCGCGGTTGTGTGTACGTACGGACGTAGCACTTGCCTGCTCCCCCTCCCGTCTTGGCGAGCAATCTATGCGGACCCCATCTTCGCACTTCCGCCGATCGTATCAACAAGCAACAAGCCGGGCACTTCCATCCCACTGTCGCTCGCTCCATTCAACCGCGGCTGTCGCAGTTCCGGGAGCTCCCCTCGTGTGCAGAGGAATATCGTTTGGATTGGTTTCGGGGATCATGGCCGTGGCCGGCGATCTTCATCGCATGGCGTACGGCGGATATGCGCTCTGATGCGCCTGGTACGGGTAGTGCTGCTGCTGCTGCTGCCCATGCGGCTGCGGCTGCGGCTGCGGCTGCTGAGGGCGATGGTGCTGGTGCGCATGAAGCTGCTGGTGTTGTTGCTGCGGCGACATCGCGTGGCCTTGAGCGTAGTACGGCGGGCCGCCACCGCCATGGAGCTGGCCTGCTGCCCTCGCTTGCTGCTGCTGGTGGGCCCAGTCCGCCGGCTGAGGGTAGCCGCCAGCCTGGTGCGCGACAGGAGCCGGGTAGGCATAGCTCTTTGAAGGGCTTGCCGACGCCGGGTAGACCACCTTTGTCGGGTACGACGCCGTGGGCTGCGGCGTGGTGGGATTGTATCCGTACGACCGCGCAGGAGGAGCGGGGGAAGCGTACGCATACGACAGGCCGCCCCCCGGCGCGACACTCGGGCTCGCGGACGGGGCCGAGGGCGGGCCGTAGCTGCGAACACCGGACGTCGCCGCCTGCTGGTAGGCCGGTCCGGGCTGCTGCTGTGGCAGCGGCTGTCGCGACACGCCATTCGGCGGGTGGGCATACGATGAGGACGGATGGCCGCCGGGTGGGTACCGCGCAGGCGTGCCGGGATAATGCTGTTGCTGTTGCTGCTGCTGCACGGGATGGTGTTGCGGCTGTTGCGGGTGCTGAGGTTGCTGTGCAGGCGGCATGGGCTGTCGCGGTTGCGCTCGGCTTTGCACGGCCGGGCTGGCGGCGCTGGCGTGGGTCGCCGACGGCGAACTGGTCGCATGCGGCCCGCCCGAGCCCGCCCTCTGAGGATACCCGCCGCCCGGCATCTTCTCTGGTGAGAGTGGCCGCCTCGCGCCCGGCTGCGCCTCGGCGGACAGGAGCTCGATCTCATGTCTGTCCTCCCTGTCGCTGTACAGCCGGCTCGATGCAAACTTTTCCAGCATGCCCTTGCCCTTTTCGAGCGTCGCAGGCGGCAGTTCCCCGCGCCATGCAGCAGATGCACCGCCTCCGTGGTTGAGTCGGACGGTGCTATTGCTGCGGATCAGCAGGGGTGAGCCGCCAGGGCCCGGACCGGCGCGAACGCCAGGGTACCGTGCACCGGGCTGGTAGAGCGAGTCGTCCAGGGTACCCCAGTAATCAGAGCGGCTTTCTTGGCCGCTCAAGGTCGGATCGATGGCTCCGATCGTGCGCGAGAAGTTGCTGATCGTCGATCGCCCCGGGAGCACATTGAGCATGGTGCCCGACCCGACGTCTGCAGCATGCGGCTGGAGCGCGATGAGCGAGGCGAGGGAATCGAGCAGGGCCGCCGCGATCGTCTCCTCTTCGGCACTCGGCTCGAGCTCCCCGTCCTTCGATGGGTCGCGCCTCTTGCTCGCCGCCGTGGACGATGGAGATGCCTTCGCCGGTTTGGGCCTGAACGACCGCCTCAGACGATCCCACTGCGCCTCTTGCAGTTCCTTGAGCAGGATCAAGTTGCGCTGCAGCTGCGCAGAGATCTTCTCGTCCTTCTCGAGCTGCGCCAGACCCGCCTTGATCGCCTGGGCGTCGAGCGACTGGTCGAGGCCATCGAGTTGGAGTTCGTCTTCGTTGGCCTCACTTGCAGGAGCAGCCAGCTGCAGACGAGGCGGCTCCGAGACGGTCTGATCCCGCTCGGCGTCAGGACCGCGCAAAAGCCCATTGCAATGGGCCCGCGGTCCCCAGACAGCCAGCACGCCGGCTCGAGCCCGGGTTTGGTTTGTCCAGACTCGGACGCTGGCCGTGTGCGACATCGTCGCCGCAGTCGAGTCGTGCGACGGCGCGAAGGAGGCATAATTGCCGTAGCGGAGGAACATGACTACGGGGGACACGAGGGAGAGAGAGAAGCTGGGTCAGCAAGCAGTGCCGTCCAAATCTTGTTGGCATGCGAGGGCTCGCGGCTCACCTGGCTTCATTCCGTCGCCAGCGCCCATTGGCGCGTCTGCCATGGCCCTGTGTTGCCTCTTGGCCGCCCTGCTCGCGACCGACCTCTCGCCAAGGGTCGGCCTCGTCTTGTTCGCGTCCCGCCTCAGTCCTTGCGTGCGCGGTTCGGGCTTAAAGTCTGGGGCGATCGCGACCAAGTTGGCTTGCCCTGTTCCAGAAACCGCCATGAGACGAGGCCAAAGTGATCAGCGCGAGCTTGGTCTCACCTCCGTGCGGAGAAAGAAAGACAAGGCCAAAAGGCACTCACCTGGATCGATCTTCCCGAGCGCCTCGCTATCGAGGTGAACCGGCTTGGAGAAAAAGTCGCCGCGCGGCAGCCGCATGTGGAGCGCGTACTGGCCCGGCGCTTGTCCAGATTCGATGGAGGCCACGCCATCTCGGAGGAGCTCGTCGTCGGTGGGCTCTGCCTTGATCCTCGCTTGACCCTCCACCGCCTTCCGACGACGTCTGGCCTCGAGCGCGTCGGCCCGTGCTTCCACCAGGCTGGCCAGCAAGTCGCCCTTGACGATCTCGCCCTGGTCGTCGGTCTCGCGGTAGCGCCTCGCCAGTTGGTCGACCAGGCTGAGAATCAGTGTCAGCGAGCAGAGCGTGCTACGCTTCTCCTCGACCTCTTTGTTCTGGTGCTGCATCCCATCCGACAAAGGCTCAGTGGCCAGCTCCTGCAGCAGCCTGGCGTCCTCGAGAAGCGGCATCCTCAAGCTCAACAGATGCTCCTGCAAACGATCGTGGAACGAGAGAGCGAGGCCCGCACAGCAAGCGTCAGCCACACTTCCAAGGCGTAGGAGCTCTCGCGGGATGGCCGCACCGATTGCACTCACCCTAAGGTCGCGCAGCCGGGTGCCTTCTGTGAACGCTTCCTCCAGGTTCGCGAACGGTAGCTTGTCGCCTCGCTGCGAGGCCTTCCCTCCGCCTGCAGCTCCGTTCGCCTGTCGCGCCTTGGTCGACGACCTCTTTGCAGTCAAGAGTTCTGGCGCCAGGCTGGACGAGATGAATGAGGAAGTGAAGAGGGACGCGAGGTAGGTACCATGTTGAGCACACGAGGTTGCATGCCTCTGCTATCCGGCAAAAGCCGCTCAACAGTCCTTGGACTCACCTAGAGAGCACCGCCTTGAGCTTGATCGCGTCTGCATCGAGGAGCTTGAGCTCATAGCGATCGACGTTTCGGATCCCCTTCGCGCCCTCATCATGGCTCTTCACAGCAGCGCGGCTAATCCCGAGAAGAGCGCGATACTCGTCGAACTCGGATGGCGGATCGGCCACGTCGACCTCTGCCTCTGCTGGTCGATCCTTGCTCTCGCTCGTCGACGACGGAGCGCCGTTTGACTGAGATGGGCCGTCGGCAGCGGCATCGCCATTAACGGTGGTCGAGGCAGCCTTCCGGGAGGCCTGGCTGGCGCTCTCGGGCTGAGAGGAGGCGGAGGGCTTTGCGGCAGCTGCGGCTGGTTGCGCCTCTTGCACGGCTTCAGGCTGCTGGCCGCGCTTTCGCTTGCGGTCTGGCTTGGACGGCGAAGCCTGCGGCGATGGCACGGGAGGGGGCGGGGATGTCGCAGAAGCGGCGGCGGCAGCAGCCCGCGCAGACCGTCGGAGCGGCGACATCGACGTCGATGTCCTCCGGGGCAGATGCTGAGCAGCGGCAGCGATGAGCAGCGAGGGGGGTCGAGCGCGAGCGTCTGTCGATGCGGCTGAAGCGAGAAGGTTATTTCGAGGATCGATCGATTTGCTGCGCTACACGGTGATAAGGGTCGAGACCGAGGCCAATGGTGCCGACGCCGGCCGTGCTTTTGCTACTGCTGCTGATGTTGGTTGGTGGTAGCGTTGGCTTTTTCCGACGAGCGCCCAACTGCCGCGCGAGCCTGGGCAACCGAGATCCGAACCCTGTGAGGAAGAAGCGCGACGGTGGTGGAGGTCGAGCGCCGAAGCGACGGTGTCGGAGCGCGGTGTGGGACGGTGGAAGAACAGCAGGTATCCACTCGGAGTCTCTGTACAGCGGCCTGGACGGCCAGGTGGGGTCTCTGGTCGAGAAGATGCAGAGGTCGGAAGGAAGGGCGAGTGGAATGACAAGCTGGCGTTTGTCGCGGTGCAGACGAGCCGAGAGAGCGCGCGCGTGCGCGATGGCCGCTGCAGCTGCTCTGGAGGAGGCCAGATGGGCGATAAAGGCACAAAGGACGGCCAACGCTGGTGCGTCGTCGTGGATCGCGCGTTGGAGCAGGTGGCGACGCGAGCAGCCCGGTGGCTACGGTGAGATCGAGGGTGGGGGCGAGATGGAAGAGGTAGGGGGCAGAAGGAGGCGAATGCGTTGGACGAGTGGGCCGACCAACAGGCAGGCTGGCTGGCTGGCTGGCTGGCTGGCTGGGTTGGCCTGGCAGGCCCAGAGGGCCAGGCTAGCTTGTGTGTGACCTCGTCGTCCGGTTGGGTGCGTTCGTGAATCCGGGCCTGGGGCGCGCTGCATGCCCTGGCCTGACCTGGCCTGCCTGCTTGCTTGGTGCGAGGGCGGGGCCAGGCCGAAAATGCCAATTTCCCGCCTGCCTGCCCGCAGGCCAGGCCAGCCAGCCGCTGGCCGTCGCGAAGAAGGGTCCGACCCGCGCTTTAGGCCTGCCTGCCTGCCTGCTGGCCCGCCCTGCCGATCCTCGCGGGTTTTTTCTTCTTCGGCTTGCCCGATCCACCCCCTGCCACCCCCTGCCACCGCCGCCTCGCCGTTCCACCCGCGCAACAGCAGGGCGAGCTAGGACGATGGAGCGGCGAAGGGACACAACGTATCGGAGGCGGACCGATGCGATGCGATGCGGCGCGGTGTGCTAGGTGACTTGCTCGCTGGCGAGGAGAAGCTTTGATCGAAGAACAAAGCCAAACGCAGCCTGCCTTGTGGGCGCCCGAGAACCTGAGCTTGCCAGCGGGCTGGGCCAGGCCTGGTCGGGTACGCCCCGAGCGCCAAATTCTGGTGGGCGCAGGCAGGCCATGCGTCTGGCCGTCAAGGACCATTCGATCCCGGACCCATCAGCTCGGTCTTGCACACAGGATCCAAGCGGATGTACAGCCGCACAGGCCGGTGCTGGTGCTGCAATGCACAAGAGGAGGACGTAATCGTACATACACAAGAGAGAAAGGTGAGGCTGGGGAAAGGAGGACGGCGGGGAGCGACTCTACCGACGGCCCATGCGTCCACCTCGACCTCCTCGTCGACCGAACCCGCCTCCGCCTCCGCCTCCAAAGCCCCCTGGCCCAGGCCCGCCGAAGCGACCGCCAGGAGGTCCAAAGTTGGGCTGGGCCATGGGCACGTTGGCGTGGCGCAGGCACTCCATCAGGTCGTCGGGCTTGAACGTGGGGCCGTCAAACGACTTGGCGTTGGGCAGGATGTCCATGAAGAAGAGCACCGCCTCGGGCAGCTCCGCAAACACGTCGCGCGGGCCCTGGGGCGGCGGCGGCGGCGGCGGACCGTTGTTGCCACCAAAGCGTCCAGAGGGACCCGTAGGCGGTGCCGGGCCGCCACCGAAACCCTTGCCAGCGCCGCCAGGACCGCCACCGCTCGGAATGCTGCCGGGCCCTTCGCGTGGCGGCGGGACCGTCCTCCATCCGGATGCTGCCGACGGCCCCGGGCTCGCCGAGTCT